GGGACCAACAACCACGGCACTGTCTTCTTGTTCATCATCAGGCGGATCAGGGGTGCCTAGTTCCTCTGGAGTTTCATCTAGATCCGCGTTGATGAGCAGCAATGGAGGACATCACATGACCACAGGTGCTTGTCCAACATCTAGCACAGTGCCAGGAGGATGTTGTAATCCAAATTCTTCCTCTGGCGGAATCCCGAGGACGTCCACTGGCGGTAGTAGCTCTTCAACAGCAGCATCTTCTTCCATAAACGCGGCTCCTGGAGCACAGAACGTAGTTGTTAAGGACTAGAGATAGTCTATCTTAGATAGAGATGCTTGGACCTTCTTGAAGTAGCAATAGAACCAAGTAGAAGAAAGAAAAGAATGTTACTTCACATGCTTAGTTAGGCTTACCTAGTAGCTTATTCTTAAGTAGAAGTGCCTTATTAATGTATCGTTTTTTCTTTTTTCTGGCTCTAACTCTCGCGCTGCGAACTCTGGGCAGGTGATGGTGAACCAACAGCATGTCGGGAACCAGCACAGTATGAATGCAGCATCCCTTCATCAGCAACATGTCCAACAACATCCACCTTCTGCAAGCAATCACATGATGCTTCATCAACACCAGCAAAATGTGAATGCTCCTCCTCAGCAACAAGGCCAACAACAATTACAGGGTCCTGCTGGTTTGATGAATGGTGGGACCACGACACCTTCGAGTCTCCATCAGCAGCAAGTTCACCTGCAACAGCAACAGCAGCAAGCTTGTTCAACATCAACCCAGCAACAGCAAGCTTGTGCTCAGTTACAAGTACAACAGCAAGGACCTCCTTCGCATGCCTCGACACAACACCAACACCTTATGGGTACAACAACCGCACCACTGGGAGTGGGAGTGCAACACTTAAGGCTTACATGTATTCATCTTAAGCACACTGGTACTGGGCACCTTTGAGGTGCTTTCAAGGGGAACAATACATAGGGTAGAGATGCGCTCCAGCAAGAGGAATATCGGTCGTAAGGTCTAAAACACCAGCATCAAGGATCTATATTCGTCAATAGTGGAGCGGGGCCGCCTTGTGGGCCAGCACTCCACCAACCAGGGGTTCTGCCGCAACATCAACTCCACCATCACCTTCAACAGAGCCATCACGTCCTTCAACAGCAAATCCAAGCACATCAGCATCAGTTATGAGAGGAACAAGTTCCAATGAGTAGTTTGTAGTTTGTCGCTTCAACAAAAGTTGATTGTTCTTGATCCGGGTGGGACTACTTAGTTTAACTAATTTCTTGCTTGAAGCATAGATAAGATACTGAATCCTCTTATATATAGATACTTTTACTTACAGTAAGGCTAAGGTGGTTTCGGTTATTTCAAGCTTTAGAGTAGAAATACTTTATCCACCGAACCGACGAGGACTACAGCCAGTCAGCTTTCTTCATGAAAAATTCTAACTCAACAAGGAGTCCAACAAGTCGTGGGACACCAAGGAGGACCGCATTCGGTACAGGGACAGCACCTTGTTGCTCCACAACAGCAACCAAGCCAACACCAGATTTACGATCTCAGAATTTATTTTGTCCTATTAAAATGCTAGACCTAGTAAGTAGGCTAGACCTAGTAAGATGCATTGTTCAAGATTAACTTAAGTACTTTCTCATTCTCTTGAGTAGTTTCTCATTCATCCACAACGTCCAAAACCACTGTCAAGAACAACATGAAGATGTTCTCCCAAGTACTTATGAATCTCTAAGAGATCCAGTTGATGCACCATCAGCAGAACGTGCCTCAGCAGCATAGTGATGCTGGGTACAACTTCCACAATGGGACTCTCTTGCCTGGAGGACCGCATTTTCGATCGGGGTATCACGTCCAGCAGATCGTGGAACATCAAAGTGCCCGTCTCCAGCACCCACAAATGACGTTCCCGTCATAAGGTAACATCATCAACAAACAAGTCGTGCAGCAAGAATTTTTTGCGTACTTAGTCGTGCCTCTGTCATCTTCTACTTAAGTGAATATAAATTCCTATTCATCTTGTTCTTCATGCCTGTCTTTCGCTAAAAACGAGAAAAATCGTTTTTTTCTCAACTCATTTCCCTCATCGTAGAAGATCTCGAAATTTGAATTCATCTTCTTCTATCCAGGGTGGAGATTGATTATAGCGTGCTCCGTCTGAGTGGAGCTGCAAAGGGGCTGCTGTTTCATTTTTTTACGATGCTGACAGGGTCAGACACGTTCTGTTTGTGCTGTGATGTCTGGACGCTGAGGCGTGGACAGGGAGCTGTGTTGATGTTAAGAAGTCTTTTTTGTGTGATAAAAGTATGAATAAAGCACAGGTCACTTAGTTACTATTTTGTTTATTTTCATCCAACATATATTAAATATATCCTCAATATCCTTGAAGATGTCGTTCTTTTGCTCGTCGTGTGATTAACGTTGCTTAGTGTTGGTTTCTAATATCACGCAGGAGGTGTCGTCGTGTTCGTTAGTCTATAATTTTTCTATTCATTGTACTCATTCTTATTCAAACATCAACTTCAACAAATCTTTGAGTTTGAGAATTTATATTTTGATATCGTACTGCTACTGCTCGTAGTTGTAGCCGTAGCAGGCTCATTTTTGTAGCTGCCTTGGTATCTATTGGTAGGTCAAAACTGACCACTATTATTTGTGTGTAGTAGCAAGATAAGAAGTAGAAGAGCTAACGACCCTAACTGCTGCTGATGAAGTAGGTCTTCAAGATATTACAGATTTTTTTAGAGGAGAACGAAAGCAAGAAAACGCAAGAAATTTTGACGCTCGTTTTCATCTGAAGATCGTAAGGCAGATTTAAGCTAATGAAGTTGCGTTAGCACCACTAAGAGTTCAGATCAAGATTAACTTTTTTTTTTCGGTATCTACTATGTTGTAAGTAAAAGTATCTATATGTTGTTCGATCATTTATGTCTTTTTTTCCTTTCACGGTACACATCACTCAAATTTGTCAACGCTACGAAATAAGTAACAAGCGCTGAAAGCTAAGCACCCATGAGCCAGTCCTTGTCTTCAACGAGAACTTCCGCAAGAAGTCCTAGAGAATGATGATGATCTTCGTCAGATGGAACAGCAATTATATGAATATTTATCTATCTAGTAGAAACAGATGAAGAGAGGAGCAATTTTGTTGCAGACAACAAATAGGGAGGGGACTGAGAGCTCACTGGTCGGTTGTGGTTTCTTCTAGTGATTTTATTTTCGCAAAAAACAAATGATCTTGATTGTGATTCTAGTACTTATTGTTGTAAGTAGTACCTCCTCGAAGTCGAAATCCTGTAGTTACAACAGCTAGCGAAATATAGAAGTGAGAATAGACAGCAAAGGGAACAAAGGTGGAGTAAATAGATTAGCATGCAAATGTCCTTCATGGTAATGTCCTTATGGAAGTTACAAATAACGATTGAATGATGAAGTTGTATCAGAGTCGTATTAACTGTAACTTTAACTTATAGATTATTTTTGTATGCTGTTGTGTCTTCGAAGCTGCACATCAAAGAACACACGTTGTACTACTAGTAGGATTTTCAATTATGATTAGGTCAGGAGTAGGATTACATCAAATCGAATGCTTGTAGTCGCGCAAAACATGATGATTGAAGTTGTGAAGAGAGACGTATTAAAGATAGGGTTTAGGGCGAAAACATACGAAGTTAAACTTAAAGTCTTCAAAAATAGTTGTCGGTGGGTCGGTTTTTCCAAACTGCCAAATTTACAGGATGAAGAGAAATCGAACAAACGGAAATACACAGTAATGAACTAATATCAATCTTGTTGTTGCTCTCCTCGTGGCCGCTCCATCGAGACCTTCTCTAAGTCTTTGTATGTTTTTCAGGAGGACTAGGATATTGATTTCAGTCCTCGTGGAAAAGGGATCAGGTATTGGGTTGGGTCGAGGGGTTGCAGACATACGTGGTCCTCTCAGTGGATTAAGGCAAGAATAGTAGCGATATGAGATAAAGATCAGTAGGCGTTCGTTCGTAAAGATATCGGACAGAAGTAGCTGTGGAAGAACGATATTAGGTTATTTATTACATCAACTACATTTACCAGCAATAGTTCCAGCATTTAAAGAGCTGCAACATTCCAGCACATGCAGAGGAAAGAAAAAACTAGACTTTTTTTGATGTTCTTGCTTGCTTGCTTGCTGCAGCAGGTTTTCAGCTACTATTCCTATTGAGAATATAGAAGAACAAGATGAACCTCTCCCAGGTATTTACGACATATAATGAACAAGTCAAGAACTACTCGTACCCATGATCTTCATTAAAGCGATTGATTTATTAAAGTTGATTTAGTTAGTTAAAAATAACGAGGATTTATTCTCTGATTATTAAGATGAACAGCATAGTGATACTGATATCTACAACTACAGTCATTTTGTTCTTTGAATTGGAATTTTGGTATCATCGCAGTTTATTTCTCGAATTTCAAATTTTGAATTTTCAACATCAACTCGCCTTCCAGTATGCCTCGGTCTCCAATCAAAAAATTCGAATTCCGAAAAGCGGATTCCCCTACGGGGTTCAGAGCATCGATGACATCATCTAGTGTGTTCAACACCACGCTCCCACCTTGCTCATCAAAGCCCGCAACAAGAAGGTCCGAAAGCGTATCCAACTGGATCATAGGTAGTTCAACATGTTCGAAGAACCTTCATCGGTAGGACGTGTCGGTCAAAGGGAGTTGCCTGCGGAAGAGCGGACACTTCTGTAGGACTTGCAGGCGTCCTCTGTAGGACGAGTGTAGTTTAGGAGAGACGAGAACGCCCTGTCATCAAAGGTGTCAAATGATGTAAAAGCTTCATAGGTTTATTTGATTGTGATTGATCAAAAGGGGGGCAGCATGTAGTCCTATGGAAAAAAAATGGACGTCGCGATTTGTTGTTGTTGTTGTTCTTGCGCGTTGATAAGCTTGTTTGATTCCTGAGAGCAGGAGAATTGAGTTCGAGTCCATTCATTTTCTATCTTCTGTCATGCGTCGCCGTGAACTTAAGCACGTGACTCGTCTTCTACTCTGTCTTTTCAAAAAAGCTCTGTCGAGGTCAAGGAGAAGGCGGGGAATACAAAAACAAACTCTGTTCCTGTTGAGGAGATTTTGGTGAATTTTTGTGAGTGTCGTGAGAACAAGAATATGAACGGGGTATCCTCAAATCTATCTATAATTGGGCTCATGACTATACGTGTATGATGTAGGTAATTGTGCTTGTGATCTCTATGATTTCAAGCTTTCTCTTCACCTTACACAATGTATTTGCCAGGAAAAATGATTGGAAAAGACACCTACAACCACGACCCTCCATGTCAAAAAAGATAATTACGAAAAAAGGGTTTAGCTTTCATACACTTCAAGATTACGACTTCTCACGTCCTACCTCAACGGAAACGAAGAACGCTGCTCCAAAGTAAGCATCTTCTTTTTTTTGTCCCGCCATAGACTAACAGACCAAAAATTGAAGATGTCCCGTCTTTTGAAAGCGTGCATTGTGGCGGCTGCCTCTGCGGAGGGCCTTAAGCTGGCGCCGCCTTCCCGGATTATGACCAGGCCTTTCCGGATTAGGACCAGGGCAGAGCACGAGCAACAAATGTTATGGTTTTCCACTCTTCAGCTGAACGAAGATAGTGGTACAGTAGAGTAAGTAGATAGACGAAAGTACTGGTAAGAATTAGTACCCAAATCCATACAATCATAACTGAGAAAACTGCTGTAACAAACTGGATCTTCATATATATAATTAGTTAAGAATGAAGCTTCAGGCGCGTATTTTTCGATCTGCCTCAGGCCATGAAATGTTGGTAGTTGGTCGTGTAAACAAGTTTTTGGAGATTTTCTTCGACAGGTTCATAGGCAATTTTTATTGCGCCTCAGCAGACGGAGACTATAAGTAAAAATGGACGTCACATGTATCCGGTTTATTGCGAGTATTTTCACAGTAAAATTTTACTTCTAAAGAAGCTAAGCAACCGGAAAGACGAAAAGTGCTCCGGGCTTGACCCGGAATTTCTTCAAATGGCCTGTGGGACAGCCAACGTGAGTAAGCCCGATGGTGTAATCACTGAGGACAAACAAATCCAGAATGTGAAAGAGCTCTTTGACGAAAACGCAGAACACGACGAGAACGAGAAAGTGAAGAGAATGATTGCTCTGGCTCAACAGGCTTGCTGCCCGGAGAAAGCGGGAGGCTGCTGCTAGAGGAGGCGACGAAGCCCTCAGTGATGAATGAAGGCGAACGACGAAAGAATATAAATGAAAGCACTCATATTGCCATTGCGATTGTTGGTCTTGATCGTTAAGAAAATCCTTCGTGTGCGGGTGAAATAGTTAGATGGATAAGGAATTAGAATTAATGAAACAAAAACGCTGTATTTCAACTTCAAGTCAGAGAGTAGAAGAATGCTACTAAATTCTAAACAATATTATTGAATAACAAGAACAAGATGATTCATAGAAATTAAGAATAAATACAATTAAAGAGGTCCTCTGAGGTCAGATCTGCTTCTTCGATGAGCCTGAATTTCATGATGAGTTAAGCCATTTTGTTTTTCACACCCAAAGATCGGCAGCAGGTCAACGATCCGAAATATAATTCCAACGAATACTTACACAGATAAGTGGTCCATGTAAATGGATATTGAAGATGGATGAAGCCCAAGCCTTGACTCGTTGTAGCGGCAAGACTCTTGTTAGGCCAAACGTTCGCTCACTTCTTCCCAAGAATTACATCAATTTATTGGTCAAGAAAACAAAAAATCTGTCATCTGATGAATATTTAGGTAACCTCCACCTCATCTGATGAGTATTTAGGTAGCAGGAACTTGGTAACATTTTCCCCTCTGGCTTAGTCTTAGAGGTGTGCTGCAAATCTTCACTGGCTTCTTCCTTTGTGTTTAAGAATGAGGCTTCGCTCCAGCGACGCGATAAGGCTCGAAGATCCCAGGCAAATGATCCCCATGAGGCCGATGATGCCATGAACCTCAAAACCTTGCAAACTCTTGCATCTTGTAGCATTCCGATTAGGATCGACGCGGAGCAGCATCGGAGTCGCTGCCTTATTGTGTTCGTATTCTAATAGACTAGAGTCTACCAAACTTATCTTTCCATGATAGCCTGGCATATAGATATAGTGACTTGACTCAAAACCGTATGACCTCTAGTCACCGCATGCCATCTAGTCACCAACACCATGACCATTTAGATTTAAAGCCCTCTTTTCAAAAACTAAACACTTTAGGAAAGGATAGAAAATGATGGGCCTCCATTTACTCCATCGTCGGAACCACTGCACAAGGGGAGGGCCTGCTGCGCTGTTACTCTTACTAGTTCAGGGATCCGTTGAGGTAACTGCTCTCCGTCCGACGTTTACGAAGTTTTCGTCGGAAGATTATAACGCTCGGGAGCTCGAGCTGCACCACGACGAAAATGACGGCCACAAGCAGGTGCAACAACATCAATACGAACAAAAAGAAGTGCGTGAACATCAATGTGACAACTACTCAAAATGTGACTTCCGCTTCCGCAGGTCGATCAGCACGCCTTCTACTCAAGAAGCCTGCTCCAACAGAGGTCCGAATCAAGATCAGCCTTCACTTGCGACATCCATTTCGCCGAGCTCACTGCAGCCACCGTGGGGGTCGTCCTCTTGTAGTTCTGCGTTTCCTTCTCGTGGACCTGCACACAACTCGCCTCAACACGGATCGCCGTTGCTCTCGCGGCCACCTGGAGGATGTGAACATGATCAACATCCTGGCGCTACTTTTGACCCAATGTGCCCTGGCGCGCCTGTTGTAGTTGCTGCTCCTCATGGAAGTACTTCAGGGTGGGTTCCTCCTGATGGTACTGCTGAGGGTCGTGCAGTACCCGTGCTATATTGTCCAGTGCCACCTGTACAAGCATTTTATTTTGCAGTACCTGGAGCATGTTATGCTAATGCAGTACCAGTTGGAGGATATTGCGCGTCACCTCCTGGAAACTTTCTTCCTGCTAACTACGGTTTTGTTTCCGTTCCTGCAGAACAAGACGGAAACTCGTCTTCGCCTCCTTTCATGCCGATGCCGATGCCTAATCCTACTGCGTATCGATGCAATCACTTCGTGCCCTCCACAGCACCCGCAGGTGGACGAGAACAAGTAGAAGGTCCCGCAGAAGCTGCCGATGATCTGCACAAGAATAGAATCGGAGTTACAGCGCAGCAGCAGCCACTTTTCTACAATGAGGCGACGCCTCATATTGCTGCCGACAGAATTCCATCGCAATCCTACGTAAAGTGTTCTGAACGGGCGATCCCGCCTCCTGCAAGCAACGGGACCCTGCGTCTGCCGGTGACAAATGATAGCACTAGAAAACAACCTGGTAAAGAATCTACTAAAGGCAAACCGTACGCGGCTGACAACATTGAAAGCAAAAGCGGAGCGGCTCCGCATCCTCAGGCTCGCCATCCTCATCCACAACAGAGAAGATTGGGGAAGGAGGAGGAGAGCAGGGAAAATACTTTTAGAGTCCCACCTCAAGCAAAAGAACCAGGACAATCACCACTACAACAGCAAGAGGATCATCTTTCAGCGCACGACCTGGAGTGTCTCCCCAGTCTTCGTATGAGCGAAGACGAAAGAGCTATGTGTAAAATACATAAGGAAGGATTGAAATGGGGATGGAAGGACGTTGTGCTTCCTGTGGACGCAAACGCGCCGAGTCGCGTACTCGGTAGTGAGTCCTGGCCACAAATTACCAAAGACGAGGTGGCGGCTCTGCGGAAATATTTTACTCCCGGACGAGTAGACGTGGTTGTGCGTCCTTCATCAGATGGAGGATATCAGAAGTCCTTTGAGGACTTCGATAAGCTGTGTCGTGACACGCGGTGGAATGCAGTCTCACACGCAGTCAAAAGATTGAATCAGCTATTCGACGCCCTGTTGATCTCCGCTGTTCCACTGGCCATGCGAAAAGAACAGGAAGAGCAGGGGGCCGTGGAGTTCCAGCCCTATGCCCAGTTTCAGACTAGACTGCGCGAACAGGGAAAAAAATCAGAAAAATACTTTTTCGTGTTGGAGTACTTTCGAGAGTTTGTGGAGCGGAGTAAATCCTGGACAGGCAAATACGCGACCGACCCTGCTTCGTTGCAGCTCATACAGAGTCTCAACGGGCAAAACAAACACGGGATGACGCGACTGGAGTACACTGTGAACTTCTTGGTTGAGGATATTATACAAGAACTCTACCACAACGACGCCAAACATGTCGGACACGACGCCAGAGCAGGAGCCCAGTGAGCTATGTATAAGAAGTGCTTCGGTCATGATCACACTCAGACTCTACCAGTCATAGTTCTTTTTTAAATAAATGGATTACTTGACTCTTTTGTTTTTGTTTCCTAGTTAGGTGTGCACCACCGATATATTATGAATTGAGTGAGTTATATTATTATTATCCCAATAACTCTAACTCTTCAAGTTGTTGGTTCACTTATATTCATTGGTAGATTTTCAAGCGTTGCGCTTGTCATCTTCTCTTCTGAGGGTGCAAAGCATCGTATAGTCTAGGGGCTGGTATGCTAACCAGTGGTAGACTCCATGATGATGATCTCGTCCTCTCCGCCCATAGTACAACGAAAAAGGAGTTGTAGACAGAAAGGGGAGGCCGAGTTAGGTGGGGCCAGTACTAGTTAGGCTAACCTAGGAAACTGGAAAGGCTGCTCGTTTGTTTAAGATCGTCTGAGACACTGAAAGAAAGTAGCGGCGTCACAGTGAAGCAACAGCTGCAGTTTTTCTTTCTCATCTATCTCACAAAAGCTTTGCTAAATAAGATTCTTACATACTTCGCAAGCACGAAACTACTCCCAGTTTTCTTGATAATTTCAGACAGATCTGCCCTCGATCATTCTTTTACAAAAGTCGAGATTTCTGCTAGCGCAAAATGTGATGGCCATTTTTTTTGTTTATGGTTTGCCTTACTCAGTACTAGTTGTTGAGGCAAGTTGATAAGGATAAGGAAGCGCTCCAGGTCCTATCATAAGCCATAAGGTTCTCAGTATTTCAGGCTCTCTAACGAACAAAATAAGAAGTTGCACGGATCTCGAGTCTTTATTTTAGCCGTTCCTTTGGTATGCTTGTGATGAGTTAATCGAAGCTATTGCTTAGTTGTATCGTCTTCGTCGGTGTAAGTTTATATATATTTTTTACCGTAACCTACTCTTCTTCGTCCTTTGCCTTGCTTTTGACCCGTACTATAAGAGATGAGAGTGAGCGTGTCTGCTCTGGCCCGCTACACGAACTTTCTCTACAAGAACACATGATCAGGGACTTCGACGGACAACTTCTTTTTTCCTCAGTTCCGCTTCCGTGCCGTTCTTGTTAGTTTAGTCAAAACCTGTGTGAAGAGTAAGCATCGTGACAAAACACTATGACGCCGCGCGGCAGTCTGCACTGAAAACTGTAACGTCGTGAATTGCGTCCATGTCATGCGATTAATACCGTTGTACTCGTTGTAGTGATGTTGTTTGCTGATCGTCTCGTGAAGGAGTCTAACTGTTGTAAAAGTATACAGAGGAGATGATAAATGATACTTTTAAGCATGTCCACATAAACTATCGACGATTATGACACTCACATCACACGCCAGGAAAATAAAAGGCATCGAAGGGAAACTAGAACTAAAAATACCTTCTAGATCCAGCCGAGGTGTACGCGTTGGAAGCATGTCCTCTGTTGTTCTACAACTACAGCTACGCGACCACACGAGGAAGCATCATGTTGTCGACCACTACCTGGAGGTCAACGAGTCCATTCATTTTCCTTGTTGAGGTGGCTCCATGATGACTGTACGAGTGGTTCTATCTAGTTCTACTCACAGTTGACTCCAGAACAACTTTATCTGTACTTTTTTCCGAATGGAGGTTTCTTTGGAGGTTCCAGAGTTCCACGAGTAGAGCAAAAATCGCCTGTATCTCCATGTTAAGGCAGTCTGCACTGAACTTTGTGCGGCTTTCAAGAACAACAAGGTCGTGGAGAGAGACGGGAAGCGCATGGTGGTGAGAAGAAGAAGGGAGAAAATGAAAAACTAAACTTATTGCTACTCGCTTCGCGATAGTTGTATTGTATTGTATTGTATTGTTCGAGTTGGTTCGTTCGTCGAGATCAACATCATCTCCTTCATGTCATAACGAACTAAGTTCGTCAACCCTTAAGGAGAAGCAAAGATGAAGAATCTGGTGGAGGATGGCTTTGTCCCGGACTGGCTAAAGACCTGGGTCCACTCCCTTCTCCTGCGCGAAGACCTAAGGGGATACATGCCGACAATGACCTCTGTGGATGTTCTTATGACTTTCCGGATGTTCTTATGACTTTCCTAAAATTTCCTGGCTGGCAAGGGCAACCGTAACTCTAATTAGGGCTACCGCTGTCAGTGTTTGTGAATTGCTGGGCACTAGGAGAGGAATCCACCCCAAGACATACTGATACTTGCTACTTGGTTATCATGATCTGCCTCCCTAGACTAGTAATTGTGCTGTCATCTGTGAATCATGGGACCCTAGTAGTAGTACTGGCATAATTAGCTTTTACTTCTTTGACTTATTTCTCTTTTGAATATAATCCAAGCTCTAATACTCGTCAAGATGCGTACGGTCGTGTTTGTGCTGTGGACCCCAACCGCTATCCACAAGGATTCAACAACGTCTACTCACAAGATTTCGAAAAAGGAGGGAAGCTTCTACGACGAAGGCTGAACTCATCAAATATTCAAACTGTTAAGGCACGTTTTGCTTTTGGTTTTTTTTTTATATCCGCAAGAAATCCAATTGAATGAAATTTGAACTTTCTTCAAATACTCTTACTCGAAGATGATTTTACAGCAAATTATTATCTTTACTATCTTTATTTTTCTTGTTATATTCAGTGAGTGAGTTCCTTCCCCCCGGTTTTTCTGATAGTACCATGATGGGATGCACTGCGGCTCAGGTTATTTACCTCTAGCAGGTGTAGCTTATCTCATCTCAAGCACTGTTCTCTCCGCTTCAAAGCTTATCATCTTTACTATCTACTAAGAGAAAGAGTAAGATGGCCGTGTCTTGTTTCAGTCACTTTACCAGTGCGTCCTCCACCTCGAACACTAGCGATACTTCGAAAAGCGCGAGCTCGACGTCGACCCCGAGCTACAAGTCGGAATACAGCCGAGTTCATATTGTCGAAGAAGACTACAACAAAATCAACAAGAATTAAGGCTCCACCTAATCCATCTCTAATATGGCCATCCTTGAAGCATAAATATCCACCCCAACGCAAGGGAGACACTGACGCATAAATGCTTGAGGGATTTCCACAGGGATGAAGAGGGGCGAAGTCTAAAAGGATGCGATCGACCATCTGGGCGCCAAGATTGCATCAAAAGGTCAAGGAGAAACACCAGCAGTGGAGGTCGTAGAGGAACATCCTTACTACGAGCATCTTCGAGCCTTGAGGAGATTTGTTGAGGTCAGTGTCGCGCCTTTAGAGTTCGATCCGATGAATGGGACGAGTGGGGAAATTGAAGCATGTACTCGCAATGTCACAGTTTCGAGTGGGCTTTTACCTGTTCATATTGGCGACCATGAGATTATGGACATACTGTGAGACTACGCTAGATCAACTATAGCAATAAACGCTATTAACGCACGTGAATTGCAAGAAGTAGACAGTTTTTCCCTCGAGCAGACCTTTATTTTAGATGATGTTCTATGATGGTCACTCTTATACGACATCCAGGAGCACCAGGAGGACCAGACCGAGAGCGACGATATCAACGCGAGCGAGTGTTGAATCTCCTGAATATCTCCTATCCGTCAGACCTGAAGATGAAAACGACGAGGCCACGAACACCTACAGCAGCAGGAACAAGTACACCAGGAGAGAAAGATCAAGAGGAAGAAGCATCTCCACCATCTCCCTTCGATCCGAAGGACCCTGAATTGTACAACTCTTTCGCCAAATACGAGTTGTACCAGTCTATGCACCAATGGTTGGAAGAATTGTGCCGAATTAGTCGCGACAAACTTTGCCACGTTGATATTAGTGGTCAGATCAGCGGCCAGGAGGAAGGTCATTCGGTGAAACAAGGGGTGGTGGATCACATGAAGTTAAGATGAGACGAGTTAAATTGACATTTTTGTTTCCTCTAATTCTTTGTCGTTCTACTTATACATTTTTAAAGCCGATATTGTCCTTTGTTGATCTTGTCGTGATCTTCTTGTCTAAGAAGATTTCCAATCTCTGGTGCTGCAGCTGCATCTGGTCCAACCAACAATGCGAAGCCTGACAGAGACGGACAAGAAGCAGAATTAAGGCTCAATATATTTCATTTCTACAAGTAATTTCTCCCTATTTCCTTCTTAGGATTGGGAGAAATGTAGGCAAGAATAAGAAATGAATAATTGTTTTGAGCTCTAACAGAAGACGTTCTCTACTTCCATCTGACAGATTTGGAAGCGAGATTTGATATTTTTCCAGCGCCAGCGACTAAACATCCGGAACTACAAAGACGGTTAGCTCGATTGGTCGGCGCCAAATTGTGTGGTTCTTCAGTCGAGCAACCATGGGGCAAGGTCTTCGTGAAAGACGATAACGGATGCAACGGCGTGGGGCTGTGCGTTTTTAGCGAGAAAGACCTAGCATCTTCAGCATCTCAATCAACAAATGGTCAACATGCTTCATCAGCAACGGCTGGAGCAGTGCTAAATGAGAAAAACTTGAAAAAGACATCCTCAGTTTCTTCACAAACACGTGGAAGCCAACTGTTACCACCTACTACTTCGACTAGATCCACGACCACGACCTGCTCAACATCCACGACCAAGTCTTCGAGTGCAGCCTCATCCGCTCGATTGTTTCAGCAGAATAGAGGTGGTTGTACTAGAGTGAATGAGGTCCGTATTTCCAATGCTCACCGGAGACTTCTGCGTGTGCGAAACAAGGTAATAAGGAAAACCTCTAGCTGCACAAGCATTAATGGAGTAGAAGAACAAAAGCCACAAGAACAGAAAAGAATCGTACAACACCAACACCAAGTGCAGCAACGTTATGTCTTACAAGAAGGTATACCAACGGTGCTGCGAAACACCGAAAGTGGTGCGCAACTGGAGATTGTTTTGATGCTCGTGGATGGCGACATCTTTTCCTATTTTGCGAGAGAACTTCCATCAGCGTCTACTTGTTCTTCGAGGACAGGATCTAGTAGTCGAAATGGAAAAAAGACGAGGAGCAGTGGAACAAATATATCAAATGCTAAGACAGGAGCTAAAACTGAGGATATCGATATTAAGGACGAAGACCAAGACCTACAAGTCGTCCAAGAAGTTCGACTTCACAAAGAACAAGAAGGTGGAGGACTTCTGTCATCACGTTCTCGAAGTTCGACTTCAAGTAGCCTGCTTTCTGGAGGCGGTCCGTCTGCGGACCCAGGTGTGGCACTTTCTTCGGATGCAGAGGTTGAATTACAGCCTGCTGATTCTTGCCATAATGTTGAAGACCACGGTCCTTATCCTAAGCTTAGTAACAATGTCGTCCAAGTGCAAGTCGACACCTGCGTCTCCCTCAACGTCTCTGGGGTAAGGTTCGTACAGCGTGATCAATTCGAGTCGGATCCGGCTTACAGTGAGGCTTTTGAGCACGTTCGTAGACAGTGGTGGAAATATTGGGTAGTCGGTAAATTAGCAACCTTGGCTATGGCGAAACAGAAAAAACGATACTATGAAGAGACCGGGAGTAGAGGGAGAAGATACGATGAACAATCTGGAAGATCAAGTTCTACTTCTTCTTACAGTCAGGAACAGGAATATGGCGGAGACGAGATGATATCGATATGTGGATTGGGTCCAGACTTTTCTCTTGCGCCTATTATTTTTGACAGCAGCCTCTGGACGAGCAGCTCTTCAAAGCGTCCAATAAAAAGCAACAAGAGTGGTCTTCAGACACTAAAAGAGCCTTCTACGAACTCTACATCTGGTGCTTCAAGTATTACAACTTCATCATCTGCCAGTTCAGGAGAAGTGAAGAAGGCCCTTATATCTTCATCAATAAAGGAGAAGCTTCATAGATCATACTCAACGAAGTCATCAGCTTCAGCAGGATCGGCAGGCATATCGTCACATCGCAACCTTGTTGCCGTTGCGCCAGGGCAACCTAGATGTAGCAAAAAATGTAACGAGCAGGTGGAAACAGCCCAAGCCTTCAGTCGTCGGCTAAGTGGTTCTATAATGCGAACTCTGAATCAAATTCCGCACTTAGTCGCGAAACAACATCGAGAGACAGTGAAAAATATACAGAAACTTCTACTTCTTAGTAGCGTTGAAGAAGTTGACAATTGGATAACACAAGGCTATACTTTACCAGAATTGAGACAATGCATTTCTGCTGAACAAATATCAGTGGTACTGTTGAAAACTGAAAGCCACGTGCAAGAGCGTGCAGCTGGTACTAGTACCTAGAAAGGAAGCTACGACGATTACAAAATGAACAAGTAGACCTGCTTTGGTGGACAAGGATGATCATCCTATGGGATCATCTTGGCTCTTGAAACATCGGCTATGTTCTACCAGTTCTATGTTCTACCAGTTCTATGCTACGTCGATCCTCGTCAATCGCTTTTGAAGATGATCCGTGGATCAAACCAGAAACAAGTTGATCTTGATGGTGAAGGTTCATCTTCTACGGCTAGAAATATTACTAGTAGATATCTAACCAAAACGGTTTTTAACTACTTAGTTGCAGTACTCAATAACTCCTTTGTTTTTCTCCCGCGAATGCGAATCTCAGGCTACATCATCTGGTTTTTTGCTTTCTTTCAGTACAAACCCATCGCGACATCTTCACCCAACAAGAAATGTACCTAGTACACCTTTCCATTTGGAATTCATCATGATAAGTACACTAGAAAGAAGACGTTAGACCTGTTGATGTAGTTAAATTGTAGTACTGGTTCTTGATAATTGTTGTTCTTTAGTTCATCAAAATTATATAGGTCAAGTTCAAGTAAATTATCTAAATGGGCAACGATTACTCATCCGGAGTTTCTTGTATCGGGGAATCGCGGAAAGGACCAGGAGGAGAAGCGATAGAGACTCCGATCATGTCGAACTCGTCGCAACCGCGAATCCGTAGGGTCCCAGGGAAACCGCCGCCACCTGTCGTGCAACAAGGAAATGACGGACAAGAAGGTGGAGGTGGGTCTACTTCGTCAACGAGTGGTCCTGCTGGTGGCGCTGCCCCCTCAGCATCCAGTGCCCTAGATGCCAAGCGCGCAAACACTTTGAAGAGCAAGAAGAGGAAAGAGCGAACCCAGGATGACGTGCGTTTTGACAGAGTGATTTTCCTTGGTACTAGCAGTGCTGTTCCAGTCCCTGGGAAGAGAAACATGTCCAGTCTCCTGATCAGCAGCACAAATGGGTCATCGATAATGGTAGATTGCGGAGAAGGCACGCAACACCAATTGAAAACCTGTACGAGAGCGAAAAGTTCGAATGTGGATCTGATCTGCATCACGCATTTGCACGGAGACCATTGCTACGGACTATTTGGGTTTTTGTTGACCTGTGGACAAGACATGCGAGCAAATCCGATCACGGTCGTGGGACCGGAAGGGGTACTGAATTCATTTGTTCCTACTAGATTCTTGTTGTAATTATGTACTTATCTAAAAATAAAGGTAATTTGTCTTGTTGATCTTCTAACGCAACCGCTATCCGTTTTCTTGTGATCGTTTGCTGCACCTCCTACTCCTAGTAAGACCTTCGTATTAATACGCAAGTTCATCTCAATCACAATCTCTACTTCAAAAAAAAAATGAATTTCATCAGATCTTCGACCTTGTAATGACGGTTTTCAGCATGAGTGGTGGATGGGCTGGGTACTATGATCTCATATTCGTTGAAATACCACACGAACTCCACGCAAAAAGAGAAAGCGTCGACCTAACCCATACCCTATGCGAAGAACTGGCTTATCTGCGTCTCACAGCAGCTCCCTTGATCCACGCCATGCCATGCTGGGGTTATGTGCTCCAAGAATTAGACAGACCAGGGAAGTTAGACGTCGCGAAAGCGAGACGGCTGGGCGTGCCGAATGGGCCATTGCTAGGCAAATTGAAACGGGGAGAGGACGTAGAAGTGCCAGCTGATGGAGCGTCAAAGACGATGATACTTACGGCTCCTGACCAAATTGTGTTAACATTAAGTAAGTACTAACCTCCACGGTTGAACTTGAATACTTTGTCTCTGGTTGGGTCCTACTCCTATGTATAAGAACTGTCTTTTGTTTTTCGTATCGCGTTGTACAAAACATGCAGATGAAGTAGCACAAGAAGCACAAACACCATGTACTTGTAAGAGAAAAACTTACTCAAATCCCGAATTCCAAATACTTAGAAGAAACCTCTAATCCTCGTGCCACCGATGTAGTTTCTGAAGACGTGCCCGGTCGAAAGATTTGCGTCCTGCAGGATTCCAGTGATAGCTCTTTTGCCTTAGATGCTTGCAGAAATGCGGACGTTTTCATTCACGAAGCCACACTAGAGTCTAGTATGAAAGCTGAGGCGATTGAAAAAGGACACTCAACCCCTCACATGGCAGCTGATTGGGCTAATGAGGCAGGAGCAAAGAAACTCGTTTTGACTCATTTCTCTGCGCGATACAACCCAACTAGCAGTGGCACAACTGCAATAGCGGCAGCAAATGGAAGCACGGTGCCTGTTTTCCGAGCTGGAATAGTGGTGAAGAATGGGATACTTGGTACTAGTGGATCCGCAGAGGCTGGGGATGATGTCGACATGTGCTGTCCGTCGCCTTCAGGTGGGGACAAAATGGACACAGCGACCACTAGTTCTAAGCACCTCCCCACACCTGTTTCTACACCCAGATCGAGCGAAAATGGAGGCGGCGTACAGGACACTGCAGATGTAATGGCATGTTGTGAACTCGTGGATCCCGCCGACGCTGTTCTAGCTCAAGAAGCTCGTGAGATTTTCACTCGTGGTGAGGTGGTAGCAGCAAAAGACTTCATGATGTTGGAAGCAACGAGTACGGACTTCACTGTGTGCAAAGAATTGGTGGTGAAGAGGTTACCGTTTGCCAGGACAGTAGGAGGTGATTCGTCGACCAAAACAAAAGCAGTGACTGGCTCCTCAAGTTCAGGGCAAGCTGTGAACGCTGGTGGGTCATGACGATAATTGCGAAAAAATTTTCGTACGATCTACTTATCTCTTACGCTGACATCATCTTCTCCACATTGTTCAGTTTCAGATCCGCTTGCGCGCATGAAATACCATACGCGATATGGGGACACGACAGAAATCTCTGAACCATTCAACAACCTTTCCCTGTTTAGCCTTATGCACCCAGAAGAGGTGAAACCACCTTCATTTGCAAGTACTTACACGCATCTTCTACACTCTCACTCTTGTAACAGTCATGGCTGTTGGAAGGAGCCACCGGCACTTTTAGAATCACTTAAACTTAATCATGAGTACAAAATGTCTGCCCGCCACGTGGTTTTCGAGTGAGAGTGAATATGGTTCGTACTAGATGAAGTACCCTGGAGTGGGATTGAGCGAATTTTTTGAGTATCATCTTGAAACATAGGTTGTGTCGGAGCTAACATGCGTGTCTTTTTTCAAGAAGTAGGACCACGACCAAGTGGCTACTTACAAGAAATTATTGGTCTTTCCAGCACGTACTGAGAGATACTTGCGCATTATAGTCAATTTAATTAAGAAAAAACGCACACGCAAGACCAAGAACGTGCTGCTGCATTAAATTTTATAGGTACTTCTTGTTAAAAGCAAATGTCGGATCCATCATCTTCCCGTGGAGGTGGAGGATCTTCCTCGTCTGACTCATCTTCCGTGTGGACAGCAGGAGCTGGCGGAGGGTCCGATTTCTCACGGCCACCACTGGACGACTCTCCGACGTACAGTCACCGCGATGGAGATTATGACCGGTATCATGGTACCGGAGGAGGAGGAGGAAGCTCTTCGAGCACGTCTCCAGCTCATGGTACCAGAGCAGGAGGAGGAGGACCTGACAGTAGACCACCTGGAGGACAACCCCGATCCGCGCCTTTTGGCCTAGGCTTGACGGAAATGCCGACTAGAGAACGTGTAATGAAAATTGAGCAGCAACGGAAGTTGTTATTGCAAGAGGGGACCTACGAGGATGCACAGGGCCGCTATCTCCGACTATACCACAGACCTTCAGCTAATTAAGGCAACAAGTAGAAAAATTAAAATTCTCCAAAGTTTAATTCAGGATATTTCCTCTGCTGCTCTATCTCTAATCTCCCAGCAACACAAACACTCCTGCACCGCCTCCCCCCGTCATGATAGGAGGACAAGGAGGAGACCCACGACAAGACAGTATAGCCCAGTACGAACAACAGAGGAATTTGCGAGCTCTTTTTGCAGTAGAGAGTGCGAGATTGCCACCGCTACTCGAAGACAATCCCATTGCATGCGTCACTGGCGGAATATTAAGACTTCTGGAAATCCATCTTCAGAAGCATTTTGGGCCGCCTTGTGAGGGGAAAACGGGTCCAGGATGACTTTCAAGATAGGTAATTCCCGGAAGGTCTAAGAGTAGTGCCTTCACTTATGATCGGTCTTGGGGCATCAGTCTTTACACCGCCACATCCGAGACGGGCGATACAGGGAGCGGCGAGGTACCTGACTACTTATTTTGCAGAAAATATACTTTTAGGCACTGAACGAGGACATCATGAAAAAGAAGGTTACCTCGAAGAATTTTTAGGCACTGAAGAACGAGGACATCATGAACAAGAAGGTTACCTCAAAGATTGGGATTTTCTTCAGCTCTACTTCATCGAGATCAAAGATCATACGCATACCACCTCCCCCTTACCAGATTCTACAATTACGCCGGTTGTTGGTATGCTTACAGTCTTCTGCAGTGTCCGTACAGGCTTTTGCGTGCCAACGATGTCCTCAGAGTGGACAGTATGATCGACCACATGGTTGCAGGTGGCACGGTAGGGGCTCTTGCAGTACAGAACAACCGACTCTCCATACCTGTCATGAAGGAAGTAGATGTCAAACTCCTGCTTCAGCGGTATCCAAAATTGTCAAGAGGACAAGTTGCTTTTTTCGTATATGGCCATTGTGCGGCGTTTGCACATGCAATATCGCTGTTTTTGAGTGGGACGTTTCGACACTAGGAGGTAGAGTTGTTGATGTTGTAACGTTATCCGATGTAGTTGCTCTTGCTTAATAAGAAACTACAGTGAAAAACTAGAACTAGAAAAACTACGAGACATAGACGGGCTCCAGGCCTATGCGTATGGGCAATGAGTTGTGTTCCGAGTTGGAGAGGACGATGAAACGATACTAGAACTAAAAATGCAGGAACCGGAACCGCAGGGTGCCCTCATAGTGACGCCCCCCCAGGCCCAAGCAGATAGGTCTTCTTTGACAAAACTACAGATGCTTGGACGAGTTATTCCGCTTTCTTCAGATTCACCATGTCGACTTGGGATTGTTGTGTAAATAAAATGAGTAGCGCTGTAGGAGTAGCTCTTTATTGATATAACGAAAAGGAAAATGACGAAGGCCTCCGACGCAATGTCGACGTCTTGTCGCGGTTCTTCTTCGACCGCAGTTTCTCGGTCGGAACCAAGAGAGCGGTATGTCTACGACGCAGCCATCATCGAATCCTGGGATCAAGAGACGTCCTTACGCATAGCCCCTTACTCAGGACGGTTTTCGCACTTGTCTCAAAAGGGTGTTTTCATGGGTGACGATGTCCTGGACGGATTTACATCTAGTGAACTTTTGGCAGCTCATCGAGAATTGATGTTTAGAAATGCAAATGGTGCTGGAGCTACTAGTGTGGCAAATAATAGAAGAAAGTGCCCTGTGAATGTTGGAACAAGTGGTGCTAGCTGTAGGTCTTCTACAACTTCTACAACGTCAACATCTACAACATCAACATCTTCTTCAACTCCAGCCCCCGTCCTTGCTTTATTCCAAGATGCCGCCAAAAACTCACCTTCGTGGCTCGATTGGGACAGATTTAAGGGAGGTCAAGATTTGTGGCGATATAAGCATCATCTGCGTGGGAACTTGGGTGCTCAGATGGCCCTTTTTGCAGGATTCGTTATAGCGAGATTTGGGGAAGTTCTCCTTCGGTCTGGTTACGCCAGGGACAGCCACATAGCTGGAAAACGCTACACGGATACGGCGTTTATCGTGTCGGATTGGTTTCGATTGAGGAGGGAGACGAGAGGAGGAGAAGTTGGTGATGAAGATGAGAATACCAATACGAGCAAACGGGTACTAGACGAGTCTGATCATGCAGGTGCCAATACGACCCTTGACCACGACGCGCGCGACGCTATTGACACGAGTTGCCCACTTCTACGATCAATTTTCAACGTTCGTGTCATGCACGCATTGGCCCGGAAAGCATCCAGAAACCTCTTTGACGAGAAAACTGAGGGCATACCTCTCAGCCAATCCGATATGGTGGAGGTATTACTCGGGTTTACCGCAGTTCCCTTTTTCATCATCGAAAAAGAGTTTGGAATTGAATGGCGAGAACTGTTTGGAGAACGAGAAGTGATGTCGCGAAATGGTAGTATTACAGCAGGAGCTGGTACCGTAGTTTCAAGGCGGGGGATAGACGGTGGAGCAGCTGATACGAAGTCGTCGAATAAGACACTCCACCAGGCGCATTTCGATGGTCAAACGGCATCAAAGCACGAAGTAGAAGACCAAACTGTTGTCGATGAAGTAGATCGTCACAGGAAATTCAAAACCCCCGCTAAAGTGGGTAATAAAGCCTCAGCACTGGGAATTTCCGAGAACAACAAGAAAATGCCAGAAATCAACGCGGACGAACTTTTGGTGAGCACGCCAAGCACAGTCTCAACTGCTTCGGGTAGTACTAGTAGTCCACAAGAATCTGACGATCCACTATCACGAACCAACTTCTATGAAGTAGAAGATGTACAACCTCAGCTTACTCATCAAAGATTATCTGCGACTCCTTCTTTGTCGTGCTCCTCATCTCCTCTGACGTCATCGATCGACTCGATTTTTGCAGACAATACAGAAGATGAAGTACAACACTCTGGCGGAGGCTTGCGAGAACGCCGGTGCACTTCTACTGAAACTGATCAAGGACAAGAACAGTCATCTTCTACTCCAGCACAGTCATCTTCTGCTGCATCAGCACTCGCTGTAAATATTAATAAAGATCAACAGGAGCTCCGCGAACAAGGCGAGCATCATGATCAGAAACCAGAACAGGATAGAGCAGTAGCTCAAGAACGTGATCAAGAGGAACAAATTTTAATGGAACATCAAGAACGGGATTCAGATCCAATCATTCCCCTTTCCGAGAAACGGGAGATGATTTATACTTGGCGTGTAATCGCATTTTTTCTCGGCATCCGAGACGAATATAATGTCTGCGAATCAGTGGAAAAGATGGAAGAATTTTTTCAGGAACATTTCATGCCTTTTACGTTGCGTCGTTTCGCCACCTGTCGGATCTCAACAACAGAAAAGCTCCGTCGTACGGCAATAGAAGGCTTGGGTTGGCAGACTGGTGCTGGCGCTACGTTTTTCAAAGCACTTTTTGAAATAGGAATGCTGCACAGTCGACATTACGATTTTTCGCCTTACGCTGAAAGGAATCTACTTTGCACAGAAAAAATGACGACGTTGAATAGGGCTGCGTGGTTGCTGTCCTTTTTTAGAACGAAAATGAACTCGTGGACACAGCCAGCAGTCGTGAAAAATTCTTCCACTACAGCACCAACAACAACAGCTTCTTCTTCTCCTGTCATTCACGCTATCGCCTTGATGGTTTTGCGGATGGGCCTCGGGAGCAACTGGGTCAATGGAAACTTCATCATCCGCAAGTTAGCAGATGGTGTGAGAGATTGGAACTCGTTAGGCCCTAGAATGGATAAAGTGCGCGTTTTAATCCACTACGCAATCGCAATCTACATCATGGATCTCGTGGTGTGGAATATGATGGCTCTAGTGGTGGAGATGTTTGTTTAGAATGAGGATTTTGATCTGTTGATATCCACCAGAAGGTGTGTAACCGTGGTCGAGCCACGATAGCATGTCTAGATACGCCTTGGCGTTAATCTACTTCTCTGGTAAACTGTTGATCGAAGACATCTTTCATATCCTCTTGAAACCGAGCAAGATCAAGAACAAACAAAAGGAATACAACCTAGAGGAGGTTCTATCTCGCCTGACAGGATGGCAATGGGCATGCATTCAGTGCATTCCGCCTACAGCAGGAGGTTTTTCATGATCCACATTCGTAAGAGAAGATCAAAAAGATCATCGACAAAGGCTTGACAAAAAGAGAGAGATCTGATCTTTTGTGAGAAAGCAATGTCAAAAAACGAGATCGAGCTCGGCAGGATCAGACCACAAAAGGTGGCTCAATATACAGTAGAAGCGCTACAACTTGTACTTACATATTACAACTACAACAACTACAACTCGTTACCAGGAACAAGAGGAGGGTCCATCATTTTCATTTACGTAAGATGCTATTTTGATGTAGGTAAGCTTTTGGGGTCGTTTTTACATTTACGTCTTCTTCGTCCTTAGATGAAAAGCGAAACCATGGTTTCCACAGAGCAGACAAAATGGCGATCCATTCGCTTGGATCATCCTCAAGGATCATGTGGGAGTGGGTCTTCCACGTCCTCATCATCACCCACCTCTTCTATCGCGAAAGGGACACCTACAACGAAAGGGACACCTAAAACGACTTCAATCCGTGTCACCAACGCCGCTATAGAAGATGCGAGGAGTAGTTGTAAGCTAGTCAGCGGCAGTGAAGAAGTCGACCGATGGAGTGGCCAGGCAGTGTGGGAATGCTCGGTGGATCTGGCTAGGTACCTGATGTCGGAGGAGGGGAAACGGTTGCTCGATGGTGCGAGAGGAGAATCTGAGTCAGGAGAACGCGATTATAGATCTACTTCGTGTTATTTGTCAGTACTGGAACTCGGATGCGGTCATGCGCTTCCATCCATAGCACTCGCTCTTGCCAGTGGGAAAGTCCGTCTTACTCTACAAGATTATGACCCTGCAGTATTGGAAACGGTGACGAAGGCGAATGTTGTCGAGAATCTGATAAAAGAAAATGATGACTCCTCTTTTCAACATCAAGAGGATGTGACCTACCTGCCAGGCACGTGGGAAGACATGTTACGAAATAATGCCTCGGCCGACATTAGTCCATGTCAAGGAAGAAGCACTACGGGCCAAGAGCAAGAAGCAGTTCAAGTGGGCGTTCTAGAAGAATGGGGTCGTGTAAGGGTATCGGCGCTGAGTGCTCTCAACGTGGTGAAGGACTCCGATCTGCCAGCTTGTGATAACCCAGTATACGACGACGACGTCATCAGTGAAACGAGCAGCAGCTGTGGTAGCGATGAAGATGCAGAGGGCGATGAAGGTATGGTTGATGAAGGTCGTGGAAAGGACGAAGAAGAAGAGCGAGGAGCAGATGACCCAGATGGAAAACTGCCTGAGCCAGGCGAGGAGACTTTTCTCGAATTCTGGCCTATTAAGGGGGGAAATGCGGACTCGCGTCCTCATCCGTCCACCTCATCTACCTCTCCTGCAGCCTCAGCGACATCCCCGACGACATGTTCCCCTGCGACCCCCAGCAACACTGGCCTCCCTTCTCCACAAGAGGAAGAGACCTCCACAGAATTTTCCGACGTCATCCTCTGCAGCGAAGGCATCTACAAGGAGGAAACGTTCCCTGTCCTATACAAGCTCCTTTTAGCGAAGTTGCGGCCAAAGACTGGGATAGCTCTGTTTGCCGGTAAGAAGTTTTACTTTGGATGTGGTGGCGGGACACGACTCTTTGCTGACTATGTGCGGTCACAACAAGAAAGAGCTTTGGAAGTTGAAGTCTTGCAGGAAATCAAGAACAAAAAGTCTAACATACGCGAAATCTTGTTGCTTCGATGGAAAGACATTGACGTCCCGTCTACATGTTAGATATACCCACTTTGTCCTCGAGAATAAGAATATCCACCCTGTCTCTGAGTATCCGAAGTCAAATTTTCTTCGCCAACGCTGTCTCGTCTGCAATGACCATGTTGAGCATAAAACCAGATGTTCAACAATAAAGCGTTCATTGTTATCATTCTGTGCTTACGGTTCTGATAAAACTACAACACGCGAAGAGATAGAACAGGAGTGTGAAGACTACATCGGTAGCAATGTCTCGGTAGAGGGCTGGCTCAACGTCCAAAAGATGAATTTGAAATGTCCATCAATACAACTAAGGCTTATCTTCAACAACATACCCGCCTTTACCTCTTGCACACCTTGCTAAGACGGCGCTTTAAAACTCCGCCACGTTCCCCCGACTCCGAGGTGCCTTAGTAAAGATGGGACGCACTGGCCGAGGTGAGTACGCCTACGAGCGTACCCCACAACACGAAACACCACAAACATGGACCCGCGTTGAAAATGGCGCTCCGTCTCCTGAAGGTCACCAAAAGGAGGTTGGAGAGGAACGACATGTGATGTCTTTATCGCAAAAGAAGCCTCCTCGCGTTCTCTTATTGGCATCAACCCCAGAAAAAGACAGAGATGCGGCAGACGACGATGTTGACCATGATCTCGATTCAAGTTCCTCATCTGCTGACGATGCTTTCGCGACACTATCACCTGGAACTAATCCTCATGGCGGCCATAAAACGCCGATGTCGAAGAACGAGACAGATATAATCGCATCAACCAAGTCCTGGACCAAGTGGTGGTCCTACTTTTCCTTATCCCCTGTCACATTGATCATCATCGTTTGCATGGTTGACGCAGCAGATCGAGCCTTGATTGATGCCTGCTATAAGCCCTTTGAGAAGGATTTTGGGTTTCGACCTCGAGACTTAGGGTTTATGACTCTATGTCAATTGTTATCCGCTTCTATAGCATTGCCATTTTGGGGTGCGGCGCTCCCGAAATATGGTGCCCGGAAATTGCTTGGATTGTCGTGTACCCTTTGGGCGGGAACGACATTTCTGTCGCCATGGGCCTCGAATATTTGGGCACAGTGTTTTTTATGGATATGGATGAATGGTGGCTGATGCTTGTTCTTCTACTCCCAGTGAGAAGTACCGCGATTGCGAAAAGCTACTACCTTCTCTTTGCAGCATCTTCTAACCTCAGTACGATTAATAAACGGTGCTGCCTTGTCTGGGGTCATGCCAGTGTCGCAGGCAGTCTTAGCCGATGTCATTCCCGAGGAGAGGAGGGGAGCGGCTTTCGGCACGGTCGGGTCTTTGCTTATGGCTCTGTGTATCGTGTTTGTGCGTTCTGAGTACTTAGAACAAGAAGAACCTAACACCCACGAAGATTCTAGTATTCGTATTTTTAGTCATGGACCTGTGCCTGAAGATTCTTGTTACGCACTCATAAAGGACCTTACATCAACATGGGCAGGAGTTTCAGGAACAAGAACTCATCTTCACCCTCTAACGAAGACACCATAGCCAAGGTGGTCGTTACCTACTTTGTGATCAGTGCAGGCGACAATTGGAGATGGGGTTTTTACATCATTGGAAGCGTCTCGTTTCTGTTGATCTATCTCATTCAAACGCAGTTGCCGGAAGACTACGGCAAGTCGGAAGCATCCAGAGAGGGATACGGCATGATGGCGATCAGGATCATGCGAAAAATTGTCAAGATACCAAGCTTCTGTGCTATGATGAAACTGTGTTTTCATTCTCTCTCTTCTCTCAGTCTCACGACGAAAAACGTCAATATTTATTATACGACTTCTTGTTGTTGTTCTCTAATCTCCTTTACCTTTTGTGCTTGTGATCATGAATCTCCCATTCTATGATTTGCTTCCGGCCTCTGTATCACGTTTTCCCCCTCCACTCTCATGATTCTTCATTCATAGTAGTCCTCGTGTTGCAGGGCGTGGCAGGCGGGACACCTTGGCAGACATTCAGTTTCCTGAACATGTACTGGCTGACCCTCGGATTCTCAAATGAGGAAGCAGCAACGATTGCCTCAGTCAGCTGTAGCGGTGCTATCTTTGGCGCGTTTTTGGGCGGTCGGTTAGGTGATTTTTCAGCACGGTTGATTCCCGATGGCCGCGGACGGATTTTCATAGCACAGCTTTCTGTCGCTGGCGGTGTGCCATTCTTCATCCTGATGCTCACAAGCAGCGTCGTCGATGGCAGTAGTGTGATGCAGGCATGCACTTTCGGGTTTCTGTTTTACGTGATCGCAACCTGGTGTCCTTTTGCTGCGAATCAGCCAATATGCGCAGAGCTGGTATTAGATATTCTCAGGAAGTTTCTTCTTCTAGCACTTGCTGTTTGATGATCGACTGATTGATCTTTTTTTGGATACAACAGCATGATCAATACGTTTGCAGCACTTCGAGGTTTCAAGCAAAAAATCTATATCTATGTATAGGTAGTTTGGTCATGATTCACTCACTGCTCTCAGGTCACCTCTTCAGCCGAGCGTGCTCAGATCTTGGCTCTGTGGGTTTTGATTGAAGGAACTGCGGGTGCCGTTTTCGGCTCGCCTATTGTCGGCCTATTGTCTGAGGCATTTGGCTACGACCTCGCGAAAGCGAAAAGAGAACAAGAAGCCTTAGAACAACTAAGGTATGAACAGCAAGAACTAGCAAATGGAGGTGCATCTGTAGCAACATCAGGAGCTTCGTCATCATCTGGCTCTGCGTCTTTGGGCATGACTGGAAAGTCATCATCCTCCTCAGGAGGAACATCAGGAGCAACAACTGCAACTCCTCAACAGCTCCCCTTGTTTCCCCTGAACCAACTACAAGAAACAAAAAACGCAGAGGCGCTTAGTTCTGCGTTGAAAGGATTGGGCATTGTTTGTTGGTCCGTTTGCTTCTTGTGCTGGACCGTGATGTACTGGACGTTCCCGAGAGACAGGGAGAAGGCGAGGAAATTATGACGAAGTGGAAATGTAGGTCTTGCTCTTCTAAAAACAGTTTTCAATGTACTTCTTAGATTTTCAAAAATTTTTCCATGTTATTTCTTGTTGTAAGAAATGTCCTCCATGTCTAATTTCAGAACAAATGCTTCTCGACGCGCAGCAAGTGGAGCAAAGGACGACCTCGAACGAAAGACCGGCAAGAAAGAAGGACGGGGGCAATCTGCTCGATCTTGAAGCTCCCGAAGAGGGTGTGGGTTTAGAAGAAGTCCAACTTGCATCTTTAGACGATCATGACCCTGCTAGGGAACAGCAACAACAGCTTGTCCCGAAAAGTACAAGCTCAATTAGTCCTCCAAGCAGAGGCAGGAATAAGCAGAAGGTAGGTGGAGAAGTAGAGGTACTAAACTCTCGACAAGAACGCCCCATGATGAAACTTCCTGACATTAAGGGTTGAGACATTTCATTTTTACAAGTCTTCTGTACTTCAGAATAAGATTGCTACAACTAAATAAAAAATGAAATGTTTCAACCTTTAATGACAACATAGTTGGTCACCAAGCATCGCGAGCTTCAGAAGATCACGCGGTAACCAGGACTCCTGGAGGAGAGTCGACAGACTCTAACACGTGGATCATACCAGGAAGCAACAGGAAGAACCGACACGATGGGCGCTTTGCCAGAGGAGCTTCTAGTCGGGGGAGAGAGCCAGCGGATGCGTTGTAGGACAAGGGGAAAAAGCTCACACCATGAACAAGACTAACTATAGCTGACATTTACCATGAACATCAGTCATCAGATCAGGATCAGGATCAGGATCAGGATGATCGCAAAAGATGTATGGGTCTGTAAATGAGAGTTGTAGTGCCCTCCGACTGATGAGAACGGTAACATGTTACACAATGATCACTGACTTCGGGCCGCTGGACCTTTCGCATAAATGAAAACCTCAGTTAAAACTTCCCAGTGAAACTCTCAGTTACAAGCAGATACTCCTGTAGTGTCCGCGGGTAACTCCGGAAGGCTTCTAGCAGTCCGCAACATCACTGTGTCACATCAAATCAGGATCAGGATGATCGCAAAAGATATCGTGCTCATAGTCACACTACCTACCAAAGGTTTTCTCTGGCTGAGCAGGAGATGGAGAGCAGTAGATGGAGAGCTGGAGATGGAGCGATAGTTTTTGAGGTCACAGCAGCGGGGCTGTGAGGAGAGCAGAACAAGGCACGCAAGGGTTTACTGTAAAGAAAGAAAAGCAAGTCAAGAGTGTGCAGCGCAAGGATGCGGTCACGAAAACAAAAAGCTCTCTTCAGTGATTTCCAAAACTACAATGCCGTTCCTGTCCCCGACAAGAAATTAAGACGGTTAGCGATTTCCAAAACTACAATGCCGTTCCTGTCCACGAGGAGAAAGTGCTCCTAACTTGCTGGCCCGAGTTTTACGACCTTCACGCGTCGTTTTCTTGCTGTAGCCATACTTTATTCTGGCTCAGCCGCTGACGACCGAGACCTCAACGAACATGCGGCGCTTTTTTGTCGCGATACTTCTCGCCCAAATAACAGCTGTTGGTGGTCAATCTCCAGTCGCCTCGAACCTAGTCCAGCAACTTGCAGAAGACATCAACCGGATCGAAGTCAAGGGAGTATCAGGCAAACGGTTTAGCGGCGAAGCTTTTCGAGTATCACAGGTGCCGAAAAGCTTTCAGAATCTGAAACGATCAGATTTGAAGGACTTGAGGATTAGGGCAAGAACACCAACAAGAAGGAAGTTGTTTGAAATGAATCAATGGAATAAGAATAATTTTCTGTGCTGCAACATTGATCAACATAAACCATAGTCCAACATTGATCATAAACCATAGATCTACAACTTCTAATCCCAGTGCCGAAAAACGCAAACATTGTCCCAGATGGATTGTCGTCACATCAATATTCCAACCCTCCGATGCTGTGCGCAAGTTGGGCGAAATGACGAAGAAAGGATGGTGTTTCGTAGTCGTCGCAGACGTTAATGGCCCGACTGACTATTATGGCTGACGAGACCAGAGCTGATGACTTCCGGAAGGAAAGGCTCATCTAGAATTCATTTTTTTAAATTAGAATCGTTTCTTGAATTCTAAGGCCAAGGAGATCATTACTTGCAATTACCTACATGTTGTAGCCTGATCGTAGTTCTTACCGTCTAATAACCCGACGATGTCGAAGGCGTTGTGTACCTTACACCGCAACACCAAAAGCGGCTTCACTACCACATCGTGGACTACATTCCATGGCGTCACTTTGGAAGGAAAAACATCGGTTTTCTTTATGCTATAGAGCATGGGGCGGAGGTAATCTACGATACGGACGATGATAACCGGATAAAGGAGTTGGAGTTATGCGATGCTTCTCATACTTCTTTCTTCAATGAGCGTGTGGCGGTTCCACGCGACATCAAATGCGATGTATTGATCCCCTCTAATGCGGATACCAATCTGGCTCCCAGAACGCAACGAGACGCTCGAAGGCGGTCCGTATGTGCCACTGAAGATGTACAGTGTGGATCAGAAGTGGAATAGAAATGTGGTGAATAGTTACCTTGATTAAGGCTACCGCGGAACCATATCCTGAATATCATCCTTGGCCCATTTTTCAAGGAGAAAAAGGGACCAGGGAGGTTCTCGGGGATGCGAGCGCGGTAGCTCTAACTTGACTTTGAACCCACGTGCGGAGAAAGGATATGGCCAAGAGGTTTCCCATTAGACAACATCAACGACGCGAAAGACCAGCATCCACAGCTGACGGAGATGGAGGGAGCGAAGATTATGGAAGGGTTTACTTCTATGCCTTCAGCTTTAACATCGGATAGAAGCATCAGGAATGCTCTTCTCCTCGGATCTTCTTCTCATGAAGTAGAGTACTATCTACTTCTTGCCGTTGCCTCATCTAGGATCTTCTTCTCATGAAGTAGAGTACTATCTACTTCTTGCCGTTGCCTCATCTAAGACAAAGCCTCCCGCAATCCAGCAGTTCCTAGCCGACGAAGATCCAGATGTGGATGCGATTTTTCGTCTCACTGGTCAGTTGCCTTGCCGGTTCGCGGAAAAAAGGCATGCAGTGGTCCTCCCAAAAGGGCAATTGACGCCCTACAATGCTCAATGTGTCGTCAATTTGAAAAGTGCGTTTTGGGCATTGCTTTTGCCAGTGACGGTGAATGGACGAGTGTCGGATATTTGGCGAAGCTACATTGCGCAGAAACTGCTGTGGGATATTGATGAGGTACTTGTTTTTTGACAAAGGTTTTTACTTACGAAACCAGGAGCAATGATAATGAATAACGACCGTATGTACTAGATGAAAAGTCGCGGCATCTAGAGTTATCGTTCTGGTGACCAGAGAAGAAGATGAGGATGGTCGTCTTTGTCCAATTTTCATATGAACCACAACAACAGCACGTCGCCTTCATGCCAGCCCACGTGATACACGACCGCGTCTTTCACGATTATTTGAAGGACTTTCAATCAGAACTTGACTTGTATCTAAAGGGTGGGGCTTTAGTCAAGTTCCTAGTGGGGTGGAGATCCGACGCGCCTACCTTGGTAGAGAGGATAGAACAATTGTGGACCGAACTCTATGAGCGAGGCTTCGTCGAAGAAGGAGACTTGAGGCTAGCTCAAGCGTGGATTCGGGATTTGTTGGCTTTGGGATACAGGTTTCCTGAACTGAAAATACCGAAAATTTTATCAGCGAGGAGTGCCGGGGTTGGGGAAGCTTCTCGTGGTGGAGTGGAAATGGGCAGTGGAGGTGGCGAACTCTAGTGTGATTGGAGCATTACACTCGCATTCTAATGTTGACACCGTCCTAGCGTTTTTAACTTCTGTTCTTAGTTATCATGTCATGGTCATGCAGATGCACCCGTGCTCGTGCAGTTGATGCGCTCACTACTATGATATCGCTATGATTTCCGTCGACTCGACACGAGATCTTATTTAGGGAAATTGCAATTGGTTCTTGATTTTCACTCGTCATCAGCATATGCTGTTTTCTGAAGTAGTCACAGTTGAAGATCCACGTTGTAAAAAAATACTGTTCATCAGAAAGAAAGGATCCTTATCACAAGACGCACCAGCATGGCCTAGTACCATCAACGAACAAATTTTTTCTAGTTCCACCGATTTGAAAGAACCGGTCAGAAAAGTCTTCACGGCCGCCCACAAGATCTTGCTCTTACTGCTCGTGATCAGATACGAAAGAGCCAGATCTTGATTCCGCTTGCATTAGCGCAGTAGATTTCTTTTGAAGAGATCCTGTGGCATCAATTTCCATTCACTTGACGTTCAGATGCAGGGCGGCAATACTTGGAGTATTTGTAACTGGTAGATTTTGATTTTCCTCTGCTCTTGTTTGTTGTATACCCGGCGCTCTCCCTGTGCTTATTAATACTAGAGAAAGCCTCCTCAGCATGAAATTGAAACGGCCTTAAACCCTCTTCACGTCTTCCTATTCACCTTCTAGCGACGCGACATCAAAAAAATGAAGCCACAACAAGCGACACAGAAGCTCCATTTCGGCTACGACCTGGCGTTCGTAGCACAGAAGATTTTCGCCGAACGAGATGCGAAATTCGGAACGCGACCTCAATTTCGCGTAGGTCTCCAGTTTCCTACTCGGGAAGAGTCAGTGCCGAGTGTCAGGGTCTTGACTCGAGAACTGGATTTGTTAGAAGAGGAGAGTTCTGGTGCTAGTTCCAGTTCAACATCCACCAGGAACAACAGGTCAAGTAGCGGAGTTGTTGCAAATGATGAAAAACCACCTCCACGAATTCAGCTCTGTATCCTTGGCGACTCGGACTATGGTCATTGCTGCGTCGACGAGATATCGGCGCAGCACTACGATTGCGATCTGATAGTGCATTTCGGGCACACCTGCTTGACTATTCCACGTAGGATACCGACACTCTTCTGCATGAGATGCAGACGACTTGACTTGGTCAAAAATGAGGGAGCAGATGAAAATGGGTCTGCACTAGATTCTTGTTGTGTGTCTGTGCGACGGGCGTTGAAGGAAATATGCCAATCTTCGTCTGGTAGGTCATCTTCATCCTCGTCCACGTCTCCCAAACGAACTATGCTGATTTACGACGCTGGCATTCCAGAAAGGGAAGTGTGCGAGCTATTGAAGCCTGATTACATTTGCGTGGTGCCAGATTCACTGGAAGAAGGTTTTTCGGTTTTCGAAGATGAAGGACAGCTGCAAGTAGAAGTAGGACTCTGTCGTGGTCATACTATTACTAGCACAGCTGGATCATCTTGTTCAAGAAGTTCAACATGCAGCAAGACCAACAGCACCACTGGTGGAAATGGAAAAGCGAAGAAGTCTGGATCGAAGAAGGGAACGAAAGTAGATGTAGCGGTCGTGACATCAGAGGAATCTGTTGTGGATGCAGCTATGTCCATCAGGAGATCCACTACCTTCTTTTCCGTCTCTCTGCATGCGACTGCCCTTGGCTTAACGCCTGACTGGTATCGTCGCTTCTTCACTCCCGCTGAGGTGACGACAGTTTGCGGTCGCGAAGTGATGTCAATTAGGCAGCGATATCCTGATTTGGCTCCACCAGGTTCCTCTTCATGCACAGCATCGTCGGAGTTCCGTTACGTGTACGTAGGATGTCAGCATGATCTTTTGCAAACTCTGATCGTGCGTTTTGGGTCTGTAACACATGTCGACACTAGAGACCTGCCTTTCTTGAACGACGATGAAGAAGCTTCATCTAGATCGCCTTCATCTGCTGGAGAAACAAGAAGTCCGACATCTACTTCAAGAAGTCCTTCAAGTGCAGACACGGACTCTGTTGACTCAGTCTACAACATTCCGCACCAGCAGAGGTTGCAACACCATGACAGCAGTGAGATGATGCGACAGCGTTTTTCTAGCGGCGTTATGGCTTTGCAACGGGCCAAACACGTAGGACTCCTTTTCGCAGCTATGGACCGACCTTACTTACTGCCCTTAGCCTCCCATCTCGAGAAGCATCTAGCTTTGGCAGGCAAAGCGACGTATCGGGTGTCAGTCGGAAAACTGGATGTCACCAAACTGTGCAATCTCGAGGAAATCGATTGTTGGATTCTACTCGCTTGTCCAGAACGATTCTTCGCCTTCCTAAGTGAGCAACGGGAGTATCCGAAACCGTTTATATCTCCGTATGAGGCTGAAGTGGCGTTGGACTTGAGACCTTGGGATGGATATTGCGGATACAAGGCAGACCCTTCGGATCTGGGCAAAGATGCAGCTGCTGCTTTGGCGGCAGACATGGCTGAAGTACATAGACAGGCACAGGCAGACGTAGGGGGTGGAGCACGAGTAGGAAACGACGAGAGAATATTAGGTCAACATCAACAGAATCATCTAACCTTTGACAACTCCCGTCGAGCTTGGCAAGGTTATGAAGATGAGCCAGCGCCCATTGCAACCGTTGAACAAGGAATGACGGGAATTGCTTGCAAATATGATGATGAACAATAGGTATAGCGTGCGACTGCTTTTACCCCACAAGCTTATACCAATACCTCCCTACCATCAATACCAACAGACTCCAACATAGTAACAACTTGAAACGAGAGAACATCTGGATCTGCAAAATGCAGTTTGCTAAGATCATCATCACGTCTCTAGACATGTACTTCTGCTTGCAATGCAAGTATGGGGATGCCCTTGTGTTCGTGTAGAGCGAATGTGAATGATTCAGCGACGAGAACAATCAATTATCTGTAATAGTGATGCAAGTCTTTTCTGTCTGAGAGCGACGAGAACGAGATCCTATGAAGATCCGCCCGAATTTCTTTCTGTCAGTTGAGATTGGAACATCTGTCAACGAGGGACGAGGGCGAGTGAAAAAATTTATTGTCCTACAAGAAGGTTTCTGTGCTGAGCCTGAGATGAAGTGAAAGAAAAATCAAAATGCTCAATCACGTAATGACACCCTCATGGCCATCACAAATCATCGTCCTGATCCTACTTTCCCAAATTACCCAAACGATGTCGTAAACATCGCCCTCTTTTTAAACTACTTACGTGGTTTGCTTTGTTTTAACACACTTTTTCCACCTTCAAAATCATCTTCTAACTTGTAGTTCAGAAGTTCCACAGAAGTAGTTTAGATTCTACTTTCTAGACTTGTTTTAGACTTCTTCGGGTAGTTTAGAAGTCAAGCAACCTCAAAAAATCAAAATGGGTTGTGGTGCATCTACAGGAAAGGCGGTCGCGGCCGCTGACGGAAGTGTTCCGGCAGCCTCCGTTGGTTCCCACAACGCTGCCCCAGCCTCGACGGTCGCACCGATGGTCTCTAAGAGTATTGATTTATTTTAGCTGTGAATGTGAACAATGTGATTCATATTTCTCACTTTCACTCGTCGTGATCATATTCGTCTTTGGATTAGAATTTGAATCGCGATTCCGACTTACGAACTCATGACTGCTGATAATGATAGTGCTGTTGTACTATTATCTTTTTCTTACCCTACTTACCCAGATGAATTTTGAGAAGGTAAGTACCTACTCCTACATCAAGCACTACAATATATAGTGAAAAATATAGTCCGTTTCCACAATATCGATATCCACCCACGACCACGGAATCAACCACATCAGATAACCGTTTCCCGCAGGACAATAACAAGTGTTCTGCCTACAACGCGTGCGCTCAGGCTCACGAACAGATGGGCGCTGAGTTCATTCCATCTTTGACCGAGTTGACTGAGTTCTTTGCCAAAAAGCCAAAGAACTACTCTCGATCCGATGACACCGTTAAGGCCTACTGATGTGAATGTGAATCATCAATAATTGATGATCAATCAATCTAGAGATTGCTGATGAATCGTCTAGAGATTGAGAACGAGCATCGTCCTCTTCCTTGACGACGTGTGCGTGTTTTCAAGGGGAAAGTAGAGATATTGAGAATAATATTCGTGAAATTATCTTCTAATATCCGTGACGAGCTGAAGAGCTTGTTGAAGAAGGTGCTGAACGCCACGGACCGCTTCGATCGCCGTGTGAAGCATGCCATCACGGCTCGACGAAACATCGGTCTCTTGAACCCACAGCCGTACATGGCGAAGTACATCGAACAGTTGCGTCATCGCTACAACATCACGATTTTGAACCCGGATGAGACTGACAGCTCCAAGGAGACCATCGCTGCTCTCGCTGCGGAGTGCAAGGAAAAGGTTTGATTTTTCGTTCTTTTGTATTTCTGCGGTGTACCTTAAGTCGGTGTAGTTGGGGAAAATTAGAACAAAAAAGACGAGGGAAAAATGTCTAGAGGTACTTTTTAGAAGCGTTAAATCTGTCTTTTCTTTCTCTTTTCACTACATCATAATCATTCACTACATCATTTTTCAATGCATCTTCATTCACAACAGGACATCCCGAGCATCGTTGGTCTTGCGCAGAAGGATTCTTGGCAACACGCATTGATCAACCGCGAGATGGGACATGTGTCGATTTCTTCTCTCGCATACCTAGTGGCCATGAACAAGTTTATGCAACGCACCATTGAAGCAAAGCCGTTCTTCTTCGCTCCAGTCACTCCGGAGACGGAGACGAATGACGAGATTGTTGCTAAGGTACCTATGATTCTTGTCTAGGGGTGATTGATGTACTTACATCATGCAGTTCGACGAAGGTCTATCTGACTTACAACTTTCCCCCTACTTTTGAAGATTAATAGTGAATGAAATCACTATCATCAAAAAATGCAAGTTACAACAGTTGTTAATCTCCAGGAATAGTTACTGCACAGGTAGAAGAATTAGTTTTCTCCGGAAACCACAACCCAAGCTCTTCCTCCGCCTCATCTCTCTTCAGATCCCAGAAAACGAATGGCCGTGCATGTTGAAGAACACTTCGTTGTCTTTGGGTCGCGGTGTCTTCCGCTGCAAAACCCCGGAAGCTATGTGCGCTATCTTGGACGAGTACCGTGGAAACACAGCGCTTCAGGTAATGGGGCTACGATGAAGCTAGAGATTTTGCTTTAATATTTGACAGCGTCGTCGTTGTGTGAACGGAATAAAACATGATGACGTTGTTCCACGTTTATAGGTTTCCCGTTTTATTACAAAGAGTTTTTTTAAGATTCCTGATCAGAAAAAGAACTACAACTTCTACATCTACAGTAAGCCGACATCCTCCAAAACTCTCTCCTACCAGGCCGCCATCAAGAAGACCAACGACTCCATCTTGGAGCACTTCACCGAAGACGATCGTTCCAAGCTCGACTGCGCTGTCCCGCCGTTCCTGTTAAGGCTTGGACGAAGCATCCACTAGCTGCTTTACTTGGAAAAGCATCTATTATCATAAAATATTACTTTTAAGTGTTCAAGAATTTTCATTTCTTCCACTGGATTTGGTACTATTGTCTGTAATTTATTGATCGTGAATGGTCGCTGTTTGTGTGTGCTCGACTGCGCTGTCCCACCGTTCCTCGGAATGATGGTCTTAAGGATGGATTAGGGTGCGGTCTAATTCTGGTTGAGCACTGCGTCAACTTGGAACTCGGTTGGGTCGAGTACTGCTACGAAGGTTGCATCTCGGAAGAGGGAAAGCTGGCGCACTACGGTTTCACTGAGGAGATGTACTCCACCGACCACGCTGGCCTGGCCTACATCACGCCACCGATGTCCTACCCGCGTGACAAGATCAAGGACTTGGAAAACTATTTGGAGTTATGATTGTGGGACGATTTGGATTTTGATTTGACTTCTGCTTGATACTTCTTGCAAAAGAAATACTCTATTTCGAACTCCCGGCAGCTTTTTAGAACAATGAAGGTGGTACTTGTCCTCTCTCTAATCTTCGGCTACATGAGCGGATTGATCAAGAAGGGATATTTGCGTCAGTTCTTTAACGTTGAGATCTGGGCTTTGGCTCCGGAGAACGGACCCGTCGAGTTCTGTTTCTGCGAGATTAACCCGCGTTGCGCACACGCTTACCACATTCCTTACCAGATTGCCTACAAGGTAATTGTTTGTTAGATGCGCTGATACTAATTTTGGTACTAGAATTTTTAGCTAGGCGTAGGCGTTGGAGATTCACGGAAAGACGGAAAAAACTTCTAAATTATTTGTAGTGAGGCATGGTAAAAAAGAAAATATCCTCGCACATCTTCACATCAAATCGACACCTCAACAAGATCATTCCCCACTTCTCACCAGACCAACTTGTGGGCTGACAACTTCGATTTGGTCCTGGATAACAAGTTGCCGACTGTCACTCCTTGGTCCAAGTGGACTGATAACGATTACACCGTGTCTCTGCAAGCCCTTATCAACGTTATGGGCTGCGAAGGAAAGCTGGTCCGCGAAATCCTCGACTACCAATTCGTAGACCACATTGAGGGAACCGGCAAGGTCGAGCTCGTCCGTCACGTCAAGCAGCGCGACTACACCATCACCGCTGATGATGTTAAGGCTTGTTGTAGTTTGTGATAAGTGTACAGGTCAACGCCTAAACGACGAAGCCCACTGCGCTTTTTTTTGATATTGCCGGGTCTCGAGCCCTGCCCTAGGTAGTTTGATTGATAAGTGTACATTACAGGTCAGCGCCTAAACCACGAAGCCAACCGCTCAGTTTGTTCTACTGTAATGCAACACTTTGAGAACCTGCTTCTTCCTTTGGCTCGTTTCTGAAGAGAGAAGCTAAGAATAAAAAGTCGTGTCAAGAAAGGTGAGCTTGTTTTTAAGATGAGTTCGCGCAGCAAGCTCTAACGATTCCGCTTCCGGCGCTGGCTGCACTCTGCTGCAGATCTTCATCAAGTGCACGACGCACGAAGAAGCTGCCGCCTACGAGGTCGCTCTGCGTGACATCATCTACCGAATCCCGCAGGGAGACAAGCAGCCGGACTGGTGGCTGGCGAAGGCCGCTAAGGGCAACGTGGAGGCACAGAGGGCCAAGCTGCAGGAGGGTCTGGAACGTGTCGACGCCGACACCTACGATCAGCTCGCCGCTGCCAAGACCAACAAGGACTGAAGTCGTCTAGCTTTCCTTGTGATGGAGCTGCTCATGGAAGTCAAAACTTCTAGTAGAGGAGTTGATGTTGCTGACAACGTGGAGGCCGGTCATTACGCGCAGTTTGTGAGTGGTTCTCTTCGTCCAATGAACAACGCAGAGCAACAAAAAACAACAAAAGGAAATAGTACTGCAGAATAGAACGCTCTCTATTAATTTTACCAGATGGGGGAGGAGCTCCCTAAATCATGGCATTGGCAATCTCATTTTGATTTTGAAGCTGAAAAGCAAGAACAATAACTGCAAACTTCTGGTGTTGATGGATAAGCAGGAGTAGTCCTGACAGACAAGAACTTCTACTACCTCTTCCTGTACCCCATTCTTGAAACGCGTTTTGGGAGGGGAAAGAGGAGGCCGCGCGCGTCTTTGAAGATGGAAAATAGACGCTGTTTCACAACTCTGACGAAATACTGTATCTATACGAAGTAAAACCTCTATATGATAACAGTGTATAACGCATGATGAATGAACTACTTGGTGCATTGACATGAAGTAAAAGAGAGGTGGATTTACAACTTACAAAGATAGAAACATAGAATAAAAAATTTGATAGGCAACAACAATACACTTCAATCTCGATATGAGTAGCTGTCATGGATGGTGATTTTTATGTTAATATGGAAAAAATAAAAACAAAAATAGAAAGAAGAACGAAGCATCTGAATTACAGCTGGTAAACGCATGAACATACTCGCAGGAAATGATAAGAGCAGCACGCGTGCTCGGGGAGGGATGAATAGGGCGTGCTTTTTTTTCGTTTTTGTATCAACCTTTGATAGAAAGTAGACGTGAAGTGTAGCTTGTTTCCCACTATGAACAGAAAGGATGTATAGCTAGATAGAGATGGAGATATCCTAATTATGTAATGCAGTTACTTCTACGTTACCCACTTGAAAAATCAAGTGTCGTGTATGAAACGCTTCAGTTTTGATCATTAGTAGTGGTATAATAAGATGAAAGGAGTTCTTTCGAACTCGTTACATGAATAGTGGGAAGTACCACAATGTCTCCCTGGTATCCTTGTCCACTTGAAGCGCCTGCATCCCTTTCCGCTGAGAGGATGGATAGGAAGCAAAATAGGGTTCCCATATTGCACATGCACATCAATCATGCTCGTAACGTCAGATGAACATGCACTGTTAGTTTATGAACAGATGAATAATCATGCGATCCGCATCGTGCATTCGGTTTTAGAAAAAGATTGACTGGGCCTCGGGGTAGGCAGAGGGAGTTGTAGTTACGTACGTTAAACGCACAGTACCAATAGCATAGTTGATGCATTACATGCTCTACCTTGATCGTCATTCTTTTGATCCTCGCCGCCTGCTCAGGCGTGCTTCGAGCACCGTTGGCGGTGAAACGGGTCTTGGATAGCCCTCTAATACTCGAAATCAAGCTCATCGGATGATCCTCTGTTTCTAAAATTTTATTTTTTCATCAGAGAGGGAGGTCGAAGGAATGTTCGAAAAAGATTTTTGCCCAATAAAAAAAATAGAAACAACGCTGACGCGCTTAAGTTTCTAAAATTCATCAGATCATGCGCCTGCTTTCCTTGTTTGAGAGTAGCGCGCGCTCAACCGTCCGACTATTACGCACGTCGACGGGAGCTCATCTTCCGAACCAAAGATTGAATTTAGAAATTGTTAAACCAAGATCCGGAAACGTGATAGTCTAAAGGCTTGTAAGCCCTGTCGCTGTGTAGGTTGCACTATGTTCGAAAATTTGAGGAGATTACGGTCGGGCGCGTGGGCTTTGCGTTAGGATCGCTTGAGGAACAAGTAAAAGTTGTAGTCTCAGAAGAATTAGGATCAGGATCTGAAAAAAAGGCATCTTAGCCTTACAAAAAAAAAAAAAATCAAAGATCATCGGAAAAGACATTACAACGTGGTCGCTCTGGTTTTAGAAGATCGAGAAAATTGAAACTATACTCAATGCTCAGGTGAGAGGGTCACATCTGCCGGGTTGTGCCAGAAGAATAGTCTAGGTCAACAAGAAGTGCTGTAAGATCCAGATCAGACACTTGGAGGGAAGAGTAGACTTGGAGATCTAGTTCCAAATCAAATGGTGAAGGTCCTGTTTGCCTTGTGGAAGGAAATGGAAATCTAAATCTAAGAAATATGAATTGAAAGTTCTTCTTGTGTAGGCGAGATCTAAATCCATCCTGGTGCTCATTTCTTTCTCGGTATGTTCCTGTTTATTAGAGCTGAAGAACTGAAGACCTAAATCTCTCTGCCTTGAAATTGAATTTTTTATTCTTCATTTGCGGTTGATGCGTATAGCACTACAACCACAACAATAATTGGTCACGACAATAACTTCCAAATAAACAGGGAAACGAGACAAGCATTGCCTTTTGGTCAAAGCTTTGTTTAAGCATCACCAAAACACAAGATGGCTATCGCTAAGAACAAGGGTCTCGCCAAGGGCGGCAAGAAGGGTCAGAAGAAGAAGCAGGCCGATCCGTTCCTGAAAAAGGTCTGGTATGACATCAAGGCCCCGACTTACTTCAACTGCAAGGGAAACAAGGTCGGACGTACCTGCGTCACCAAGACTCAAGGTATACCTCAGCTACAAATCGTGATTTTGATTTAGTACGCGCGCTATTGCGCTGCTCTCCACTGGATTTAGATTTCCTCGAAGTTGTGCGCCCACACTTCCAGATTGAAGTAAAAGCCTGATAATATTTATACCACCAGATTCTTCAACATGAAGTTCCATTTTCCGTCTCCAAATCTAAATTCACTTACCTACATCTTCGACGTTTCACGCCAAAATCTCAATACCTGACCCCAAAACCAAACCCACATGCAAAACGAACCCCTTCCGAATACAGGTAACAAGATCGAGACTGAGGGTCTCAAGGGCCGTATCTGCGAGTTCAACATGGCTGATATCCAGGACGGATCCGAGGATGGCTTCAAGAAGATCAAGCTCGAGATCCAAGAGATCCAGGGAAAGAACTGCCTGACCGACTTCCACGGTCTCGGAATCACCCGCGATAAGATGTGCCAGATGATCAAGAAGAAGCATTCTTTGATCGACGCCGTCGCTGATTGCAAGACTGCTGATGGTACTTTTGATTAAGATATTTAGTGGTCTTTCTATTAAAAAGATGCATATGTCGGTCTATCAGATGTGTCGAAATTCTATACTTTGAGATTTGGATGTTTAGATTGGGGCGTCGACATGGTCGAGGTTTTAATATAGAAATTGCAAGGGCGGTAGTAGTTTTAGCAGATTCACATCGTGAGGATATCAATCTGCGCTGCGCAGCACGAAAGCCGCCTGTCATCCTCTCATTCAAAATCACAGGCTACGTTGTCCGCATCTTCGTCATTGGTTTCACCAAGGATGTCAAGGACCACCAAGTCAAGGTCTTCACCTACGCTCAGACTGCTCAGATCAAGGCCATCCGCAAGAAGATGGTCGCCACTGTCCAGCAGATCGTCGGTGCCGGTCAGCTCAAGGATCTCGTCAAATTCCTCATCATGGACAAGATCGAGACGGACATCAAGTCCGCCACCAACCGTGTGTACCCGCTCGACCCGGTCCACATCCACAAGGTGAAGATCATCAAGAAGCCGAAGTTGGACATCACCAAGTTGATGGAGGTCCACGACATGTCTGGCGCAGCTGACGAAGGCGCACCGGTCGACCCGACCGAGCCGGAAGAGGCCAAGAACTTGTTGACCGCTTAATTTTGATTCGGTCATTGACGATGCCTTGGAGGAAGACGCTTGTCCTTGAAAACATGGAGAAGAGATGAAGAACAAGAGCAGAGCCGTGTCGTGGAAGCTGACTCCATCTTGCGGAGAACAATCTACTTGCGGAGAACATCCTCTGAAGAGGATAACGAAGGAGAATTCAAAGGACGATTGGTCGAGACGACGGTTCTCGGAAATACAGCCTGAGACCTCTTCATGAGACAACCGTCTTTGTGAGAAAAGTGTTGGTGAGGTGACCAAACAAAAAAAGAGCGGCGGCGCCCGACATGGGAGAAAGGTGTTGCCTCTGCGTGAAGCACTTGTTGTGTGTTCCAAGGAAATGGCGCAGCTCTGAATTCCGTACAAAGAAATCTGTTACTAGCGTTTATTTAGACAGTCACGAGAAATAGACCTGGTGAGACGCTGGTATAGAAAGGCGACTCTTATTTCGGTGCTGTGAGTGCCACTTCATCGGTGAGTGAGTAAGAGAGGTCTAGAGAGCGAGTGCGAGAGTTGGATTCCCCATGATTTAGATCAATCTTAATGAAACCGTCCCCCTTGAAGATGACCACTAACATGTCTAAAAGTGGCCTGATAGTTTTATTGACAACCAATATAATTCGCTGCGTCATCAACCTTTGTAAGCCGTCCTCATACGCGGTTGTCTGATCCGGGATATGAAAAGAATGGTCATGTCGAACTGCTAGTCTTCTGTATCCGTACCTCCTGCTCGGAGTCCATCTGGAAAATAGAAGAGAATAGCGAGGAGGCGAAGGCGAAGTGAAACAAGATCATGCTAACTTCTTCATCTTCAGCGTCTTTGTTGACGGAACCGTCGCACGCCAGAAGTAGCACGAGCAGTCCTAGAAGGAGGAGACGCGGTCAACATGCAAGGACAACGCGTCGGCTAGTCAGCGCTTTAGCACTCGCACCTCTCGTCCAAGTCAGCGGCATCGCTTTCTACCAAGACCCTCGCGAAATCAACTGCTTCTACGTAGCCGCAGTGACTGGTGCGCAAAGTGTCCAACTAAATTACGAGGTAGACCATGTCGATGGCGGATCACCCGGTGTGTCATTTAGCGTCCACAACCGGAAAAAACCAGAGCAGAAATTGGCGTCGAGTCAGGATAGCAAGCTGCAGATCCATCTGGGTGCAGACGCGCTGCAGAAGGGGAGTGTTGGGTATAATCAATCTTATGACTGATACCTTTAGATCTTGTAGAAGGTAGATAAGGTTAAGGAAATCTTCTTCTTCTTCAATGATCATCGGGGACATTTTTCATCTTATTCTTAAGACTTCTGACCCAACAGTTGTCCGTCTGATCTCACAGTAGTATCGCGTGGGAGAAGTAGATGGGAAACTTATTTGTGATGAACGCAGGTCCGACATGACTCTCGCAATTTGTTTTGAGGCGACGCATGGATCCGGAAGACAACTTGTGAACCTAGACGTAGCCGAAGAGGGCTATCAAAGCGGATATCCAGCAACCATGACGCACGCGGAGAGAACGGCAGCATTGGCGAATCAAATGACAGGGAAAATTATGGTCCGAAGTGTAAGTGTGGATGGAACGTCGTGGATTGAAGTAGATGACTGTGTGGTTTTTCGCAGTCCAAATCATAGTCAACTAGTCCAACACAATGCTCCAAACCCAATATAATTCCTGGTGCGACCGATTTTCCTCTAATCCCGTGGCACACATCCGTAGCCAACAAGAGTTTTCCCTCACGCGTGAAGCCATACGCAAGGAAGGTGTCGAGAGTCTGCGAGCATACACCATGTACTGGAAAGCGGCAGAGGCGTTGTGCGTGTTTGTCTTCGCTTTCATGCAGGTCTCAGTCTTGAGGGGCTATTTTGAGACGAAGGCCTGTGTGTAGGAAGCTTTTCAGAAGGGGCGAGTCGCGTCGTGTGGAGGTGCGTGTAGTGAAAATATGAGAAGTAGGAGTAAAAGACTTCTCTTTCTCTATCGGCGTATTAATGTGTGTTGAATGATATCTCTTTTCCTTTTGACTCCGCCAAACACTACACCGAGAATGATTATAGCACTTAGTTCAAACAAACACGAGTAATCGAGATCTACTGCGAATATCACCAGAAACCGATAAGCATCTTTTTTAAGCCATTGAAGTCAACCATGTTGACATGGTGTGTATTTGACGAGAATTCGCTTCCTGAGGTAGGAGGAGTGATGGCCGCTATCGAACTCACCTAAATGGAAAAATGGGGCACGTGCAAAGCGAACAAATTAGGCCAAGAAACGGTATATGAGCAGCCTAACTATCAACAAATCATGTCTCCGTCGTTACTCCAGCAAATTTACGTGACTGCAAGCAAATGCGAGCAGCTGATGATGCCCGCATCTAATGAAGACCTCCTGCATTTTGGAGGCCTTCAAAGTGCTGTCTGCGGTGCGTTGCGGGGATTTCGAGCAGCATTAGAGGAGAATCAGCATCAAGCAGGCGATGATGAACGAGCGTGGAGACAATTAGGTGAAGACTACTGGAGTGCAGTTTTGGATCTTTTGAGCTTTCTGCAATCATTACTGACGCTGTTCCGGACCAAGACGAACGGAAAAGACGATGAAGACGTTGCTCCGATTCCAGATTTGTTGGAGAGGGAGATCATCCGTGCAGAGGAGAAGATAAAAGTTGTTGCAGAGCTCCTGCTTGGAGGACGGGATCATGAACGCGGCGATGAAGATGATGAGAATCATCTCTGGGAAGATAGTCATAGTGAACAATATCTAGTCCTTCGGAGTCTAATCTCCTCCGGGGATGTCATCTCGTTCGTGCAGAAGTATGACCTGTTCTCGACAACGAAGATGCGTTGCAGCGGATGGGAGCTACAAAGAGCGTTAGAACTGCGATATCCGAATTCGAAGGATGATCTGAACAATTCGTTGGTCATCAACATCGCTGCTCAAGTCCAGCTGCTGCTGGACCGCTACGGAGTGGGAGAGGAAATATGTACTTTTAAATTTGTAGGCTGCATGCAAAACTTCTTGAGTATTGACTATCTCTTTACTTGGGTTGTTCAAAAGGATCCACGATAATACTTAAATTTGATCAGATCAGTCTCCGCGCATGATTTCGGAAGAATCAGTCCCCTGAAGAGATCCTGGTCACGTTCCTCAGCCGCGACGACATAGCCATCAGATCCCAGCATGATCACAACGTGCACCTTCGAAGGATGACACTTTCAAAGATTTTGTGAGGGGCAATGGGAAAGTCGAGTGGCCTTAGAGCTTGCTCTGAGGTTGCGAGGCAAGTACTCTGCCCTGAGGATAATCGACTAGGATTATGAGAGCTGAGATGGTGCATGGATCCTAGGGTCGAGGAATGAAAGACAGTCACGACGGATCACAAATATTTATATCATTTTTGAAAGTTCGAAGGCTGTGTCTCTGAACTCTACACTCCACGCTCCACCTTCTCTGCCATCATTCCAACAACATTCCAAAGACATCATTCCAAGAAGATCAAAAATGTTGACGTGATGACACAATGTGGCTTTTACACTTATGGCCTGTCCGAAGATATTTCTTCAGTGTGGTCTAAAACATGTAGGGTAAAATCTGACAAAACATTCTCCTGAGCTTGATGGCCTTGTTGATGCTCTATGATTGGAGTCGATGGAGGAAACGGTGACGAAGAGGGGAGTTGTAGATCTACTAGATCCTCTTGGTACAACTTCGTTCAGTGTGGCTGCAGATCAGAGTTTGCTGTGATGATAAAAGTGAGTCTTAACGGACGTGTCTGAAGATTCGTCTCGGTGTTGTCTCAAACATGTAGGGTAAAATCTGACACGAACTCGATGTGCGATGTATTAACTACAGCGACTACGGCATGCTTCTTTAGTAAGAACGCCCTCTACATCAAACAGAAAACGAAAAGCCTTTTCCTCCACCAGGTCTAGCCGATTTCGTCTTGATATTCGATACAGACAGCGAGACATTGTGGGAAGCTGTTGCTGCTCGCTCAGCCTGTCTCGAACCCGGTAGGGATGAGCTAAGCCAATATGTCCGATTCCACGCTCAGCTTGTTTCACGCGGACTTGTGGTGCAGTATGATGATTCGGTGGGAGGTACGGAAACGACACCGCGTCGACCTTTAATCTTCTTCCTGCGGCGTTTTGGTCGTTGGATGGAACTATTGTGCCGAGATGAAGCAGCGACGGCTTGCAAACAACTCTTTCTTCTCGACCAGGGCTGCTTTTCGGGATTCCGGGAACTTCTCGTCACCAGCAAGGTCTTCGCCCCACTAGGAGTTTCTCTCCATCTGCTCACGCCGGAGTTCTTCCAAGAAAATGATTGCGACATTATGTGGGCGCCAGATCCGGTTAGTTTTTCACCCTCTGGAAACTACCTAAGTCTACAACAACAACTTGCGTTGCAGTCAAGAGCACAGAGTAAAACTACTGGAGCACAATCGCTGTCGCCATCTGGTGCCGCAAGTCGAGCACAAACGCCTCCATGCACTGCAGTTCGGTTAGACGATGCCAGTTTCTCAGTTCCTGAAGTCCAGGAGCACTTGCGCGTGGCTAGAGCCCTTTTGGATGCTGAGAACGCGCTTTTGGATCGTACACAAAGGGCAATACAGACGTCAGTGGATGTTTACGAGGCGTCGAGAATCGGGCGAGATGAAGATCAATCGTCGGAAGAGCGAATAAATCGTGGGCGAACTTTGCAGCAGAAAGGCAACCTGCTGTCCTGCTGCTCTGAGGGAGCATTGGTCTTATCGGGTATGCTGGCCGACCTCGGCGACGCGGAGATGAACGAAGACGGTGAAGCCTATAATAGAGATTCTATCCATGCACAAAGGAACGCTCTAGCGGACTGGACCTTACGCGCCAGTCCATTTCTAGTCATCGATGAGCGTGGGGCGAAAGCTCATCTGTATCGAGATCCGAAGGATTTGGCGCGGTTGTCTTGGTCGTGTGACGCTACAGATGCAAACCAGAAGTCTTCTGCGCTCCACGTGTGCGAGGACGGAGGTTGTTTCGCAGCTGATTTAGATCATTTTCTTTCTTCAGCCAAACCATCTATTGCTGCTGACGACTCTTTACGTCAACCTGCGGAGCAGGCAGGCGGAAGCGTTGGAGGAGGTAGGAGGACAAAGTTTTTGAGATCGTCGTACACATCTGAGATTGATTTCACTCTTTTTATGTCGGTAACTTCAGATCCGAAATATCCTTTCCAGGGGTTTCCAAGAACACGGCCTGAAAATGCCGTATGTATTCTACTGCGCTTCTGGTAGACTAGACACCAAGCTGAAAGTTGCTTTCTTTAACATGAAGCCCTTCTCCGTGAGGCTTTGGTGGATCGCGAAAAACTTGGGACAATCTACAAGCTCTTGAGGTCTATCTTCTCTCTCGCTTTCTCTTTCTCTCTCGCTTTCTCTTTCTCTCCCGCTTCTTCGTTGTCTAGCTCTGGAAGCTGTTTTTTTTGCCGGGGATCCTTGAAGTGATCTTTCTGTTTCTATCAGGGAATGACTTGACCTATCGCCGGCAAATTAACCCTCGTGGCTGAAACCGGGATGACTTCGCTTGTGGTCGTCCCGGCACAACATAGTGGTACACCAACTTTGACTGTATTGAATTCTGTTATTTACTCTGTACTGGCGTCTTCCTTGCGGATTGTCAACAGGCCTCTGTGTTGCGCCCTCACACTCGCCCTCTTCTTAACTTGCTTGTCCTTGCCCTTTGCTGCACTGCCCGCGAACTGAACGCGGCTTCTGCTGAGAATTCACGCACTGCGTCACGACTGTTTTTGTTCATCTGTTGCAGCTATTACTACTGTACAAACCAATGTAAACTTTCCGGAGATCCTTGAAGTCACTCGTTTTTTCTATGAAGGGATGACTTGACCTATCACCGGAACACCATTGCCTTGGCGCTGAAACCGGGATAGCTTCTTCAGTGGCTGTCTCGGCACAAACCCCTGTGACACTTCACCAGTTTCTGATTCATTTCTGTTCCTACGCTTCGCCAGGCTCACGGATCCCGCATGATGTTACGTCAACGTCGGCAGACGCTGCGAAGGAGGACGCGTCCTCCACGTCGACGTCCGAACAGCCACCCCTGTTCCTCGGTTGTCCGCGACACGAGACTGTGGCTCGCCGTTTGCGACTTGCTCTTGCTGCTCGTCACGACGCCCTCACTGCCCGTCAACAATTTGACGGCTTGAAAAACACACGTCTATCTGAGCTAGAGCGCCAGCGCGCAATCTATGGCGCGAAGATGGAGCGCGAGCGCGTGGTATTGACCAAAGAAGTCAATCGTCAGATTACCGGTTTGGAAACACAAGTGAGAAATCTAGAGGCCCTGCGCGAAGGCGTACGTCACAAGGTGGGTGAGATATTCGAGGCAAAGAGGGAATTGCTATTGCAATGGGGCTGCAGCGGGACGACGCCCGTACCTGGTAGTAGTGCTTTGTTGACATCTTCGGGCTCATCCAGTAGGGCAGCCGGGCCATCAACAGTCGCATTAAATGCTGGGGGCAGCGCTCATGTTGTCGGTCACGTGGCCATGAAATCTGCTGGAGCTTCTGGCAACCTCAACATAGCGCACACGACCACCGCTGGAGGTCGACAATCCAACAACACTTCTGCCAATGCCACGCACAACCAGCACCATTTGTATAATCAGTTGTATCCTCAGGCAGAACTTCCACACTTGCCTGGTGTCCTAGACATTTTACCGGCACCTCCAAATGTCGATGTACTTGCTGAAATGGATCAAGAAATGGAGATTTTGCAGGCCCGGAAAGCCCTGCTACTAGAACGCGCGGAAAAGCGTCGAAAGGAAGGAGAGAAGAAGCTGCGGGAAAAGGAGCGCCTAGACCGCGTTGGAGCAGTGACAGAAGAAAGATTTGTGAGGAGGATGGTCGGGGCACAAGGGGAATGAAGTACCTTGATTTGGAAAAGTTCGAGAAACTCAAGAGTGTAGGTCACCGTTAAGCTAGAAAAACCGTTATACCGTGTGCAAGTAGTGCGTTGACGAACAAACTGATGCAACCGACAGTGTCATGGGTAGTACCCAACCACGGATTGAAATATGAGCAAGTACAACATTTTTGCTTACATCGCGAAAGCGAAAGTAAATCTGGTATTCATTTTGTGCTGTAGTTGGGCAACATCTGCCCTGGGTCAGATCTTCTGATAACTGTCGGGGTGAAAGCGGAAGCATTGAATGCAACAGTCATGTCACGAAATGCCTTGCGCATTAATGCGGGTTAGTTTGTGTCACCTCTAGGCGACAAAAACAAAATTGAGCGACATTGCTCAAGTTTTTTGACTCAAGAGTTTTGAGGACAACAGTCAGTGCAAAATGTGAAGACTTTGACTTTTCGATCTCTTCCCGCGGAACACTACAGGATGGCAAAGCACACGCCCTTGTATTTCGTTTTACTTGATAGTGGTACTTCTACTTGCATGGTTTTATTTTACATACAACAAAAGACTTCGAAGAAAGAACTCCTGGCTCTGTTCAGAGGAGATTTTTTTCTCTCTCAAAAATGTGCGATTGTGGCTTCCTGCTTGTGGTTTTCAAGGACTGAAAGAGTTTGCACCCGGTCTTCGCCCGTCATGAAGTGTCGGCATCGACTGCAGCAAGCCGCTCGCTTTTTGCTGCGCTACGTTTTCGTTTTTAGTGCAGTGCTTCCTCATGGGCGGATCAACGTCTGTGCTTCCTCATGGACGACTCCCTTGACAAGACCAGGTGGACTGTCAGGAGATTTCGGTGGCCAAGCATCGAAACCTGCCGCGGTTGCAAGAAGGACGTCGACAAGACAACAGCCTTTGGCATGGGATGCGCCACCATCGTTGTTGATGCGAGTGCCATCCTGGGATGCAGCTAGTTCCGAGCCTGTCCTGGGCCCTCGCGTGAGTGAGGATACGCGCAGCGTCTTGAGCGGAAGCCAGTGGTCAAGATCGCTTTCTCCGGAACATGACGTTGTCGCTGCTGGAGGGATTCGTGGTCTGGATGTTCCTGTTCGACGCAACATGGCACCTCGAGAAACTACACCTATTTTACAACGGCATCAAGGTAGTGCTTCGCCTGTTGACGAGGACGCAGAGGTGGATCTAACTCTTGTTGCCCCGCCACCGACGTACAATGGAACAGATCGTGATGACCTTGATTCATCGGATGCAGAAATGTCTTCGGACTCGCTTGCCGGTTTCTCACCTCCTGCCTTACGTCAAGTCTTATTAGTAGGCGGCCGCGGAGGAGATGATACTTTCATGATGGCAGCATCTATTTCCGAAGAAGAAAAGCCCCTTATTTCGCCATCTCGTGCTAGGGGTTCATCGTCGTCGTCAAGGCTTGCTGGGGCAAGCAGTGCGAGCACTAGTGGGAGTACAGCAGGTGGAGCAAATTCAAGAACGCGTAGGAGAGCAACGGCACCCAGGAAAGATGGGCGGACGTTGCAACCTGGAGATATGAAAGTTCTGAGAACTCGAGGACAAGACCCACCGGATGTGGGAGGACAAGAACTGAGACGTGCAAGGGGTTCTTTTGGACACGAGCAAGAGCTTCTAGACGCTATGACCCGAATGTCACTCGAAGGGAAGACGAAGACTCCAACTGAAACGCGTTTAGTTCTACACGAAGGAAAGGTATCGGGGTCCGAGGAAGTTGTACCTATCTCGTCTCCGAGTGGCATTCCCCCATCTGGTACAACTAGAGGTGGCGCGCAAGGGGAGGACGAATTGTCATTTTCGATAAACAGCATGCCGTTGCTGCGTCAATCTTCGAGTTCGAGTAGCTCGGGTCCGCGACAGACGTTTACAACAACGGCGGGTGCGCCAGCATTTGAGACGCAGGTTGCAGGTGGAGACGAGCAAAGCGAAAAACCCTCAGGAAACTTGTGCAGCGACGCGAGTTTCATAGGCAGTACCTTGTCGGGAAAAATGGAACAGGGAGAAAAGAAGAGGAGTGTTTGGAAAGTAGCTATTGGCAGTGCCTGTATACCTTTGGAGGACCACGAGCAAAGTTCAGAGACTCCTCAAGATGATCCTCCCGGACCTCTTGCTACCAACGTTGTAGAGTTGTCCTCATTGCTGAGGCAAGAAGTTAAGCCACCGCTGGTTCACGATGATAGTCAACCTCAAATTTTTGAAGACACTTCTCGACGTCCTGATATCTATGCATCAATAGGGAGAAGTGCAAGTGGTTCTCCTGTCTGCAACTACTGCGAGTTGATTCAATTTCAAAACAGAGGCGACTCGAGAACATTCCTGCCTGCAACAGCAAAACGAGGAGTTTCTCAACATCCTGATACCAGTTCACGAGGAACGAGTTGCGCTAGTGTAGTGCCACTGTTATCAGCATCGACTCCCTGGCTTGACGGTAATTCGCCTTCGCGTCATGCTGGGTTTGAAGGGGGCCTTGGCGTTGGGGATCTGCGTTCATTGACAACGCGTTCGATGACAGGGAGAAAAAAGTGCTCCAACATCTTGCCTTGTCTATTCCGCAGGAAGCCGCTCATGTTTGCTGGAGCTATGCTGTGTGGCTATCTGTCGCTGGCTTACCTTGCAGAAAGTAGATGCAGCGGTCCAGAAGTACACAATGGAAATGGAGGATCTCCAAGACATGCATCATCCCATGTGCAGGGGCACGAGCAACAAAATAATGACATGAGTAATTTTTCTCCATCTGGTAGAATCAATACAACAAATATGACGAAGGAACTTGGTACTACTGGCGCTACAAGTGCCGCTGCAGCTGCTACATCTTCACGTGATGTCGTGGACGAAAGAACAAATAGTACCAGAGACGTGGTTGTCGAAACCTCATTGGACCACAAAATCGCCAATATTACCAGTGAGCCAAGAAAGGTTACTCCAGCAAACCAAGTACTTCCCGCACTGCTGGAAATAGAGGATCTTGTTGTCAATGCCAGCGAGAAGTACATGGAGGACCACGATGAGCATCAGTTTCTCTTCAAAAGTCCAAGTTCCATCGAAGATAGAACATTAACAAACTACAGCACCAGTACCAGTGGTCGTGGTGGTTACAACACGACCATTGGTACGAACTACTACACCGATGCTGCAAAGGCGTTGCACTCGTTAGATGAGGATCGATATCGGAAAGAAATAGCGTCCAAATTTTGGACAGATTTGCTGCCTGATTTCGAGATAGTGCGGTTTTTTGAAGAGGTTGCCAAACTTGGGGAAAGTGTCGACGGGATCGTGACCCTCCAGGATCAAGATTTGGAAACAGAACACCAACACCCACACGTCTTCAGTGGAGACGACACATTAGAATACATTGTCGTCCACGGCGAGGGGAAGAAGAAAAGAGATAGTCGTGCTGATGATGATGACGCTGATGATCATTACGACATGAGGGAGGGGGAGCACAACAACATGAAGAAGAAAGTATTAAAACGGAAAGGGAGTATGAGTAAGCAAAGGCACAAACAGCGTGACCACGTTGTTGTTGCTGAAGAACCCGACTCCTGGAATCAAGAGAAATCTGCACTAGAGAAGGGCTCGAGCAAGATGGTACTGATTCTTGGGGATAGGGACACTCCATGCTTCGTCGACCCAGACCCTGTCCTGAGTTCCTTGTGGCGTGGGACAATAACTGCACTAAAGCGAGTAGAGCGCGGGGAGAATACAAGTCCGGATGGGATTAAGGAGGGTCATAGTGAAGCTGGAGATCATATACAGCATAATAAGGCAGCATCTTCATCTACAAGAAAGGAGTCGAAGATAGGGAATGCTATGGAACTGCTTCTGGAGGAAGGGTCATCATTTGCTGCAGAGAACGGTAGGACGAAAAGTCCGGAAATATCAAGGGTCCCCACGTTGTTGACATTTGCAAAAACCCTTTCTCTTGACGTAGCAGCGGTTACGAAGAAATTCTGCGCACCAGAAGTCCCATCAGCAGGAGCCACTAGAAATCCAATTACCTCTAGTACTGCTTCGTCTTTTTCCATCACTCAAGTAGATCCAGCCTTTTCTTTCCTCTTACCAGCAGCGCGGGAGATGCTCTTGAATCATGCACGCGCGTACCGCATGGAAACTGGGCAGGAAATCGAGAACAAAATCAGCGCTGCGATATGGGAAGCACGGCAGCTGTATCCGACGTTGATAGCTATGGAATGGACGGTCATAGACCTAGTTTTGCTAAAGAGAGGTCAGGATCAAGATCGACGTGTTGCAGGAAAGTGGTTCACGTTCATAACGATGATTCACAGCCTAGCTCAAAGTTTCTGTTGCACCTTAGCGATGCAGTGGTCAATCAAACTTCTAGACGGGGAAGATCTAGATGAGTTCTATCACAGTTAGTATAAAAAACTTACTTACATTTCTATTATTATTCATGATAGAAGATGACATTCGTGCCCTTGTTCTAACATCAATCACCTTGTTTCTCGTGCCTCGTCTCGTCCAAACGAGTTGGGAACGAGTGCGCAGATTGCGACTGCCACGTGGATGCTTGCAGAAGGAGGAAAGGAAGTGGCGAAGAATCTTCGAGTAGAGAGTGTTCTGTCGATGGAGATGATTCCAATAGAATTAAGGGTAGGTTAAAGGTGCTTTTCTTACCGCTTTTTATGCCTCTCCTAAGGGAGAAAGGCATAAAAAGCGGGGTAAGCGAGCACCAAAAACCTACCTCTAATAGAAGCAGATGCAGATCAGGAAGTAGATCAACAAGACGTGAGACGAGGACCAGGAGGAGCTACTAGTACTTTTCTGCCTTCCTGTGAGGAGCTTAGAAACAAGGTCTTTCAACAACTTCATTTTGGCTCAGTATCACATCGTCTCCCTTCCGACGGACCACCACCAGGAGCCCTAGATGATCAAGCAATAAAGCCTTACTCTGATGCAATAGCCCTCATCATCAAAGTAGACTTTTTCCAAGATCAAGATGCTGAAGATTCACGAGCTGCTTCTGCAGAACAGAGGAGACTGAAGCAACAACCATCGGATATCATACTTGTAGGCCGTAATGAGGAATCAGAATCTGACGAGCTGACAGCTAAGGTACGAGCATGGGCTGAGCAACAAGAGCAGTTTCATAGGAAAATGAAGGAGGTAAAAAAAGACGTCGATAAAGGTAAAAAACATGATGAAGATGATAAAAAAACTACTTCGGCTGGTACAGCTACAGGCCCGGGCAATCGTGATGGTCGGGAGACACCTCCTCCGTCTCCAGTGTTTGTATCAAGCATGAGTTTCCTTCTTCTTGTCGGTGAGGAACTAGAATCGACGAGTACAAGTAGAAGGACGTCGTCAAGTAGTTCAACAACCAGAGCTAGTACTACGACGAGTCCATCTCAACATCATGTCAGTGAAGGATACTACCAGCGTTTGCGGAAGAAGCGGAAGCTAAAAGACGAAGAAGAACAAGAACTGGACTCAACCGGAGATGCAGAAGGGGATATTATTTATGCTAGAGGTACTAGTAGCAGGAGCAGGCTCAAGTTTCTGCTGTATGATCCGAGCAAAGAGACTGGCATGGGGCGCGAAAGCTTTTTTAGTTCATACACGACCACATCGTGCACTTCTGGAGAAACGACAAGTGGCATGACGTGGTGGGCGGTGATGAATCAGTCTGTCAGAAACTTCGCGACAAAACTACAACAAGAGAAGGAAAGAGAGCTTAGACAACATCTGAAAGAAGGAAGTCGCAAAGAGAAGGAAGTTGGGGCATCGCCGTCTTCCTCGACATCAGTAGGGCCGCTGAAAGCGCGAGCAGGAATTTACAAGCTGCTATGATTAGAATATGTGAAAATGAAAAAGAAGTTGTCCTCCTAACCTTGTCCACCGATAGCCGTGGCCTATTTGTTGTCCAAAGAGACACTCAATCTCAAAAAGTTGCGATCCTGATTTACTTAACTATTACAACTTCAACTCTTAGCTACCATTTTTTTTGAAAAGCGAAAGCTTGCTTCGTGAGGATGTTTCTTCTAGAGAAGATGTAGTCGAGCAAAGGTGTTTTGCTAGAGCCAGTTGATCAATGGTAATACTCAGCGTTACTTGATAGCTAATATCTTTAGCTTGATATAACTCAAGAATGTATATCCCATCTCCATGCAATGCATTACCATTACCATTTTTTTTCCCCAGAGAATATAGTAAAACAAAGACAAAGAATCGTATTTGTAAGGGCTGCATTATATTTCGTATTACTTGAAATTTAGATAAAGAAGAGCCAATCCCTGTCTATCATATCTCTCGAGTCGTTGTATAAGCGCAGAGCGATTACTGTTTGATAACCGCAAACAGGCCTTCATTTCCTGGATTTGCAGCCTCCAGAACTTGAGGATCATGATTTATCTGAAGACAAAATGATAATCTTAATCAACATCTTTTGCCTTTGCATCGTTAGAAATGAGAATGCTGTGGAAGAGGAAGGAATATCTACTAGAAGTATTGTGTGCAGGAGAACACCTCTTCCACATTGTTATGTTGAACATGTGGAAAAAGTATCGTGAGGACATGTTGTGTGCAATAATGACCCTGCATGTCAGGAGAGCCAATAATGTCCCTACTTCCGTACTGATGCCGTGTGAAGAACACTTGCATCTCAGTTGCTGGCTGAACAAAAGTGACAACTATCTCCTCTGAACTGCAAGCATCGGTGAAATTTTTTCTACTCAAGATTTTTATGCTGTGATTATGGCTTCTTTTCTTTCCTTTTTTTAGCACTCAAAGCTATTCAGATATCGTAAAACATTTTCGTCTCCGTCCACCAAAACAGGATAACGATGATCAGCGCTCAGTTCACTGCGCTCAAGGAAGTGTGTTAACGCAATGTGAAGCTAGATTAGTTTCACTTCTATGAAGATAGTGTAATACCAGATCACCGTCTTTTTTACATCACAAAAATCAAATACTACCGCATCTAAATAAGTAATACAAAACCTAAGACCAACTCTAGATTTTATTACAATCTTAAAGACAACAATTACTCTATCTCAAAAAACAAGAACGACAAATCTAAAGCAATCAGTAAAATGACGAAGAAAAAGAAGTTACCCATCAAGAACCTAAAAATGGGAGCACAGCATCGTGCAGTTCTTCTAGCACTTGGCAGTGTCGCGGGCCATGTCTCGGCAACTTCAATGTACACTCGTCAGGGTGCAGCTTCCAGCACTTCTGTTGATGCGCCATACACGCAGCTCCCACGGCGTGATTACCTTGCGGAGGCAGAGGGACGAGGAGATACGGTACTGACTGGCTCTCCAGATGTTCCTGACGTCGCATCTCCTGAAGCAGGAGAACAAGCCTTCCCTGTTTCATTCTTGACTGCGACTCCGGATGGTCATGCGGAGGCGTCTTCTCTACATCTTCAAGTTCAACCTGGGACTCCGAATGCTACTACGGAAGCGTCTCCTCTACATCTTAGTAGACCTGGGAATAATGGTAAACACGGCCCACCTGATGTAGCTAAAGAAGATGATCCTCCACTGGAACTGCAACAAGTCCAGAAACCACAAGGTGACCGCAATGTTACCGGGTCGATGAGCGAAGGCGAACACGATTTCTACTCTGATGCTGATGGTGAAGGGAAAGTTCGTCGTCATCAAGTGAATGACCAAGGCACCCCCATCTGCTCTGACGGAGACGAAGGATGTGAGGTATCTGTAGAAGCTCAAGTGCCTTCAGTTTCAAATGGAACACGGAGTACAGCTACAGCTACTACTGCGGCAGAAAGAAGTAGTAGGCGAGGTCTATCTACTCCAGGGCCACGGCCACCAGGTATAGATCGATTCCGTGGTGCTCCTCGAGATCAATTTGGAAGACCGATGATTCCATTGGCTCAACATTGTGGACAAAATAGAAGCGCGCGGGTTGCTGCAATGAATAGAAGCAATGCAAGTGCAACTCCTGTGCTGGATGTTGCAGGTGATGGAACTGCTCGAGGTTTTTGTCGTAGGCTACTGCAGCCCATGGTTGGGTATAACAGCTACAATCAAGCTGGAGATCGAGATGGTGGTGAAGTGACCTATGATCTAACTGGCAATGGTACTAGTCCTCCACCTCCCTATCTTCAAGATCTTGATGAAGATCAAGGGCCAGCATCCGCATCCCCGATCTACAGACAACGACGACCAGAGAGGCTGAGCACAGTTTCTTCTCCTGAGGGTGGAGGTACGTCTGGAATAGCTCGTCGACAAGGTGGTCACGACGTTTCTCATTTACAAGCGTGGATCTCTGGAGCGATTGGAAATCTAAGAAGAGCACAAGTTCCACCTTTGCCGCTTCCTGGTCTACGTGGAGGTGTTGGCAGAGCACATAAGAGTTAAGGCTTGGAGTTGTTGCTGAATTTGCGTGCAAATGATATTAAAATTTGCAGCAGAAGTTGCATCTAGAATGATCGTGCTGGTCGACCTGTTGACAGTGGGAATAATAATGCTTTTTTGTTGAGATAAACTACGACATTTGAATGCTCTAAAAGCTGGAATCGGAATCCATCCTCGCAAGAGCAGCGACGAGTCCGCCGACCTCCGATGCTGCGATTTGGTACCACAATCAGACCACCATTTCCGGATCCGATTCGGACGAAAGCCTGTCGGTATCCGAGGGTGAATCCATTCACGGCCCACATCAGCATAGATGCTTGACGCGTCCTAGAGTTCGGGGACCGAACCGCGGGAGTGTCTTACTCTCTTTGGGGATTGTGGCCACACTGGCGCTAGGACTGGAAAGCGGTTGGTTCAAAAATGGAGACAAACTTGCACCGTTGATGCATATGCCAGAGAATAGTACAAGAGGAGTAGGCGGTGAAGAGATGGGTCGTCATGTGGAAGGAGTTGGTGGTGGAGTGTTTGATCCGAGTCCGACACATGATATGGGAGGCGTCGCAAAGGAGCAAATAAAAGCAAGTGCTGGACGAGGAGGACGACTCGGCGGTCTTTCTGCGGAAGAGCAACAAGGCCGTCGTAAGACCAACATCTATGTATCGGCAGAGTATGCCTGGGACGCTTTCCAGTACGTGGAGAAGGAAACGCCCATGGTCTACCAGAACATGCTAAGAAGATTGTTTCCGCAAGAAGAGATTCTGGGTTTTTTTGAAACTGTGGCACGACAAGCGTATGCGGAAGTTGAAGGAGATGGTCCGCTGCAAGATGATGTGAATCAAGGAGGGAAGACCAGAACGTCTCATGGAAGAGCAGGCTCTTCTTCACCAACAGGACAGGGACTAGATAGCGGTAGCACCCGTCCAGGAGACCGACACCACCAAAGTCAAACACGAGGAGCTCTCGAGAACAAAGCCTATGCTCATTTCCTAGAATCGATACCTTGGGTTCCCGAGAGTGCGCATGTGGCTGGTAGGGTTGTTGTGGATACAGAAGATTCTGGTGATGCCCTCACCCACTCAAAAGTCGACCTTACCCGTTTCCAATGGAGTACGCAGATCAGACCTTTGTGGCTGGAGACCGTCTCCGCTGCGTGGAAAGATCTGGACAGCTTGCAATTGGCCACCGACGAGTATCTGTGGACTGTCAAGGAAACTGAGGATACCGAGAAAGCTGACGCTGATAGTGGCTACGGTGTTGAATACGAAAGACAAAAACGACGTGCAGCACGAGAAGCAACAGTTGAAGACAGGCTTGAAAACAGGACTGCGGTTGAAGACAGGTCATCGTCAGTTCCGAGATCCTCTTCCACTCTGAAAACATTTCCTTTAAAAGTACGACCCAAAACCGACGCGAGTGGAGTGGAAATGTACACTTACGAATCGCCTGTTGCCGTTGAGGATATGCCTATTTCTAAGATCAAAGAAGACAAGGATTTGACGGCTTATGGACCGGAAGCTTTCGGAGAACATCAGGGTCCACCGGGTGAAAGGGTAAGGGAAGAGCAGAGCGCACTAACAGCCTGGGAAGATCTCATTCGGGCACAGTTCTACAGCAACCTGATGATGATTGGTCCGAGGAGTAGAAGGGAGTTACTAGAGGAAGTTAAGCAAGATGAAAAAGAGACCATCACTACTGCAAAACCAAAAGAAAAAGATGAAGACGATCTTGTCGAGAGAGAAAAGGTGGACAAGAAGACCACTGCATCAACTAGTAGAATTGGAGGAGAGGTGGACGATCATGATCGTGACCAGTCTACTTTAGCAGATATTCGAGCTGCATTAGAACGCGTCCATGAAAATGCGAAGAAGAAGATGAAAGAAGAGGAACCCTCTACGTCTCAAGAGCGTCCCTTTAAGATCATAGGCGAGGAGAAGCGCTTCGCTGCTGAAGAAGTGTCGGTAATCGACTACGCCCTTCGAGACGTGCTCTTAGAGGCTCCAAAAGGGTCGTTGAAACTTTTTCTCCAGCAACTTGGCTATCGCCCGCGTCCCGACTTCATTCTCAGTTATCTAGCTTCACATCTTGGTTTGCCGGACTCCGAGGAACGAGGAGGAATAGGTTTAGATCCTTTCGGCATGCCACCTTCTTCTTTCTCAGCTACGACAACGAGTCCTGGTCAAGAACTACATAATCGTGGTTTACAGCAAGTAGAATTAGAGGCGCATCAAGATCAAGAAATAGGTCTTGATCCTTTCGGAATGCCACCTTCTAGCTTTTCAGGAACTGGGCCCAACGTGGGACCTTCAAATGCTTGGAAATTTTTGACGCAGGAGTGCTTGGCTGAGGCTTCTCTGCGTGAAGAACAAGAACGCGGTGGAATTGAAGATATGGCCCAAGAAGCTAAGTCCGAGAAGGTTCGTGCAGCAGTAGGAACAGGTTATCGACCTTATGTCAGGAGCCGTACGAGTAAAAAAGATTCTTCACAAGCGGGAACTACAGTAGACGAGAATACAAAGTCGTCTGACGACGAGGATGACCCCCTAGTGACCTGCAAACGGGGTCGCGACTACAGTGGTTGCCCACTCGGCTTTACGGTAATCGATGGTGGAGGATGCCTTTTCAGGGAGTACAAGATCAATGACGGAACGACTTTTGCCGGTCGTGATGGTAGTACGAGTGCTGCTGCTCTCGGCGCTAAGAATAAGAATTATGGTACTAGCGGTCTGGATGACGATGAAAGAGCAAAGAGATTCTTGCCCTCAGATTTCTACGATCATCAACCTCTTCACGCTGGAGAGATCGATGCACAGACGAAAGTAGAAGTTCAGGAGCAGCCAGAGCCAGAAGGAGCAGAGGTAAAGTATGGGAACAAACATCATGGTGAACATCTTCAACAGATGAGTCGTGACCAACGTCACCATCTAAACGATCAAAAGCATCCGCATATCGTCCAAACTATCTACTACTCCAAAACTGCGCAGTGCGGCGGAGGGCCCTTCTACTTCGGCGAACCCAAGTATCCACAACAAAAGAACGTTAGTACACAAAAGATCATCGCAGGCAAAACGCGTTTTGAGAAGGAGTGCAAAGCGATCTTTCCGTGTAAGCTGGCACCCCACGCACCACCTGCGAGGTACGTCGACGTAGCATTTGGGTCTTTAGATACAACCTATGAGGGTCCAGGAGCATCTGTAACTGTATCATCTCCTCCACCTCCTTGGTTAAAGGAACACGGTGGTCCCGGTTCTGCAGCTGGTCTCGCGCCTACTGCTCCTTCAGAAGAGGAGAATGTGGTCGCAGGTGGCCCAGGAGGACCTGAAGGGTCGCCAAGACTCGCTCTCGCGGTGGCGGAGCAAGACAAAGATCAGGCTACAGCGAACAGACTGGCGAAGTACATTGCTCATAGAGATCGCTTGCAGCGTAGTGACAGTGCGTCTTTTTTGAATCAGATAGACGAAGGCACGAGCAAGAAAGTCGCTGACGGAGATGCCAAGAGCAACAAGAAAGTCGCTGACGGAGAGCAAGTCGCGGAAGGAGATGCCAGCATCAAGGTATCAGATCGGCAAGCAAGACGTTGGTCTGAGGAGCCGGGTCATTCAGAAACACTTTTGCGGAGGCTCATGAAAAAGCTTGGTGCACCATCTACAGCAGAAAAAAGGTGGGACTGGGAAGGAGAACACCTTCTAGATGATGCTATACCGATGTTGGAGCACGAACAAACGGCGGAAGATAAAGTCACATCGGTTCACAGAGATAGCGTAGTTCAAGAACAACATCTTCCTGCACAACGGGCTCTCTCTTCATTGGGTCCTGTGCCACGTCCTCCAGTCGAGGACTGTGTTTCTGCTGTCCGTACTGCAGTCTTGCCCGTTTACTCGCAGCTCATCGAGGCATTGACAGACCGTTTCATCTCGACGAATGAGGGAGCCACAGCTTTGGTATCATGGATGTTGTCGGGACAGAGTCATGCTGGAGGGAATACACTGGACGCCATGAAGCTCTTCAAAGTGCATCTACAACCAGTCGTGCCTACCGGGATTTACACTCTTGACTTAAAAGGCCATGGAAAAGGACATGATCGAGATGATCAACATCGCAGAGGTGCCAATGAGCAGTATAAGGTCGTAGAACAATTTGAATCTAGTTCTAGTTTAAAACGGAGTAATCGTAAAGACGGAGAGGTTCTTCCTCGTCCTTCTAGTTTGCCCGATCATTCTCTTGAAGATGGAGACAGAAGAGCTCTGCGAGGTCTTACTGCGTTCACTAGCGGTAGGGAAGATGCGCCTTCGTCTCCATCTTCTGCTTCTGTAAACGCAAACAAGAAGCTAATTCTCTCTCCGTTAGTGTATGCACGGGATCACGTGCCACAACCAGCACAAGAAATACCACATCCACATCCACAACCAGGAGGTTCAGACGGAGAATCTAGTTCCCCATCCTCGAAGGGTCAAGATATGTGTTTTTTCGAGCAACTCTTCGGAGGCGAGGCGCCTTCCTCTAAAGCTTTCTCGACTGGTACAAGTTCTGCTAGCTCTACTCCACCAGCTTTGACTGCATACTCAATTTCCATCAGTTTTTATGCGGAGGCTGGGATTGGCGCCACAAGTTTCTCGAGAACTACTAGTAAACCGAAATTGTTCGATCATACTTTTACTTTGATTCGAGCACTGCGTAGGAAGAGACCGTATCATTCACCTTCTGCTCCTGAAGAGCAGCGTAGTGGAGAACCTCCAGAACCTGAACGAGGAAACCAAGGACAACACCGTCAGCATGAATTCGAAGAGGAGTTTTTCATCTTTGATGCAGGAACTTTTGGCGGCATTCGCACAAGGGAAATGGAAGACTCGCTTTTCCTAAGACATAAGCTCGATCGCGCAAAAGATGAAGCTGAAGCGAAGAAGATGATGAAGTACAATCCAAGCGCAGAACGTGAACAAGAGCGCACTGAAGAAGGTAGCAGCAGGAAGGAAAAGCCAGAGGGAAAACAAGATGAAAACAGAGCTAAAACAAGTACACCAATTGATGAAATGGATGTCGACATCGAGGAACGTGCTACTGCTTCTAGTACGACTAGAATGAGTCCAGCTACGTCGACGACACAGGCTACAACACGACTTCATGAGAAGGAGGATAGCAAAGCCCGCGTTTCTTTGAAACTGCGTCGATTGTCTAAGGAGGTCGGACATGGACAACCTGTGGACAGTGACTCTTGGAACAACACGATGATAGCCCCGATGGCTAGGCCTATAGCGATGCCAGATTTGGATTCAAAGAGTGATAGGTGGATAGCGAAAATGCCAGCAGCTGCTAGACGCGTAAGTCGTGAAGCGTTACAGAAGCTTTTTTGTTCACCGAGGATGTTACTTTTGTTAAGGCCGCATGAAACATGGCTAGTATCGCATCGATAATTTACTTCAAGATCGTTTCTTCTAGTTCACCAACAAAACTATCCAAGTCAAATTGAAATAGAAATAATTCGGTTCTTGAATATTCAGTCCGTTACTAGAACTAGCACCTTTGTTCATTACTATGAAGTCCTGCTAATTAAAGTCTTCTATGCAACCGCCCCACGATTGGGTACACTCCTACCTTTGTTCATTAGTACTATGAAAAGTTGAACCCCTTCTTCTAATCTGCTCCGACAACGCGCTCCGCAGAGTCACTTACGACCAGGAAAGCGGCGAAATTGAAGAGCTAGAGGATGAAACCAGCTATCGAGATGAGCAGAATCGCCCCTACAGATCTTTTATTCCCACTGTGAAGGATCTAGCTACCATCGAACACGGCTCAGCGACAAAAAGATTTGCTACTGGGTGGAAACGATTGTTACGAATTGATACAGTGACTTTTTTATCCAATATTTAAAATGAAAATTTATGTTTGTTGGCATGACTGGCTTGCTGTGTTTCCAAATATGGAAGTCATAACTGATTTGCTTGGTGCAGGCGCTCTGGGCATGATTGTGCTTCGCATATCACCATTCTCTTCCTGCATTCTCTTCCTCTAAGCCTGTGGAATCGGGTCTTGCTGCGAGAGCTTTTACCACAAGTAACCTTGGACCAAGGTGGTCTCGCCTTTCCGTTCTTGCGAAGCGTCTATCGATTTCAGGTTTATGAAAGCGACAGCAAGAACCAGAACTCCTAAATAAAATTGTTGGAGAAGCATCTTCAAAGAAGAAAAGCGAATGATTACTACGCTATTATAGCAATTGGCGAGGAAAAATTTTCATATATTACATGTTCGAACATGCAATTTGCAGTAGTTGGTAAAATACAAATAGAGAAAAGTATCATTTACATTATCTGATGAAGTTGAATGTCTCCCACGAAGCTGTGGATGAACCAAGACATGTTACAATATGAAGCTGTGCCCTGGAAGATTTCCAGGCGATGAGGAATAACCTAGCCGCGCATTCGAAATATAAATCTGGTTATTTTTACATCATCTTCAAGTTCAAATGCATCTCATGAAAGTTACGCAAATTGCACGTACAGTAGGAGCTTGTATTCTGCTACTTCTGGTGCTTGTCTGGAAGTAGGTTTAGACCGATTTGAACCACTGTTCTGATTCTTGATTGTATGTAGGAAATCTAATGATTGATTTTTACTAGGAGCCCAACAACCACGCTCAGAGTGGGAATACCAAAGAGATGATTGAATGATCCACCGTGCGAACTGGAATATCATAGACTACATGAATGATTATTAAACTTCTATCATCCAGTGCTGACTGTTTGTGTATGAAAGATAGAAAATTTGACTCATTCTGCGTCCATCCTCACTGTCGAAAACGCCAAGATGTGCGAACGTGAGTAACATCAGATGGATGTTGTAACGCAGCTGCCAATGAGCTACTTCTTCTTGAGCCGTATCTTCGGCCATCTGGGAGCCGACTGGATAAGTCGTTAAATGCATACACTAAGTTTCGTTGCCGAAAAAGGTGTGTCATTTCGCTGTCCTTGCTGTGGTATATGAGTAGAAAGCTTCTAATATCCTTGATATTCTGCGCCACGTTAGTCTTACTCTCGTCCCAAGTCACTTATCCTCGTTTTATAATAAAAGGGTTGAAGGAAAGACCTACTTAGCTTAAATGAGCTGATCACTCATCCGCATCCCCTCACCCAAAAACAGGAATAAGTGTACTAGCTCTGCAGGCAGGCAAAGTAGTTGACACGCTGGAAGCATTGAGCGGAACTTCAGTGCATACTTTGGAAAGCTGTTCTTATCGTCTTTTGAGTGAGAAGCTGAGCGAAGAGAAGCAAAGCGAAAAAGTAGAAGTCCGAGAACAAAACACAAAATTGGAACCAGATTCATTGGGGCGCAATTCTGTCTAGAACCAGGAATAGAGGACAAGTAAAACGCTTTTGCTAAACAGGACCAGTGGAGCGAGATCGTGCTGTTTTCTTGACTCGTTATTTTTCTGGTCTGGCTTCTTCTTAGAAGGTCTTTGAATGTGATGTCTGTGAATTATTTGCATGCCATGCCACAGCTTGTGATCTCGCACAAGGGTGGGAACTGACTTAAGTCGCTAAGTTTAAGTCTGAGGCTAAAAACAAAACACCAACTATGAAAGATGGATAATATTTATATTCCGAGGCATGCAAGGCGTGCAACTGCAACTTTCGTAAGGATGCGAGAAGCGCGATGCAGAAGCCCACTGGTTTTGCAATGTGCTGAGGCTCAGCTAGACGAGCTCACGTACCACAGAAAAAGTGCTAAACCCAAAGCCATCCTAAAAAACGATGACATAGCGGTATCTTTCACCCAATCTAAAACTCTGTGCTTCACGATAGCGTCTAGATCAAAATTACGGTAACAGTCGACTGATCGTTCTTTTTTGTATGACTACAGTACGCCTACGACTAGAGAACAAGCAAATAACCATTAAAAAAATGTCCATCACCTCGCACGTTCCTCCCTCTCGTACAACCAGCGCGACAGCATTGGAGCAACAGAGGATGATCACCTTCCTCGAAAATCATGGCGTAGTCTTTTCGGAACTGCTACAGGATGTGCTTGCGAAGAAGCCAGAGAATCCTTCATTGTTCATACTGCAGCGGCTCTGCGAAGAAGCGACGCAAGATGAATTAGACAGAGCTGGACTGGCTCTGCTGCATAGGAAAACGGCGAGCAATCAGCTGTGCGCGCGAGCATTGTTGGCGGATATATTGAGTTTATGGATGATGAATGTGAGTAATCACGAGTTTACCGTATTATGCTACAACTTTTTCTACGCATGAAAAAAAAATGGAAAATTATCTATTGCTGAAGGTCATAAATTTTGAATTCTTCATTATCGGACATCGGCAAGCGCAGAACGGAAAGCGCACCCCGACCCGAGCAAGAAGACGTCGAAGAAGAGCTTGCAGCGTCGAGAGAAGATGGAGAACATGATGAAATTCAAGAGGACTATGATATCGAAGATGGAGACGAAATAGAAGATGGCCAGTTTTGAGTTTTAGGTTTGCATGAAGATGTGCTTGTGCTAAAAAGAATTGCGGACGAAATGGATAAAAGTGAAGAGGTACTAAGTAGCTAGTAGCTAGTACAAGAACAGTTGATCTTATTAATTTATATTTTTTTGCTTTGTGGTTGTGCTGGAATGCTGCAACTGCATCTAACTCTAATGAAACTACTGACTCCGACACCCGTTGTCGACAGCTGGATTAGTATTTTTTCTGGCATCTCCTGGATCTGGACAGGACCTGGAAAAAAGGGTGTTTTCGTGCTCCGCCACGGAAACTGGTGGACGCCATTGATTTTGATAGGATATGCATCGTGGGTTTTCTGCAAAAGGAGTTTCCAATGCAAACCTCTTCAAACAAAAAATTAGTTGAACAGGAAGCATAAGTAAATAGCTTCTAGGGTAAAACAGAAAAATGTCCTCCACCATTTCTCCGCTCGCCGGTCTAACGGGTAAAGTAGCGATCATCACCGGCGCGGCCAGTGGCATAGGTCGTGCCACAGCCAAGGCCTTCGCAACTGTCGGGACTAGCGTCATCTTGGTCGATGTCGACGAAACAGGACTCCAAGAAACGGAGAAAGAAGTACTTGTGGTCTTAGATGAAAGATTTGGATCTTTTCCGGTCGGCGTTGAAGACGGAGGACGAGGAGCTGCAGCTGGCAATTCTGCTTCTCCTGCTACCGTAGTCTCCTGTGTTGTCGATGTAAGCAGTCCAAAAGCGATCCGTGATTTCGCAGATGACCTAGCGAATCGAGGAAAAGAACACTCTCGCGTGGACATCTTGATCAACAATGCAGGTGTGGGGATATTCTGTCCCGTAGTCGGAGGTGATCTTATTCTTAAGGATAATGGAAATGCCGGTGTCCACAAGCAGGAGGAGAAAGAAGACACCACATGGGAAAATCAGTGGCGACAGTGTTTAGATGTCAATTTGATGGCGCAAGCACGCTTGGCGCGTGCACTTATCCGAAGAGGAGTGTTGGTTACCTCACGGGCGGGGGCGTCAACGTCATCATCACCGATCGAAGATCATGAAGATGAAAAACAGCCTGCTACTTGTAATTCTTCATCTCCATCATCTCACTCATCTCCTCGCGCTCCGTCAACACCCTGCACCTCCGTCATCATCAACGTCACGTCCACCGAAGCACATGCTGCAACACTCAATAACGCCGCTTACGTCACTTCGAAGCACGCTGCCATTGGTCTGACTCGCGCCCTCGCTGTGGAACTTGCACAGTGGGGCGTGCGCGTGAATTCTGTGGATCCTGGTAGTACACGAACTGGTATCACAGCGGCGATCCCAGAAAGACTAAAAGAGGTGCATGCGCAACGCCTCGTACCGTTGCGGAGGTACGCTGAACCAAGTGAAGTGGCAAATGCTATCGTGGCACTATGCTTGCCTAGTCTGTCCTACGTCACAGGTGCTAGCTTGCTCGTGGACGGAGGGCATATAGCGAATAATGCTTTGTTACCGAGTGGAAATCGTGTCAAGATATTAAAGAGATCGAAGTTGTAAAGTTACAATGACTATCTTAATTCTTGTTTGACATGAAAGAAAAGAAACTAAGGAGCTCAAGAAAATGAAGAAAATGTAAATGCAGCCGTATTATGGTGTTGAGTTATGTTCAAGTTCATGCATAAGCATATCAAGATGAAGATCAAAACCACAAGAAGTAAAAACGTGGATCAAAACCAAATTCGCGTAGCGACCCTGTCCTTCTTGGAGTGGTACTTTTTATGATACAACAAGCTCATAGTCATACTCTTACTCCTACCCAATAGCGATCGTCACGCACTCGCTCTTGACATCAACCAAAGTAAGCAGGAATTTTAGCGCTTGAAGATTCTGTGGTCAGTATGACGCCATGCTATTCTGTAACGAGGTAAATTCGTGGTTCTGTTCATGCCAGACAGAGAGAGAGAGAGCGCAACAGAATAAGAACGTGGAGAGAGCCACCAAGGCACTAAGCTACTGAGTAGGATGATGAAAGGCATAGGCATAGCCTAAAGACATGGCCGATGTTAACTATCCCCAACGCTTTCAGGCCAATGATATAATTGCAAGGAATAACGTCCCCGCTAGAATATTAAGCCTTACCGAATTTGCTAAGTGTTCGAGTACGCAGCAGGAGCCTGGGACCACAGAGGTTATCAGCCTGCTTAAGTAGCTAGAATTTATAGAAAATTTTCGTGCACGATTAATTGCCCCGATATTTTTGACCTTTAGAATAAGGTGCTTACTATTTTTTTTGGGAACATAAAGTTTGGATTGGTAGTATAGTGCTTGTTAGAATCAAAGTGGGACTTTGTTAGAATCAAGACCTATACTAGATCCGGAAACTTACGGTAGGCGTAGCACTTTGGAAAGCAACTCGACCCTGATAGAATTTAAAGCGTTTGCGTTCTGCATGAAACAGCGCACGTCGTTCACTTTTAAGAATCAAAACCTGCATGCTAGATCCATAAAAAATCGAACGATCAGATCAATACGAGTGTAAGATCCTCTAGTATCTTAAAAGCCGCATCAGTGTTCTACTTCCCCCGAGAAAGTTCAAGATATTTTTCGCTCAAGGTAGTAGCTGTTCTTAATCGATTCGTGTTCCCGCTGACTAAGTTACAAACATTGTCGCTGACTATTGATTCACAAGAATACAGATGCTGCAGTAATCTTCGTATGTGCTACAGGAGTTTCAATTTCTACTACTATTTGTGCTGTCTGTCCCAGCAGCAGAGCAGAGCTGAATATTAGAGATTATTACAAGCCACGAAAACGCAGACTACATTACACATTTATTTTTCGCAGAAAAAGAAAATTACGATTTGGTGTTGCCTAGTACTAGTAGTAGGACAACTACGCCAAAAACAAGATGAGAACGCTGACGCTCACCTCTTCCTGTGCAGACTATAATGGGCGCCTGCGGCATTCCCATTCCATGCTGGCTTGTATCGTTCTCCTCGTTTCGTTCCTCCTGTCTTCTTCATTTAGCAACTCCGTCGTTTCGGGATTGCAACTTCGAGCTGCAGGAGCTGGAGATGGAACTTCCAAGGACGAAGAAGTGACGCGGAGGAGACGTTTGGAAATGATCGATTCGGTGTCCGACGTTGAATACGTAGTCGACGTCGTTATACCAGAGAAGACTGGAATCACAGTAGCGCAACTCTTAGCAGAATTTCGATACTATGGGAGGACGAAGAAAGAAGTAGAAGAGGAGGAAGAGATGGCGAAGATGAAAAACGATATCGAAGTAGAAGTAAAAAGGCGTCCGGCATATGGCTTTTCTCCGGTCGACAAGATACTGAACGAGGAAGAGAGGATCCAACTCACTCTTCTTGAGCATGAGGGGCATCCTGAACAAGTCCTGAAGTCCGATTCTGAGGAAGATATTGGTCGCTTTTTAAGACCAGAAAACTTGTTCGATTCCGGCACAGATAAGCAGAAAATGGTCCTCAAAGTTGTTTTTGTTGACGGTCGACGGACAGGATCGCTGACCTTGCGCGTAAGGAATGAAGAGCAGTTCTGGTTAGAGTCTTACAAACGAGGCGGATCTAAATTTGATGAGGAGAATCCTTATCGTGGTGAATCTATTTCAGTGCACCCTTTCTATGACGTTGAGTGGTGGAAAGGCATGACGTTTGACGATCTAGAACAAGAATTACGGCGAAAGGATGCGGAAGCTCGCAGAGCGAACCCGGACCGCGAGTTTGGAGTTCTAGATCATTCTGATAGTGTAGCACCACGAATTTGGTCGCAAGTGTGGAAGTTTTTTTCTACTTTTTTTAGCAGAGCAGGCAGATCTTCATCTACCACTTCTACCTCGACCGTGTCAGCCTCAAGAAGTAGGTCTAGGAGATTGGAATTTTTTCGACTCGAGCTGGCTCGACATCTTGCAGGTGGGCAGCACAGGCTGCAATGGTCCTCGGTATCAAAGGACAACTCGCCAGAAGTGGAGCACGCTATTAATGTCGATATTTGGAAGATTCAAAAAGAAGAGGTGCAGGCAGGAGGAAGGGAAGTTTACTACCCAAAACCCGTGATCCAATTCAGGGAACATCTCGAAGACCCTCATCAGCCTAAAGTTAAGACTACTTCTCAATATATTCATTTCATTTCTACAGGTCAGGTCTCCCTATTTCCTTCTTAGGACAATTGGGAAAAATGTAGTCAAGAAATGAACTGTTTTGAATGAGCTCTAAAAAAGGCGAGACGCTAAGATTTCTCCCCGAAAACGCTCTTCTTGGTGGCTTAACCGAAAACGAAATAGTGAACGTCTTTAAATTTCAAGAAGTCGTAAATAAATGGGATCCCAAGACTTGTAGTAGGCCTCGTTTCTGATATTTGTTGTCGAACACGAACATGTGATATACTACTGATTTTTATGTAGTTGCTGTTTTGATGTTTTGATGTTTTGAGTGATTCATGTACATTCTTCCCTCGACTCGCATTTGCTCAACGACATGTAGATCAGGGACTTCGACGGCCAACTCGTTTACTTTCATGTAGTTGCTGGACTTCCAAGTCAGAAACAAGGGCGCGGATCCGTTGTCCACTCTTGCGGTGATCTTTGACATCAAGAGTTCGGGTGAGTATCATGTCTACCAACGCGGTCCGTGTCTCATTGATGCGAAGGTCCAGGGCTACGAAACTGGAAGGTGTGCTGCCTGAGTAAAGTCAGCTGGACACGATAAAAAGTAGGCTGCTATTTTCGGCGGAAGAACGTTCTGCTTGTTTAAAGTGACTGGTTAACAGTGATTACGCATCATCAAGTAAGCTTCATCAAGTAGCTTGGGCTCGGTCAAAAAAGGCAAGGCCGTGTACACATGGGCACTAGCCTCAGCCAAAATGATCGTGGTTAGATGTCTAGTTCAGCTCGAAGAGTTGGGCCGGAATTTATTCCGACTAGATTTGCTTACGAAGGAGAAAAATAGAACATACAGAGGCATATCTCGTGTGACCTGTCGCGCAGAGTATGCTATCATGGAAAGATATAGGAATGTATGAGTACCGGGGTTGGTTCGCTGTTGATAGAGGGCTTCAGCGAGCTAGGTAGTAGGAGCACGAGAAGTACGAACCGTTGTGCTAAGAGACCTCACCAAAAAGAGCTTGAGCTACCAAACGAGGTTTGAACGATTGGAGCATAAATCTAGCTGAAAAAAAGACAAAAATAAAGATAGAACTTCAGAAATCGTGGCGCCACCGCCAGTGCGACACTATTTCAACTGCAGGCTGGTGTTTGCGGTTTGTCGTGGACGATCTACAAAGTTTAGAGGAGAGATCTAATCTGACGCGATCCCCCACTTGTAGCTCCTGCGCTTCACAATCAGAGCCCCCGAATCGCAATGCGTCTTGCTCGTACAGGGCATAAGCTCAATGATGTTTAGAGCATGGCTGAGGTTGTGTATAGCGAGTTAGACTACTAGTACTAAGAAGATACCACGTGGCGCCGCGCAGTGCGATTAGGTAAAGTTTCCAACTCCAGGGCTTTTTTGTAGTTCTAGTTTCTTCTTTCTCTCTTCTGCTGTTTTCGAGACTACAAGGACTTTCGTACTTCATTCGCAGCCCTGATCCTTTTTTTTGTACTTAGCGCTCAGGCATCCCCGATAGTCGTGTAGGCTTCTTTCTTGTCTCGCATTTTTTTACCGATCGTTTTCTGAGCAGAGGTCGTGCGCTATCAGTACAACATCAACACTGAGTAGGCAAAGTTGTAAATATGTGACGCCGAATGACGTAGCTAGCGAACATCGGAAGTCCAAAATCTGCGGAAGTCCCAAATCGTCTTCGTGTACCACCATACAATGTAGATTCTTTACACAATCTGATGCCAAAAATGCAAGAGACGCTCACCTTTTTCTATGCAGACGATTATGGGCGCCTGCGGCATTCCTATTCGATTCTGCCCCGTATCGTCCTCCTCGTTTCGTTCCTCCTGTCTTCTTCATGTAGCAACTCCATCGTTTCGGGATTGCAACTTCGAGCTGCAGGAGCTGGAGGTGGAATTTCCAAGGACGAAAAAGTGACGCGGAGGAGACGTTTGGAATTGATCAATGCCGTTTCCGGCGTTGAATACGTAGTCGACGTCGACATACGAGAACGAGAGGAGACTGGAATTACAGTGGCGCGACTCTTAGCAGAATTTCGATACTATGGGAGGACGAAGAAAGAAGTAGAAGCGGAGGAGAGGAACATTGAAGAGGAGGAGGAAGAGAAGATGAAGATGAAAAACGATATCGAAGTAGAAGCGGATGAAGATGAGAGAACGGTGATGAAAAAGGAAATAGAAGCGGAGGAGGACAAGGAAGACCGCGTCCGAGACGCGCGGTCTGCAGAGCAAGATGCGGAGGATATGGATGACGAAATACCGACTGAAGGCGGACCGCGAGACGGACAAAGTGGCTCTGGCTCTTCCTCTAGTTCATCTGGAGGAGCAGTATTGGGGAAATGTAGTCGTTCCCAACATTCTCAGAGAATGTCTTTGTTTCCAAGGAACGAGTTTCTCGGTTTCGAAGGAATGATGAAGATGCCAAGCCTTTTTCCTTGTGGTGCTAAAATGGGAGCAACGGCGGGCCCTATGCATCCTCCTGGTACTGGTAGAGCATTTCCATTTCCATCTGTTTCTAGAGTAAGTCTACCTGCTCTAGTTCGTACGAGTACAACGACAGGCTCAAGTTCTAGTACTGCGTGGCGTACTTCTTCTTCCGCTACTACTTCTACTACTAATAGGCGCAGAAGTAGAGAAGTAAAAAGGCGTCCGGCATATGGGTTTTCTCCGGCCGATCAAATACTGAACGTGGAATATAAGATCCACCTCATTCTTGGGCATAAGGAGTATCCTGAATGGCGGCGGGTGCTGAAGTCCGATTCTGAGAAGGATACTAATCTCACTCTAGGTGGACCAGAAAACCTGTTCGATTCCGTCACAGATGAGCAGAAAATGACTTTCCAAGTTGTTTTTGTGGGCAAGACTCCGAATCTGAGTAGCAGCACAAGCAACGAAAAGCAAAAGGAAAATGATCCACGGACCGGTCTGCTGACCTTGCGCGTAAGAAATAAAAAGTGGCTCCGGTTAAAGTCTTACGAATGCGACGGATCTAACTTTGATCCGCAGAATCCTTATCGTGGTCAATATATTTCAGTGCACCCTTTCTATGACGTCGAGTGGTGGAAAGGCATGACGTTTGACGATCTAGAACAAGAATTAAGGCGAAAGGATGCGGAAGCTCGCAGAGCGCATCCGGACCGTGAGTTTGGAGTTCTAGATCATTACGATGAGTCTATGGAAATAGTTGAGGGGAATGAGCCTGAAGATGTCGAGATGAAGGACGTAATGGAAGTCTCTCCACCTGCAGCTGGTTTTGCACTACAGCTTCCAGGAGTGTCCTCTCCTCAAGATGCAGATAGTGTAGCACCACGAATTCGGTCGCAAGTGAGCAAGTCTTTTTCTACTTTTTTTAGCAGAGCAGGCAGATCTTCATCTACCACTTCTCCCTCGACAGTGCCAGCCTCAAGAAGTAGGTCTAGGAGATTGGAATTTTTTCGATTCGAGCTGGATAGTAACACTTCTGGCGGGCGGGCTCTACGTGACGATGCACTGCAGAGGCAGCATCAATGGTTATCGGTATCAGAGGACAACAGGGCAGAAGTGGAGCACGCTATTAATGTCGATATTTGGAAGAATCAAAAAGAAGCGGTGCAGGCAGGAAGAAGGGAAGTTTACTACCCAAAACCCGTGATCCAATTCAGGGAACATCTCGAAGACCCTCATCAGCCGCAAAGTGATTTTGAGAATCCTAAAGTTAAGACTACTTCTCAACATATTCATTTCATTTCTACAGGTCAGGTCTCCCTATTTCCTTCTTAGGACAATTGGGAAAAATGTAGTCACGAAATGAACTGTTTTGAATGAGCTCTAAAAAAGAAGGCGAGACGCGAAGATTTCTCCCCGAAAACGCTCTCCTTGGTGGCTTAACCGAAGACAAAATAATGAACGTCTTTAAATAACAAGCAGTCGTAAATGAAAGGGATACCGAGACTTGTTGTAGGACTCATTTATCATATTTGTTGTCGAACATGTACATGAACAAGGACATCATGATGTGGACTACTGATTTTTATGTAGTTTGTTTCGGAGAATGAGTTGAAAATGGTTTAGGTATTACTATTCGTAATCGTAAGAACAGTTTTTCTTGAGAAAGTGTCTCTGTTCTAGTTGTCGTGATAGTTGGCATGCACGACATCGAAAGGAGACCCCTTCACACACATATTGAAGCAAGAAGTACAACTGACAAGGACACCAGCTGCAGCATTGTCACCACAAAGTGCAAAATAATGAACCCGAGTTTACCCGTATGTATTGCGATCAAGAAATGTGCGACCATGCATGATTAGAGCTCTTGTCAATGAGCGTGTTTGTGTTAGAAAAAAGTGGCAATGTTCTTCATGTTGTTGACACGACTTTGCGTCAACGGCGACTTAGGATGAAGGCAGGGATGAACAACACCTTTTAGACCGCGTCTTTTCTGCCACGACTTCGACGTTGGCCAATGTGTGCCAGGACCAAGAACAAGAAGCAGAATTACAACAACATAGATACAGCGCTGTTTCTTGGTTCCAACTTGCATAGGGCTGCTGCAATCGATGAAGGTACAATGAACACTGACTTTCAGTACAACTCAGGGCTAACCCATGCAGAAGCATTGATTCTTAGACCACACAAATAAATGTAATTGTAAATGAGGTCGTCCAGGTTCTCCTCTCATCATGCCCACCCTCATCTTCGCTCGTATTGTTACGTTTCCACGAACGAGAAGAACACCTGGTTGATCTTCTTCAGGCCGTTGGTTCTCCTAGAGAACGAAAGCGTCTTGGAGAGGAGGAGCTTCATCAACCAGATCAACCAGCTGCACGAAAAGAAGATCCTCCTTACGTGCAAACTTCTTTAGTTTGTTCTGCGAATAGTGCTGTTGCTGCAGCTTTCGCATCTTCCATTCCACCTATAGAATCCTCTTGTTCATCAGGAAGCGGCGCGAAGAGCACTGTAAGATTGCGAAGTCTAGCTGGCGATGAGTACAAAATTGACGTGCCCTGTAGCGAGACGGGCATTACGGTGGCAAAGATATTGGCCGAATTGAGACAACAGAGATGGCTACAGTCAGTGCAACACGGAGAGCAGAACCGCTGGTCCTCGTGGGATTCTTCATCGTCTCCAGATGCATTTCATGTAGAGAACCATGAAAGACCAATGGAACAAGAACGACAACAAGTACTAAGGCTCAACTTATTTCATTGGTCACCATTTAGTAGATTGGTCTCTGACATCAAAGAGGAGACCCCCTGAGAGAACAGGGGAAAACTAAGCGAAAACAAGGGGCCCAGGCATGGGGCCGTTTTCTTTCAGAATTAGTGACCACTGAAAACTGCTGACCTTTAAAAGTTGGTCAATTAGGGACGAGGAGTATTGTTATTGTTTCATCATGTCCTAGTCCCACAACAAATTACACAACGAGGACGGGAGCAAATTCAATTTCATCAAAGGCAATAATTTTTACTGCATGTGGAAGTTCAAGAGCAAGAGGACCACGAGTAGAGGTAGACCTCCTAGAAGAAGATGTTATTGTTTATCCGCCTGTTGGGGAGGCTAAGGCTGACAGAGCAAGAGGAGGACCTGTAGAAGAGGAGGGGGAGGCCTGTAGAAGAGACGCCGTGGGTGAAGCCCGAGGCCGGGATGGGCAGCAGGATTGGCTTCCCTTCCGTTTACGCCTACTCGTCTCGTGGCGAACTCGTGATGAGCAGGGCGAAGTGTTTTCATGTACAGATAAACTACGACGGCCTTCTTGCGCCACTGGTGGAGAAACAGATGACATCGACGCCGTTGGGGCTCCAGCTTCATCAGCTGCAGTAAGGCTAGGGATAGCCGCCAATGGAGGGGCCGCGGTCGAAGATAGAGGGAACGCCAAAGAAGAACGTCAAGAAGCTTTTCGCCATTTGCAACTACAGCGTCTCTTACAGATTCCTGAATTGGCAAATGTAGATGACAGAGGAGAAGAACTAGCACAGGCTCAAGAAATAGAACGATGCTCTAAACCTAGACCTGATGGTGCAGCTGCCGCGGAGGTCTCCTCATCTTCCGTTTCCGATGGATCTTCAACACTCGATAGAATTTTCAATATTCGGGACAAAATTAAGCTTATAGTGCCAGAGTTTTCTTCTTCTTCAAGAACAGGAACGCAAAGGCAAACGGGTGTAGGTGTAGCTACATCAAGTGGGGACGACGATCATTATGTATTGCCCGTATTGCCGCAAAGTAGAATCCTGAAATCCGAGTCTACAGCTGATCTTAGCGTCATCGTGAAGCCTCAAGGCTTGATCGACCCTACCACAGGTGTGCAGCACGATATCGCTTTCGTAGACCTCAAAAATGGGGACGAGGAGTTGCTGGAGGAAGAGCAAGCTCAAACTCGTGCAAGTAGTAGTGAAGATACAAATAGAGGCTCTGCAGTAGTTCTTCCGACGCGTGGTCGTGGACATCGAAGTCCTTCCACTCCACAACTACGTCTTCTGCTACTCGAGGATCCACCAAAAGTAATAGTAAAGCAGGTCCTCTCTTCAAAATACGAGTGCAAAGTGCAGACCCCACTCAAAGTTGAAGAGTTTGATTCGTGGCGGTTCGAAGTGGGATCCAACGAACCGCTTCGCTTGGCAGTATTCCAAAGTCTACGGCTTCTACGACATCGATGTATGGAAAGGGATGACGTTTCTGTGATGGATGTGAGTACAACAACTCCACTTGTGGCTCTTCAATTCCATCGGTTGAGAGTCGACATGAAGGCTCAACGAGGACACGCAAGGCGATCTGCGTGGGTCCCCACTGCCTACAGAATGGGGTATTGTAGTTATGGCTACAACCGCTAAAGTATCGGTAATATCCTCAGCACCGTCCTGCCTTGGCTTTTTTTTCAAGGGGAAAATAAAGAGAGCATCACCCTTGGCTTTTTTTTTCAAGGGGAAAAAGGGCGCAGGGAGGACGCTCAATGCTCTCAAGGATGCGACTGCGGGAGCTCTAACATTGTGGGGCCCGTGCGGCTGAGACTGGGTTTGAAGGGTACAACGAGGAAGTGGATGTGCTATGGGAGTCGATCGAAAACAAGAACGACGAAGTAGAATCGGCGATTGACTTCGAACAGTGGATGAGGGACAAGCAGATGGGGGAAAAGTATCTTGCTGCATACGGCAAAGAATACTACCCGACACCCATAATTCGATTTCGGTCGACAAGGTTTTCAGAATGGATGCCTGCTCCTTTGCAGTCTGTAGGAGAACTACGCCTACCTTTTGGAGGTTTTGATGTTGAAGGAACAAGTGCTGGAACAACAGCAAGTGCAAGCTCCTCCGCACTTCTTAGTAAGCAGCCATTTGGGCATGTTTTATTCGATCACATACGTGCCATCCATCCTACTCGGCAAGAAGGAGACTCTGCGCGCAAGTGGTTGCCTGAAAATGGCCTTCTTGGTGGTCTTACTGAAGAGGAGTTGCTTAGGAAGCAGCGAGAAGACTTCCTATTGGCATGTCATGACTTTTCCTGAAACTGAATTCCTTTTTTGATTTTGAAATAATTAGCTGCAGCACTCTCCTTGAGTCAGGACGCACAATCAATCGAATCCCCTGGAGCAGGAGTGGGAGTCCTATTTTTGATCATCTGATGCCTGGAACTGAATGGTGTGTTCCCTGTCTAAAGAATACCAGTATCCCCAGCGATGATGAATCGAAAGTACGAGGCCAGAACATGTTTCAGTTAATATTTTTCAAGATGTGTTCACTCTACTGTTTTTATTCCAGCGCATGAAAACGATAATGAGAATCAGTAGGATTCATTGCTCCAACTTCAAATCTTCCGATTCCAACCATATCAACAAAAATCAAAATTCAATTTACAAATCGAAATTTGCATCTCATCTCAACAGTCAAGCGCTCCCGCGACTATAGACGAGACCCGACATGTTTTGAAGTTTTGTGAAATCTACTTACGTAAAATATGAATTACAATGATTCCTGGTTGTTCAGTTCAATGATATCAAAATTCATATTGGACTGGGTTCTACTTCTAGGTACGTTCTTCTGTTGCTTGGTTCTGAAATTTGAATTTTTTTTTGGTGCTGGTGTTCTGGTTCTGGAACTCCTGGAATAAATCTCCTGCAAGAATTGAATGACAAACTCGATGTCTCTTGATGAATCAAATTTACTTTCTCTTGTTCAAACGGTGACGGATACCTTAATGTTGATCTACTCTACCATGCGAGAGATCTGTCACCACGACCACCACTGTGGCGTTTCGCTACAACAGAATAGGTATGGTTCACCAAGTTCAAGTAGTGGTCTTCGCTCCTGCGCAGTTTCCTCATAATAAGCTTTTACAACTTTACTTGCTTCTACTCCTCAAGTTGAATAAAAGACAATTTGATTTCTACGTACTTGGGTGTCGCGCTACTTGAAAATACGCCAGCATCAACCTGTAACTGTACCTGGTGATTCATCTCCTTCATCCCTTTTCCTTCCATTAAATCATCGCAGCCAAAGGTGAAATGATTCAATCGTCAAGATTTGCATCATGTCGACCTATTCTACGGGGAGAAGATTTTGTTGTAAAAAAGAAGCAGATTTTTAAGAAGAATATCAAAAACGTATCAAATTCAACATGAATGAATGAATTCAAAGTATGAAGAACAACACGTTTCCTGCTAGCACTCAGCGATTGCTTCTTTCTTTTCTGTAGTGCGCTTGGGACCGAAGCAACGAACAGTGAGCGTAGTACTAGTACGATCTCCAACTACAACATCATCGAACTAGAACTACATAAAAAACTTCTTTGCGTTTCACGACGACTGCCAGATCGATATAACATCTTCATTCCTCTTGAAAAACGACAACCTCAACCGCTGGCGCCTGACACTGACTACAACCTTGCTCTTTCGTGAAGAACAAGCAGAAAAACAAAGCTTCACACATACGCTTTTACCCGAATCTTACACACATACAGCAGTTGTAACACAAGGTCATCAATAAAAAGATGTCATCCTCGACTGCTTCCTCTACTTCCGGCACTTGTGCCCATCAGAACAAGATGGTTGCGCAGTTGTTGAACGAGAAGTTTCGGGTCTCCTCGTACGACGGAGGCGCTTTCAAGAGCAAAAGCGTTTACAACATCAAGAATGTTCTGTCTCCGACCCCAGATGTTTTCCACTGCTCCAGCTCGGGGACGAAGTATACTGCGGTGTTCCGCTGCTCGGACGCCGTGACGGTCTCAAATGTGGTGATAGAAGCAAACTTGAAGAAATGCACCGAGCCGCTGAAGAGCAGTACTGCTTTTCTTTGCTCTATAATTTTGAGTTGCAGGAGCATTGTGTTAGTCGTGTCGTAGAAAATTTTGTACCTTGATACAACATCATATTGACTGGGGGTTTTATGGCTTTAGCACATGATCTTCTGTCTCTGAAACTGAATGTGTAAGTGAACTAAATCTTGTGATTCAAAGTTTCAACCTCAAACCACTCCAAACAGTCCTCGTGTGGGTCCTCGACGAGCAGCCGCAGGTCGAGAAGTACGCCAAGTATGACAACGTGCCGATAGACGACTTGAAAGCTTGCTACGGTATGTCTGCCGCTGAGCGCAAGAACAACCGCGATACTGTTCTAAAGGAGTTGAATGCCAAACAGGCTTCTGCATTGGGTTTGAGTAACAGTTCGAGTTCCGCCAATCTTGCTGGTCCACCGCCACCCGCTCAAGGCTCTTCCACTGGAACAGCCTCGAATAGCCTCTTAGCGACGATTGCAGTGCCGAAAATTGGGTTTAGTGCGCCACCGTTTGCAGGTGGACAAGAGACGACTCCTACAGGCGCAGCTTCTGGCAGCACAGGTGCTGCTCAACAGGAGGAGGCATCTTCTTCTGCCAGTAACAAGAAAGAAGAAGAAACAGGAGATGCAGCGCAATCAGGCTCAGGGGCATCATCTAGCGCAGCTGCTGGAGGTGCAGAAGAGGAAGGCAATGTCACGACTTCAAACCATGGTGCAGAGGGAGGAGCTCCTGGCGAATCGTCAGCCACCTCGTCCCTAGAAGCCCAAGCTGCTCCCTCATCAAGTTCCATCGAAGCAGCAGCTTCAACCGCAGCAGTTGTGGTCGAGGAAGAGCCAGCGCCGGCACTTGACGTTCGTGGTCCCTACTTTTTCCAGACTGACAAAGAGACCCGCGAAGCAGAGCTCGAACTTGCGCCTTGGGTGGAAGGAAAATTCGTCATGATCAAATTCCTAGACACGTGGGCGGAGGGGAGCAACGTTGACGTGTCTGTGGTTGGAATTTTTGGCTTTTTTGGCAGACACAAGGAGAAGTCCTTTCCAACCGGCAAGGTTTGGAACCGCAGCTGCCGTAAGCACTTGGTGCATCCCTGCACGATGAACAGCATGTACTCAAGCAACTCGTGGGTCTGCGACGGGCGAGACTTCCCAGGTGGCTGCCGCAGTGGGCAGACAGATTTTAACCAGACCTCGCAGTACGTGGTAACGTTTCGAGCCTTGAAGACAGGTGTGGATTTGTGCGAACGCTGTGCGCGGGACCCGCTTCTTGGCCAGATCAGCGAAGACGTCGCCAAGAAGGATGTCGATGCCTTGCTCGCTGGCTGCAGCGACCGTGGAGACATTGGCGCAAACGATGTCGCGATTGCCAAGCTCGCTGCTGTCCGCATTCTCACTGGTGTGAAGCGCAATTGGCGCTATGTCTTGCCGTTTTACTTGCAAGCTGGCGTGCTCGAAGCTATGCAGAGAGTGTTCACGAAATTGGACGATATCACGATGGCCTTGGATGAGGGCAACTTCCGCATCGTCGCTGCTTCCTCTGCAAGCAGTAAATCTCGATCTCGCGAGCATGGCGCGGGAGCCGCCGACTCCAATGGCAGCAGTGGGAACGGAGCGTCTTCCGGAGGTGGCGCGCCGAAGAGTTCTTCGAGTAAGCGACAACAGAGCTCGATCGAGTCTCAGAAGCGAATCTTGCGGCAAACCCTGCACAGCCTGCTGGTCGAGTTGTCCCACATGGTCTACTTCGGATTCCGTGGCGACTTGCACCCTGGTGACGCCGTGTTTTTTAACAAGAATACGTCTGCAACTGAGCAGACTGGTAGAGAAAACACTGGTTCCGGTCCTACCTCGAAGGCACTAGAGGATCAACCAAGTGGTGCTGCTAAGGGCGACAACGAAAGATCTGCAGCAAATGAACCATCGAGCGGTAAATCTATGATTGCATCTTTCTGGGGTGCTTCTTCACCCAAGAATGCAACAGCGACAACGGATTCCACTACCACTTCTGCGGCAGATGAATCGAAGAAAAATTGGGTCGAAGGTCGTTTCCTAGGTTTCACCGACAATGGCGAATTTGCGATCATTCAAGCACCAGACGCTGTGCCTCCTCCGAAGTCGTCTACTGGTACTTCTACGTCGAAGAAAGATGCATCTACAGATGATCGTACCAAAGACAAAGAGTCTGGTTCGTCAATAGCCTCTTCTATTCGAGTGTGGCCTATCTGGCGTCTAGGAAGTCCCGACAAAAATGCCGGTGAAGAGGCCACTACGAACACTACGTGTGATGCATCTGCTGCAGCTGCAGGGAGCACATCTGCTGGCGCCGCTGCGACTGGCGCCGCCGCTGGATCTGCATCGACTACTGGTTCTGGCGAAAATAAGACTACTTCAACCTCAACGACAACCGGAGCGGCAGCTGGCTCTACTTCTACAACGACTACAGGTTCTTCATCTACTAGTATGGACCACAACACCACGTCAATGACTAAAACTTCATCCACTGCTAAGCCATTTCCTCCGTTCGTGGGTGCTAAGCAGTTGGTGCGCATTCACCCGTCGCAAGTGTGGAAGAAGATAAACATGGTTTCGCCGGTCCAGGAAAGCGGGCCTTACCCTACGCTTTACCTCGCAGATGAACTCGCCAAAGGCTCTCGCTGTAGTCTAGAGAAAGTGAAGGAGTTGCTCCCTCAAGCAGACGTGATGGCCGCAAATGGACAAGGATGCACATTGTTGTTCCTGGCTGTCATGTACCAGTGCGATGTGGAAGTGTTGAAGTTACTGGTCAACGAAGGAGCCGCGGCTGTGGAGGTCTGTGGTTTGCAGGAAGGCATTAGCCTGTTTCAGCTTGCGAGACAGAACTATAGTACTTCTACTAAAAACAGCACGAGCACACAAGAACTTGAAGAGATTCTGAAACTTTTGGATTCTGAAGAACGAAAAAACAATGGACATGCCTTCAAGATGCCGAAGCTTACGAAGACAAATTTTGGAGAAGACGAAATGCAGATGACTAGTAGTACTAGTAGTACAAGAAAGGTGGTGGATAAGGACATCAACGAAAATGACGAGGAGATGGAAACTTTCTTGGCTAGTAGTTCCGATAACGAGTCTGTGGTATCGGAAGATGCTGGTGAACTCTCGGAAGAGTCCGATGACTCGGTGAATGCTATGAGCAAGATTTGGGCTGAAGGCGCAGAAGCTGGCAGAAACAACAAAGATATTAACAGTGGTGGCCAACGAGGTAGTAAGAAAAGACGTGCTGGTGCCAATGCAGCACAAGACGGCGGCACTAAGAAGAGCAAAAAAGCTTGTGGTGCAGCGAAGAGCAAAGGCATCGCGGGAACAACACCAGCTGGTATTGGAGCATCTTCTTCAAACAAGCAGAGTGGTGATCTTCAAGAGTTCACTGAAGACAAGAAAAATTCCTGGCATAAGCTTTCCCTCGAGACCCTTCGCGCTAAATTCGCAACTCGCGTTCTCCCGGTTATCCACCAGGTCATCCAGTCCTACCCGTTGATTTCCGGTGCCCACGCGAGCATCGCACTTCGCAGCCACGAAGGCAGTGGTGCATCCATGACGCAAACCTTGACCACGAGTGAGAAACTCGTCAACGCAGTCGAGTTCACTTGGGCAGGAAGCTACGGGCCACAATTGACGGCAAGTAGCACACAGATTCTTCACGGACCCGCGGATCGCACCAAGTTGTTGTCCATGCTGGACCAGTTGCCGGTTGAAGGTTTGTACGCTTTAGAACCACTACTCAAGTCCTCCGTATTCTACGACGCGTTGAACTGTTCTCGCACTGCTTTTAGCGCTTTCACCAAGATCATCCAGTCCATCGTGACTACGGACTCTCTGGAAATCGCTTATCATGGTTGCAAATTCCTCAACCTGATTGCAAATCACGCTAATTTCGTCGATGGAGGCAAGATCACGTCCAAACGCCTTGCAGGAGCATCTTCTGCTACGGAATCTGTCAAAGTCGTTCCCTCCAACACGTTTGCCAAATTGATCCGCAGTCATGGAGCCGCCAAGTGGGCAGAACGAATCATGGAGAAGTCAGCCACGATCGCCTGGGCCGTCGCCAAAACAGCACCTCCACTGGTTTATGCCTCGCAAGGAAACTCCTGCTCCTCATGTTGTAGCTCCACTTCTAGTTCTGTTGCTGTGTCGACTACGACAGCTGAAACAGGATTTGGTGGTGTGGACCTACGCACAGGTTGGATCCCGCCCACTTTGCGTGAAGACACTCCAGGTTCCTCTTCTGTAGGAAGTAGCTCCATGAGAGGGAGCTATTCTGCAGCCTTGATGGGTCTTGGAGGAGGGTACATTTCCGAACCATCTGCTCCATCTGCATCTTCGACGATTCTCACTGAGCAAGAACAGACCAACGTCGCTTCCATGTTGGGCTTTTACCGTCACGCAGAACCGAGTCGTCAACGCAAGTTCAACCTTCTGGTGGAGTTGAGACGCGAAGCTGAAAAATTGACGAAGGTTTTGGCTGAGGCGGACAAGCCAGATCTTGGTACTGCTACTGGTTCTGGAATGGAAGTTGATGCACGAGCTCTCGGCAATAGTTTCTTAGGATTGTCCAGCGTGGATGTTAAGATGTCTGGCGACAATGCTTCGGAAGCGGACAAAGCCGCAACTGCTATGGAGACGTCGACTAATGCCGGAACAAGCGACACTGTTTCTGTTAGCACACTGGACGCTCTCAAGTCGGCAGCTGGAGGCATTGGGACGCAAGCTCTGAGTATTTGTGGCGCTGAGAATGCTGGAACACCGCAGATTGTCTCACCTTTTGCGAAGTTGAACTCAATCGCAACAGCGAGTGCAGAGGAGATCTTCGATTGCTTTGTGGAATTGCGGCAATTGCTGCACGATACACGCGCAAGACGGCTTGGTGATGGAGCCAAGTCTTTTACCTCTTTCGAATTGGCCTCAGTTTGCGCGATCCCAGGTTCTTTGGTTGAAGTTTTGCAGCAAAAAACCGAGAATATGGCGATCTTTCACGAGGCTTTCCGCAATGTCGAAGACTTCAAGAGGCTAACGAGCTTTCTGCACGAAGTGATCGATCTTGGGGAGACGTTTCCAGTTTGGCGACACAAACCAGATCGTGGCTTGCGTGCTCTGACGGATATGTCAAGCCTCCGTTTGGCACGTCTGCAAGCGCCTGTGGACCAAGAAGTGTTGATGTCGAAAGACCAGTCTTCTGCCACATCCCCAGACGCAACTGCAACGGGAACGACCAAGGACGCGACCTCGACTTCTGGGTCTACATCCGGAGGTAGGGCCAGCACGTCTGGCAACCGAGCTCTCTCCGCACCGAGCTCTCCGAAGAGCGGCGTGCCTAAGCAGGCACCGCTTTCACCGTCGCGTGGTTCGGCAGCGGCTGCTTCACAATTGTTGCCGGTCGATCCAGAAATTTTCTTGCCTGATTCGCTTCGCACACAGGATTTCTTTGTCACTGTCGAACCTCTGGTCACGATCCAAGAAGTGTCGCACTACTTGCAACAAATTTCGCCGATTAAGGATGAAAAATACCTCGAATACTGCTATACCTTGGTCGGATCTGTCATTGTCACACGGGATGTCGAATACCTCGTGACGGACTTTTCTGTTTACACCGGTGAAATCCATCTTCCTGTGCATACTTTGCAGCCATTGAACGTCGATAAACAGCCAGGCGCACTTCAAGCCGCGGCTTTACGTGCTGCCGTTGCGAAATCGCCAGCTGCAGCTAGCCCGACCACTGCAGAAGCGGACAGCAAGAGCAACGAACCGGTCCAGATGGTCCTCAATCTGCGCCAATACGAAGTGCTCAGCCTCCCTGAAAAAGCAGCTTTGGAAGCACCGGTCTGCAAGTTTTTGGCCAAGCTGATGGCTTTGAAGGTGTCCATGAGCACGCGCGACTTCATCGATGCGGCTATGCATTTGGTTGAAGGCTTCGATGCAACGCAATTGGCAGAAACTCGCTCTCTCCAACGGAAAGGATCTTTTGGCAGTCTCCCGACATCGCCGACGGACGCTGCAGTTTCAGCATTGACTTCTGCAGCTTCAAAACTGGTTGCTTCTGTTGGGAGCGCTTCATCTTCAGGAGGTAACAAATTTGAACTGAACGCTTATCAGGTTGGACTCATGACGCAGTTGCAAGATGCTAGTGGTTCGGTTTTTGCAACGTCAAAAATGGAGATTGATCTTACATCTATTAAGGACGACGACGAGTCTGGCTCTAGGTCTACTTCCAAACAAGCGCTTGACATGAGAGTTGGAGAACTTTCCGAGGAACAGCGCAGTGCTTTGAAGAAGAAGTTGATCGAGGAACTGGATTCCTGCCGTGTGTACTTGGAGCAACGACGCCCTGATCGCGACCAGCTGAACACGTCGAGCCGGACCGGCAGCAAGCAGGTGGATCCATCGCAGCGTTGCCACACGGTCTTCATCGTTCACACCGGTGGTGATGATGTGCCGTTCGACATGATCTGGGGAATGTTGAAGGACGATATCACCACGGCTGTGCGCGAACTCTGTCCTCGTGGCAGCTTGCAATCTGAGGAAACTCTGAATGCAGGCATCGCCAACAACAGCGGCATGGGCCCTCTGGCCAAGTGCTTGACCTTAAATGAAGCAGAACGACTCGCAAGTCGCGTTGGCAACTGTGTGCAAACGGCTGTCAACGTAGACTACGACGAGTTCGCGAAGATCAAGAACAAAGAGGAAACCGCTTTAGCTGCGCAAGCTGCACTTAAGGCACCCAAGAGATCATCCTCTCCGCCATCCTTGTCCTCTGTTCCAAGTAAGAAGAAAAGAAAAAAGACGAGGCAAGGATGTGCTGCCCAAGGATGCAAGTGCGAGAAGAGTTCTAATGCACGTATGCAAGCTGCCAGCGCCAAAGCTGGAGGTGCTTTCTCTGCAAACTCAGCACATCTCTCGGCTGGTCTCCGTGTCCAGTTTGCCAGCAAACCTCTGCGAAGCAGTGGACCAGGCGCTACTTCCTCATCTTCAGCGAAAAACAAGGACCCCTACGATGACAAGGGTGTGATTCTCTCCCGTTCCAACAACCTGATGCAGAAATCCACTGCCAGCACTGGACCTTCCAATCCGGCAGGCCTTGCGGCTGGTGCCGGCTCCGGCGAAGTCTTGTTCGACATCATCAACGACGACGGTGTCGTGTTCGAGTGTTTGCCGAAGACTAGGCTGAAAGTGAGCAAGTCGGATATGGAGAAACTGAATCGTGGTGCACCTGGAGGTGGTTCAACAACCTCGACTTCTGCTGGCGGCTCTAGTATGATGGATTTGGGACCGATCATCCGTTTACGAGAACAACTAGGTCGTGCTGGCGCAGAGCGCGCGTTGTTCGGAGGTAGTGGATCGGATTTTGACCCGTTGGCAATCATGGCTGGGTTGTCCGGTGGCTCTTCCGGAGGTAAAGGTAGCAGTGGAGCCGGTCCAGGGTCCTCGGAACCCGATAGCACTGGTGCAGGCAAAGGCAGCATCTTCTCGAGCTTCAAAGGTTCCGGCAAAGGCTCTAGCTCCGGCAAAGGATTCGACCACTACCAGTACCTGGGCTTCGGCAGCAAAGATGGCAAGGATGGCAGCAAGGGTGCAGGAAAAGGTCACTATTTTGCGTTACCCGCTTCTATGGCAGGCAAACTCTTCGGATCAGCTGCTGCTAAGGGTGCCGAGGTCTACATCAAGGGTGGCAGTGGAGGCGCTCATCGTGTCATTCATTCGTCAAGCAAAGGGGGAAGCAGCTCAGGTCCACTTTCAATTGCAGGCGTGCCTCCACCAAATGCAGATGATTTTGAGGCGTTCTTGGCATCGGCTGGCGCTTCTAGTGCAGCTGGAGCTGAGGGAGCATCTTCATCAAACCCTGCTGCATCAGGAGGAGCAGCAGCCGCAGCCTCTGGTGAAAACAACAAAGACGAATCTGCTGGTGTTAGCGCTCCTGCAGCTGGAGAGAGCGCTAGCGCAGCTGCAGCGCCGGAAGGCAGCTCATCTGGAGGTGATGCGGCAGCTCCATCTGCTGATGCAGCTGCTCCTGCAGCAGCATCCTCCGCAGCACCGGCTGGGGAGGCCTCTTCCGCCGCAGCAGGTGATAGCAGCAACAGTGGCGCTAATGCTGAATTATCTGCTGCTCCAGCAGCGTTTGGACCCGATGCATCGGCCGCAGCGAACAACTCTTCTTCAGGAGGTGCTGGAAGTGCGAGTGCAGCAGCAGCAGGAGCTTCGGCCGCTGCAGCTGGCAACAACAGTTCCTCAGCGGCTGGTGTTGCAGCTCGCGACATCTGGGCGGATGGCGATGACTCTGAGTTCAACGACGAACATGATGAAGATGGCGAGCACGATGACGACCCTTACATGGACGACGACGGTGGTGGTTACTATGGCGAAGGTATAGAAGACGAAGACGTCTCTGATGACGAGAATGATCACGCGTTGTTCGAGTCCATTCTCAACAACAGTACGGGAAGAAGTGAAAGCGGAGCTGGAGGGTCTGGACAGGGTGCTTCTGGTGGTGCGGCAGATCCTGGAGCATCGAGTAGTGGAAACAGCAGAGATTTGCTCCTAGAGCAGCTCAGGCGAATGGAAGAGGCCTTCAGTGGCCTGCGAGGACGCGCAGCAGAGGCAGACGCAGCAGCAGAGAGTGCCAGAGAGGCCGTTGCGAGAGCAGAAGGAGCAAGCGCGGCTAGTCGGTACTGATTCAAAATTTTGATGTGTGATGTCGATCCTATTTGAGTGTGTAGTGATGCCTCGTTAATCAAAATTGATGAATTCTCATTTCTACTAAGCAGAGGCGGCTTTAGCCGATCCTTATATATCGTCAAGTTTGTTATTGTTTAGCTGAAGTATTCAACATTGATGAATTCTCATTTCTACTAAGCAGATAGAAGAAGGTCACATCTTGATCTTCATAGTCTCTCCCTCTTCTCTTGACATCAATTTAGTTTCCCCCTCTTCGGCAGCCTGGGGCGCAGCGGCGGCGGCCCGAGCCGATCCTTATCGTCAAGTTTGTTTTCGATTCTTGGCGGTGACGCGCCTCCACATTCAAGTGGCCGCTCTCAACTCCGACGTCTGCCCTTCCACGGCGAAGAACCAGGCGCGGCCGTGATGGACCCGAGCTCCTACTATTCGCATATCTACACTAGTGGACGCAGTACTTCGAGTACCAGAGAACCGCAAAAACGTGTTGGAGAACTGCCTTTGCGCGCTAGCTTGCCCGGTTTTACTCGTACGACTGAGGCATCGGATCCTCGCTCTACATTGGAGCATCCTGTAGCAGAGCGCGTCACTCAGCAAGAACTTTCTCAGGTTCTGCAGGAAGACGCCAAAGCTCTAGAGGATGAGAGCAAGACTGCTCAGAGGACGCAGAAGAACACCTCTGGGAACAACGCCATCGTCGACAGTGAACTACTAGCTGCTTTGGATAGCGAGTTTCGAGAAGTGAGAGCCACCTTTTGCTTGTACGAACCTCCGGTGAGCGGTGCTCCAGGAACTACTGTCAATTCTTCTCGTCCGAGTGCTACTACATCTTCTGGCGGACCTGCGTCAACCAATCAACACCAATCTAGTACGAGCAACTCAGCCGCAACCGGAACCATGCATCGGTTCCCGCTTCGTTGGAACTTGTTCAAGGTCTTCCAACGTCTGTCCGATTTGCAGCACTACGCTACGTTGTCCTCCGCTGGACGCGTTACTTCTGTTAAGGGTAAAGGAAATGCATCTCCAAAGTCATCGGGAAGATGAAAACAAGTAGAAGAAAAGAGCACTCAGATGATGAATTTTACTGAGATGCATTTCCTATACCTCTAATTCTGGTATTTCTCGCAATGGCGACAGAGACAGTCACTTCCCGACCAAAGTGAATGGTTTGAGACGTGTACCCTTGGACCAGTGGGCTTTGAAGTACCACATTGAAGTCCAAACTCCGGATCTGTCGGATGTGCCACGGCTGTTCACCTCCATGCTGGACGTCCGCGACCCTGCTGAGCGCAGGGAGATGGCCCAAAAGCTTGTTGAGGACTTGGAAAACGAGGCTTTGTTGAACGAAAACCACCCAGCGAAGAAACGGCGACTCCGCATGTGCCAAACCGAACAAGAACTGATGGACGCAAGCTTGGCTGTGGGATCCGTAGCGAGAGAGCTGTACGCCAATGAGGCGAGCCTGTTTGGGCCCGAGAGGAATCATCCCTTTTTGCTTAGCACCTTCTGCGGAAACAGCGAAGGAGTGCTGGACTCCTTAGAACTGCTCAGCATCCTCAAAACCAGCTACTTGAAAAGCTACTATAATCCGGGAGACTACCAATTGCCAGCAGAGCTCGTCAACTATGCAGCTACCACACCTGGTGGAACGCGAACGACCACCACTAGCTGCCGTACAGCCTCTACCTCTGCTGGTGGGCCGCGAGGAGGTGAAGATCTCATTTCTCGTCCTACGGGCTTCTCCGCAAACGATATGCGAGCGAAACTCGATAAGCACCATAACAACGCTAGGTTCTGGTTGAATCCGAAACTGGATAGGAAGTTGAGGTCACAGTTAGACGATCCATTATCCGTGATTACTGGCGCTTTGCCTTGGTGGGTGCACACGCTGGCAAGGATTTGCCCGTTCTTGTTTAGCATCAACACCAGGAAGCTGCTTTTGAAGTACACGGCATTCGGACAGGCATTTGCGATCCACTGGATCCAGGAGAATAAGCTTGGTACTTGATATTCTTTTTCTTTTGCGAATCTTGATGTTGATAGATATTTATAACATTCGTTCTTTTGGGTAATACATTGTAGCTTCAAGAACTGACACGGCTGATTTATTTCCAAGACGAAAGCTTTTGCTTTTCTTTTTTCCACAGCATGAGGATTGAAAAATTCTTACTTAAGATCTACCCACGACTCATAGAAGCAACTACTACAAGAACTCTTAACTCTAACAGGTCCCTACCTCAAGCGTCGTCAAACCCTGCAAACCGAACTGAACGCTGCTGCTATGGACCCAAGGAGAACGCAGACCCTGTCCCAAGACCTATCAAACGTAGAAGAGCACATCATTCGTTCAAACTGGTGGATCGGCAGTTTGCAAGCTGTCTTGACGAAGATGGAGAAGAACGACCAAATCGTAGACATCGCGTCGATGGCCATGCAGAGGCTGAATATGTTCCCATCGTCATGCAGGACAATGGAAGTACAGTTTGAGAACGAAACTGGATTTGGACAGGCGGTACTATTTCTTAGACTTTCGGTGTGGTGTTGGTGTTGGTGTTGATTTAAATGTTGAATCTTGATGACACCTCTGTGTAAGTTTTGCTTCAAATAGAACGGCCATCCAGAGGGTCGAACCTGAAGCACATGACCATGACCAAGAACATAAGGCAGTAGTTAGCGCCAAAAAGTCCCTTGTTTGGCTTCTCTTACAACTTGAGTTTGTACGTGGTGATGAGTAGTGTCAGGTCTTTGTGGGGCAGAAGTTTCTGGGTTTGGGTACTCCAGTTTTCTATCAAGCTGACAATTTTTTATCAAGCGCACAAACACTAACACATCGAACTGACAACTTATTCACATCAGGTGACGCAATCTTTCTACGTCGAACTCGCTAACCGCTTGATCGAGCGCGACAACAACCGAAAGGTCCCCATGTGGGTCGAGGACGATGGGACGCTTCGAGAAACCAGCCATGTTGGACAGATGTGTCGTGGCGGTCTTCTTGTCCGACCTTTGAACTCGGAACAGGTCTCTGCAAAAGTCCTCAACCAGTTCAGGTTCTTCGGCAGGCTAGTCGCCAAAGCCTTGCGGGAAGGATTCATTGTACCAGTGCCATTATCGGAGGAGTTCTTCGCACTAGTGAGGGACATCGACATTTCATCCTCGAGCTTGCCAAGACCGGGAACCGGCTATGACGGAGAATTCGTAGGCTTGATGGCGGAATACGTCAGGGATATTGGTAATAAGACTTAGACTTGAGCATCAATCTTAATAGTGGTCCTACTGGAATTAATAATATACAACGAAGAACTACATGGGGCTGACAGGACGACGATAGCGTCGGCAATTAATTAGTCTTAGCACATAGCAGGATACTGCTGGATACTTGTTGATAAGTGCACTTTTCTCTTTTCTAACTTCCTCTGGTCTTCCTTTTTTCTAGTTAGGTCGGCTCCACCACAATATAGATACAACGAAGAACTACAACTACTATTACTGCTACTACTAGACCGTGTTTGCGCACGTATGGCTGTGTATGAAGAGCTGGAGAACATAATTTGGATCAACTATTGGAAAACTCAAAATGACCGAGTTACTGAATGAAATATGAGTCTTGACTACATTCCTCTTCTGTCAGTATCTCCCTTATTTTCACTAGTTTTTACTCGCTTATTTTAGTTTAATATATCGAATACGATTCTAGGGCCAGCATCTTTTTCAACAAGATAACCCAAATTGTTCACACAACAGCGCGCCGCACTCGCAACGCGCGCACTTCTGAGGAAAAATTGAGGATAATGAGGGAAGAAGCTGGAAGGAAGGACTTCAGAGAGCGGTATTTGAGGAAGGACATGGACTCCAGCCCAAAGCGCGGTCCGCACGGTCAAGAGCCATGCTCTTTCTCCGACTACTGCTCAGATCTAGGCGCCTGTTTCTTGGAAACCGGATTTAACGGAAACCCGTTGATCCAAGATGGCGACAACATCGAAATCACGTTTGAAAACGTGGAAAGCTTCGTAAGAGAAGCGACAGACTTCTGGTTTAGCAGAGGCATTAGCAAACAAGTGACGGCGTTTCGGGAAGGGTTCAACGACGTGATGCCAATACAAAGCTTGTGGACATTGAGTCCGAAGGTACCATTAGCTTACTACTGCTTTATTTGTATCTAGAACTAGAAGTTGTAAAAGAATGAAGATAATTGAGAAAATTGTGCAACACCTACAGCTCCAGATTCATTGGAAGGATCATTTAACGATGTTACTTTCTCAACCACAAATCCCTGAACTACAGGAACTGATGCACATGATCTGTGGCGAGGAGAAGATCGAATGGACCCAGGAGCAGCTTGAGCAGCATTTGCATGCAAGTGGAACGTTGAGTTCCGATCATGCAGTTTACAAGCATTTGATCGAAATCTTGATGGAGATGGAGTTCCGAGACCGACAGAGATTCCTCGACTTCGTCACCTCGTGCCCCCGACTACCACCAGGTGGCATGGCCAAGATGCATATCGAAGTATGTGGCGTCGCCGCAGGTTCCACGGGTGCAAAGTCAAAGTTGCCGTACTCAAGAGCCTGCTCTTCGCAACTGTACCTGCCGGCAGCGCTGTATTCGGGAAAGGAAGATTTGAGGACCAACCTAAACGAGGCAATGTACTCAAGCGTGGGATCGCATGAACACAGATAATCCTCTCTGTGATTTTTTTTTCCTGACGACCCGACGCGAACGCAAGTTCATCAGATTCATAAACCTACAATGAAATAAAGCAAGAGTATGAGTAGTATCCCTACAAGTACAACCCCTTCCACTTCCAAACGGACGAATTTGAACTTAGTACTAGGACTACCCGCATCTTCTTTGTTTTCTTCTAAATCGACGTTTAGAAACATGAATACTTTTTACAGATAAATTTTCTTTTGCAAACAAGAATTACCACTAATTAGAAGACCCCGAATAAAGACAAATGCTTGTAGAAGATCGAAAAATAAGGCAATGGTCGATGTGTAGAGAGCAAAGCCTGCTCGTTAAGCCGAAGATGCAATTCAATGTTGACCATCATGTAGTCGTGGAATTCACTTTCCAACAAAAACCGTTTTACTTAGCACTCGTCATTATATCAATTTTTTCTTTTTGAGCAGAAAATCAACATCAAGGAGCAAGATGAAGAAAGAGGACCATATTAAGAGTGAAGAAAGCAACCTCTTGAATGCCGTGTGTTGTCGTGTGTTGTCAGTAATCAAGTCCGTACTCTCGAATCATGTGAGTTGTGAAGAACCAACGAGGAGTAATAAGGAGGCGATAGGACGATGATGACTGTTTATAGTCTTAGCGCCTTTCAAGTTCAAGTTCAAGAGAAGGTAACCACACGAACAATCATCTAAAAGAAAGAGTCCCACTACTTATATGTAGTCCCACTACAACTTCAACTTATATCGACATGGAATGATACTAGAAATAGAATGGCCTCCAGCACTGCTGCAGCAATCATCCCAACAACAAAAGCGAAACGTACCTCGTTCCTCTCCTCGCTTGCCTTAGCTCTTCATCTCTTTTGATGTCCCCAGTTCAAGTTCTTTATTTTTGCATGTTGGGTCGACTGAGATGATCATTGAGTGGCAGGCTTCCCGGCTATTAAACAGAGAGTTTTATCATGCTCACATTCACAGAGAGGCCTTTCTGAAGAATCAACATTCTGAACGAGTTCCTGTCGTTCCCACAGCGCTCTCAGTCGTAAGTGTGATGGTCTTCGTCCGCGTTCTTCTGTGCATGAATAGGTCATTAGACTTCGTGTCCGGCAATAAATATTCTTCACAAGAAGAAGACGAGATGAAGATGAAGGTTGGTTATCCTTACGTTAGCAACGTGATCGGCTGAAATTTAAAACTTCTGAAGAGAAGCACACCATCAAATCACAAGAACTACAAGAAGTTAGAATTCTGGAATTCTTCATGATCTGTTCCAACGAATGCTGGCTGATATCGTAGAGGAGGAAACCACGTGTTGAATCTGAAAAATGACGAGAGGATCCGACCTCGTTTCCCCAGCGAGGCTGTCCACAGTCTCCACCCTTGCCCCTTCCCCATCCCCCGAATTTGAGTTAGATTTGCATTTTACTTAACAGGTAAGAGGAGCAACCGGAATTGTCACAGGTTGTTACGTCATCGTCGATAATCATGTTGTGAGTAGTTGATTTCTACCTGATCATGTTCCTTTTGTTTATAGAAGTCAAGAATTGTCTTCTTCTAGCAGGTTGTCGTTGGTAAGAACTATTCTCTGACACGACCAAACATGATGATAGCAATGGGCAATGACAAAGATGAAGATGATATTTCCTCCATTCCCATATGAAAATTCGATTCATAGATGAATCAACAAACTAAGTAGAAACTAGTAGTAGATACAACTTACTTACTATGTCCTCCACCTCTAACATTACTTCAATCTCCTCGAGCAGCATTGTAAACGACCACAAGATGGCACCTCCACCTCCACCTGGTGCCTCTCACCTTACAGCATTACCTACGCACGCATCACGGCAAGCGGACGCTGATCCTCCGATGATCATGAACTTGGACAGAAATGTCCGGCCGAGCGATTTGGGTCAGGTTATCGCCGACTGTTACGGCGTGAAAAGCACTGTGGTAAACCAAGCGGGACTGCGAAGAATAGTGCAGCAGACGGTGAGCTACAACGATGCTCTGCTGAAAAGGGATTCGCAAAGGAAGCGAGAACTCCAAAAAAGGAACGAAGCTGAGCATAGTTAAGGGTTGCAAGAAGTTGACCTCTCTATGCGCATACCGCATAAGCATCCAAATGTTGACTTTTTCAAGAAGGAAAGTCAACACAGATTGATATGGGAGATGAAAGATTGGCCAACTTTCAGCCCCTAAGATAGAGTAGAAAAGAAGATCGAGGAGCAGGCGGGTAGAGCAACCAATAACGGAAGGGGCAGAGGACAAGCTGCCATCGGACCAAAAAGTACTAGGGTAAGACCACATAAAAGCAGAGACAGAAGAAGTAGAACTAGGAGGTCTCTTTCGAGAGGGAGAGGGTCTTCGTGCTCGAGCAAGAGGTCAGAAGACCGAAGTAGAAGAAAGCATGTTGAAACAAAACAACATGAAGATCAAGATGTGCCAAAGCCAAAGCGTCGTCGAAGAGATGAAGATGAAAAGTCATCAAGTAGAGAGCGCAGTAGAACCAGAATAACACGGCTCCTCGGGTACGGGCTACTGAAAGTACGTGAAAATACAGGTGATGGTGAACGAGAGACATCACCTTCGAAGACAAGGGTCACCGCGGAAGGTCGTGAGACATCACCTTCGAAGACAAGGGTCACCGCGGAAGGTCGTGAGACATCACCTTCGAAGACAAGGGTCACCGCGGAAGGTCGTGAGGCATCACCTTCGAAGACAAGGGTCACCAGGGAAGGTCGTGAGGCATCACCTTCGAAGACAAGGGTCACCAGGGAAGGTCGTGAGGCATCACCTTCGAAGACAAGGGTCACCAGGGAAGGTCGTGAGGCATCACCTTCGAAGACAAGGGTCACCAGGGAAGGTCGTGAGGCATCACGATCACCTTCAAAGCCTCCTAGGCCGCCGACTTCGTGTTCTTCTACAAACACGAGCAGGAATCTCCGTGGATGCAACAATCAACGCTCGCATGCTGAGGTAAATGCCGAATTGGAACAACAGAGATCAGAGGATGATGACGACCTGTCGTACCATCGTCAACGAGAAGGTGAGGGCTGCTCTTCAAATCCAACATCTACTTCCTCTCCGAAAACTGTTCCCGCTGCTTCCTCTTCAATCACTAGCGCTTCCTTCGTAGGACTAGGAGGTACTTTTTTTACAACGTCTTCGTCTTCGTCTAGTGCTACAATTAGAAGTACCTCGACGAGGACGGCAGCTGCTTGTCCTTGTGCTCTCCGCTCAGCATCTTCTTCAACCAATGCGAATCCTGGTAAGGCAGCTTGTCATCCTTCGTCTTCCTCCGCTTCTATGTCCACGGCCACGTCTTCCGCAAGAATTATAGATCCTTCTCAAAAGAGGGAAATAGCGCGATGGCTGAAGCTGGATCCGAATTCGTTCGGTGGAGGTTTCCAAGCAAGAAAGCGACGCAAACAAGAAGATCTTCCCTCTGCATCAATTAATGTCGTTCCACCGTCATCAGGAGGCGCTACTGTGAAAATTCCACCAGGTCGTGGAGGTGCTACAACAAGTAGTAGTAAGATATCTTCGATGAACTACGCGTTGTATACAACAAAGAATACAAGAACAGCTTCTGTTGAAAATTCCGCATCCACTTCTATCAATACGACTACAACACGTCTTCCTTCCTGCAGCACAGCTCGAGAAGCTAATCCACCATTAGGATCAACATCACCTCTTACCGCCCCAGCCCCCTTTCTAAATATGAATGTACTTGAGCAGCAAGAAGACCAAGATAATGATGATGGTGACATTTTTCTCGAAGAGGATGAAGGCGATATCTCTCTCGAGAGTATCAGCATAAACTTAAATGATGACAATTGAGACTTGACTTTCCGTTAACACGCGTTATTTTTTGACATAAAGAACATGAGATAGATTAACACATGAACAATGATGAACGTGAACTTGAACATGTTGACTAGCATCATTGTACTAAAAATAGTGGTCGTATCGAGAACCATGCACCTCTTGGTTCTCTACTGAGTTAGATTTTTTGAAAGAAAGCCTTTTCATTTCCACCATATTGTATCAACTACGCGGAGTTTGGAGTGTGGAGAAAATCGAGATAAGTATCTTCAGTGGACAATAGCAGGGTCCTCCTGCTTTTCTCAGACAGGACGTCCTTCTGGTTTTTGTCCTTGGCAATTGTGCTGTGCCTGTGTGACCTGCTCTCTTAGCTCGTGTTCCACTTTTGTGCCACAGTCACAGAGTAGACGTGTTCATAACTGAAATTGTGCTTGTTGTAAACGATGACGAGAACAACAAATATGAAGATCCTAAAATTGACACATATTCAGATGATCATCAGAAATGAATTGCAATGTTGTTTTTGTCCATGTTTCGTGTTTTGTGAAGATGAAGTTAAGGCATCAAGTATTTGCGTAAGCTGCATCAGCGAGTACAACACAAACAGAATTGTGCTTGTACTGCTAGATCACATTCTCGTTGCAGTTCCTCTGAAGAAACAGAAAAAGTTCGTTCTTTTTCAGCATTTTTACGGTTCTTGATCTCGTGTACATTGCAGGTTGTTCTTTCTTGAATGGTCGTAGTGCACATTCGCATTCATGACAATTGTCGTTCGACTTGTTGATCAAAGACATCAACAAATGTGATCACTCATTGTCATTTTTCTCATTACTCTCAGTGTTTTGAAACAAAGAAACTAGCACAGATAATATCACCTTGGTGTAGTTGATATTTTCTTCGATCTGCTCCTGCTGTCAAGATTTCTTTGTTTCTCCCAATACTCGTAGCTCAACTACAGTTACCTCAAAGTTCTAAGTACTATATGACCCACAAGCAACATACGTCTCTCGTTCTCCGTCTGAAACTACAGCACGTAGAACGATTTACAACAACGCAGAAAACACGAAAGAATCGTCGAAGCAACTACTTCCTCTTTTAAAAGGACGAAGCAATTGCAGAAGTTTTCTGCCGAATATCAAGAAAGTTGTTGTACATGATCAAGTAGAAGTACCTAGTTGTACAACATCTTCGCAGGACCTTTAAGAGCAACCTTTTGTTGTTCTTCGTAACAAATACCACACCCACGACTACGATCTTCTTCGATTTTCCGACGTCTTGAAAAATCTCGCTGTTTTTATTCGACGCTGTACGAGAAGGAACGAACACCGCCCAAGATGATGCCAAACCCGCAAGACCAGCAAGTGTACGCTAGCGTGCTCAACGACTTAATCCCATACATCTCTGAGTACGTTGACAACCAAGGTGGTCTCATCTCGCTCTCTGTGCTCACGCAGGATCCTCATGTAATTACTTTTTCCTTGTTGGATTTTGATTTCGTTACAGTTTTTGTCTGTCTTTTTTGTTCTCTCTCTCATAGTATGGCGTGGTGTTACAGCGGCCACAAACTGAGACGACGATTTCGAGAACTTACCACTCGTTTATTCTTTTTGCTACACCTAGATGACCTAAGTACTACATCATACATGCTGCTTAGTATGATCGTCGTGAGAAGTATATTTATGCACTGGAGGAGCTTGCGGGGGAAGTGATTATACTAACTGGTGAGTTAACTTAGGTGAGAGAAAAGATACGCTCTCTGGAAGGTTCCTGGACGACAGTCGACAAAAAATGTCGGCTGAGGGACCAACTAGGGAGAGGGTTGGGGGCAACGGGCCCCGCGAACCCCGTCGTGTGCGGTGCAAAAAATGCACTCACGCGCGACGCCGCCGGTCGATGCAATGGCGCATCTCGGCGAAGGCGAACCACGGTTCGCGCCTCCGCGGAGGCTCGGGTGCGGTCGGGTGAGAGCGTTAATGCTACACCCACGGGGCGGAGTTCACATGCAGAGCGGAGCAGAGCGGAGCGGAGCGGAGCGGGCTGCCGGCGCACGGGCCAAAGCGCTCGTGCGTAGGCCGCGGGAGGGCCAACGCGCCCTCCGGCGGTGCGGTGGGCAGGCGCGTGGCGCCCAGTGGGGGGTGCTGGGGAGCTCGTAAAAATCGAGTTCCGCCGCGCGCGCGGCGCGCCATCCCCTCGCGGGGCAAAAATCGCCGCGAGGGTTTGGCGCTTGTGGCAGCACATTTTCGTAACCTCAAGCTGAAAGCTAGCTTGGGCAGGTCAAAAAACTTTTCTTTTTCCCAAAAATCCAGGGACTTTCTGTGCGCGTATAATCGCAATCTAGAAACTAGTGACTAGTAGTGCCCCCGCACTCTGGTTTTCAGCAAAACAAAAAACAAAATGACCTCCCTGAAAAGCGTCGGAGACCTCGTCATCCACACAGGCAAAAATCCTGTGGGGAGCGAGGACGTCGACGAGAAGGGCAAAGCCCTTCTGAAACTGATCGACGGATCACTGTTTCACCCCTCCATGGCGGAGGCCATGGAGGCGCTGCAAAAGCAGCTGGAGGAGAAGACGCAGTATGAGGATAAACTCATCTTCTGCGCAAACATCCAGGACTGGATTGCAGCACTCCGACAGATGGTCGGTGAACTTCCGGAAACGGAATTCATCGACACGGTCAAAAAAGACCTGGAGGACCCGCGCTTCGTGGGGGAAGGTGGAACCCTAACCGAACAGGGCACCACCTTGATGTGGTTCCACTTGTGGTTGGGCGCATACCACGAGGAACTAACGGCCGAACCCTGGGCCTCGAAGTCTCTGATTAAAAAAGAGACTTTTGAAGCCGGCGCGAAGCTCGCCGAAAAACGAAAGTTTCGGGAGGAAAACCCGCAGCTGAACCTGGCGGAAGTCCCGGCGCAGACCGCCAAAAAGGAGGTGATAGTCCGCTACCTGATCGAGCGCACCAACAAAGAGGTGCTCAACGACTGGGACGCGAAGCCGGCCAAGACGCCGTGGACGTCGGTCCGCAAGGCGCACGAGGAGGAGGACCGAAAGCTCCTCGAAGAAGAGGAGAAGCAGCGCAAGGCGGAGCTCGAAGCCAAAAAGAAAGAGGAGGAGGACTCCGTGGACTTCGCCGACAAAAGCGAAGAGTCCTCCGAGGAGCCGCCGGAGACGGCAGCTCTGTTCAAAACGTTCGCGAAGAAGACCGCAAAGGCCATCGCAACGGCTTTGAACAGCAGCGGAGAGGACAAAATCCTCTCCTATGACGACACGCGCCCGGCTAGCGAAGGAGAAAAATTCTTCGTCTACCGACGCGTAAACGGCGTCGAGAAGAAAACAGAGGTGAAAGTCGTCTGGCCTTCCGTCTTAACTCCGGGCGAGGAAGTCGCAGACGCACAGGAGCAGTATAAAAACTGCTTCTTCACGAACGGAGAAAAAGCCTCTAAGCAGGCGAACCACGTGCTCACCGCGTTATTAAAACACGTGGAAAAGCACGGCCTCCGCTCCGTTTTCGACGTGGACGAAAACAGCGTCCTGAACACGACGGCAGGCCAACGCCTCAACCAAAAGGCGCTGGCGCTGCTCTTCGGAGCATACGCGGCCGCAGGCATCTGGGGCGAAGCCCAGGTGGGAAAAAACCAACCCAAGGTCTCAAACTGCGCCATCGCAGGCTTTAACGGAGACAACCTGCAGCGCACAAACAGCGCGTTCCAGAACCTGGTCCGGAAACAGGTCGTCGCCAGCGTCCCGGCTGACTACTGGGACAGATGCAACCTGGACCAGTGCTGGGAGACGCTGCGCCGCGTGGAAAGCGCCATCAACGGCGCCACCGACCTGCAGCCCTTCGACTTCATGACCGAGTTCAACGAGAACTTCCCAGAAATCGCCATCAAAAAAATGATGGTGTTCTTGGGATTCATGAAGGAAGGCTCCCGCAGCCTCGACGCGCTCCAGCAGAAGATGAAGCGCTGGGAGACCGGGCTGGTGAACAGATACATGTTCAACCTGCTGGCCTGGTACAACCACTTCGGTCTCCACCTCATCGACGAGGCGCGCTACACGGACGAGGAAGACGGGGGAAAAATCAAACCGCCCGTCCAAAAAGCGTTCTTCAAGGAGAACATGGAGGAAATCAAAAATGAAATGTTCTCCATGCGAGACGCCGAGGCGAGCTTAGGCAAGCCGAGAAGCGAACGTGTGACAGTCACACTGCGCTCTCGTAGCCACAGCCGCCGCCGCAGCGAATCGCGAGAGCGATCGGCGAGCGAAGGCCCGCAAAACCCGTTCGGCAGCGACGCCGACAGCGGCGGGGACGACGACACGGGCACAACCATGCCGAGCGACACTTGGTTGGAGAGTTTGGATCTGGAAAAAACAGATTTCAACCCGGCCATGGACCCAGTCCACAACCGCCGCCTCGACAAACGTGTCGACGTGGTGCTAGCCGAGCGCCGAAACGCGAAGGGAGGAACACGCACCACATACTACGTGTACTTCCCTCAAACCGGCTTAGTGGAGCCGTCCGCATTGAAGTCCCTGAAAAATATGGGACTCATGCTTCCGCCGGCGGTATGCCACTGGTTCCACGCGCACAAAGCGCATGCGGTGCAGTCAGGCTGTCGCAACGACGCTCAACACCTGGAATGCACACACCACCACCTCATCGACCGCAACCGTCCTCCCCCAGACATCACTATCGCCAAGAGAACGTGGGCAGAAGTGATCCGCTCGCAAAAAGAGCTGGCCGAAGTCCTCTTCTCGGCCCGGTTGGCAGGGCGAAACATCAACCAGCAGCCAACCGGCACAGCGGCAAAACGAGCGGCAGCGAAGGACAAGGAAGCAATCCGCCACCCGAAAGACTTCGTAAAACCGAAAGTCCAGCCGATGAAGGCGATGAAGGCCAAAAACGGCCGAACACGCCGCCAACCGAAAGGACCCCAGCGAAGCGACGCAAACGCGGTTCCGCTGGGACAACGGCATCGCAACGACAGTCGCGAAAAAGACAATCGTGGCCGCAACAAATCGAAGCGATCGAACGAGCGCAAAAACAGCCGCTCACGCGATCGACGCCGATAAATCGAGAGTGATGGAGGGAAAAATCCTCCTGGGGAGAGACGTGAAGGAGCACGTTGGGAGCAAACGCTCCCTCGCGGTGTGGTGGAAGGAGCCACGCACAAGCTAGAACGCGACTAGCTGGAAGAAAAAGGCTACCGGCCTCGAGGACAACAAATCCTCGAAAAACAGAATGCAAAAGCATTCGCCATAAGCCCTCTGGTCAAATTACCAGGGGCACCGGACCATTATTAAGTTAGTGGCGGAACAATAAATTCGTCCTTTTTGACAGAGTAAAAAACACTCTAGTTGAGAGGGAGGAAACAAATCAAACCACCAGTGACGACTGGTGGCCGAAAGGGAAAACGCGGCGGCGGCGGCGCAGTGTTCGAGGGAGTGACGTGTTACATCTCGTCAAGCTAAAAAGAGGGAAAACAGAGTGGGAAGGAGTTACGAGTAAGTAAAGAAGCTAGGCTGGGGAGACCACTTCATGAGATACGGCAGGAGGCCAAGATCCATGGTGGAGGTTCGCCTAAGCAGCCGCACGAACCAGCCTAGACAAAAAAGTAAGTAAGGACGAGAGAACAAACTAACTAAATAAAAACTAAAAAGAACGTTAGAGGGAACAACAGCGAGAGATAAATAAAAAAGTAACATTAAATAAATGTCGAAGCGGGCGGACGCACTGCGCAAAGCTGTCGATCTAAACGACGACGAGCTGCGCGCCATGGGAGAAGCCGACTCCACGACTAGAAACAAAAAGTCGCGAGTCGCCTTCTTCCTCGACTGGCTAGCGGCCAAGGGTGAAAAGCTACCCGTGAGGCCGGAGGCGGTGCAAAGATTCGCCGCCTTCCTAGTGTTCAATGAATACACCTCAGTCGCGCAGTACACATCCAGCATCATCATGTGGCTGGTAGAACCGCCACCCGCGGATGGCCCGCAGCGGCTAGTCGAAAGCCCCGCCATTCTCCGAAACATCGGGGACGTGGAAAAGGCAATTGAACGAACAATCCAAGACCACAACCCGAGGAAAGCAAAGCCTTTCCTACCGGGTACGAAGCTCGAGGCGCTAAAGGCAAAAGACCAAAAAATGGTCCTCCTTTGGGCGCTATCGGGATTGCGGGGCGACAGCATCGCGGCGGTGGACGACACGGACATCTCCAAAAAAGGAGACGTGTGGCGCATCCACATATCCGAAGACAAAATCCGCAAACAACGCGGTAGGATAATAGAAATCCACTGCAATTGCGACACCAACGCAAAAACAGCTGGTGCACGAAGTCGCTTTTGCCCGATGCACGGCGAAGGCGCTGTTATGAGATCTGATTTCCCATTAGGCAAGGCCAGGATAAGTAGCTTGGCGAAGGGAATTAGCGGCACGCTGCACAGCTGCAGGAGAGGACTCGCATTGGCAACGCGACGCGAGTGGGAGCAAGGGAAAATCTCCGTGAAGGAGGATGAATTCCTCACCCACATGGGCTGGGAACAGTCCAGCAAAATGTGGGACGAGTACACAGCCGACCACAAAACGTGGGAGGCTTCGGAATTCATCCCGCTGCACGGATTGCGCAGGCGGTGGCCCTCGGGGGGGGGTCCACCCCCGCGCGTCTTCGTGCAGCCCAAGGCGGTCCAAGAGGACACCTTGGTCAAGCGGACGATCAAGATCACCCCCAAGCAGAAGCTACAGAAGAAAGGGCGGATTCAACAGAATACCGTTACCAAAAAGGTGACGGCCCTAGCGCCAAAGAGCGCCAGTAGCAGCGGCTCAGGGGCACTCAAAGCAGTACCGGGTACAAAAAACGTACGCACCTGGCGGTTCTGAACCTCCAGTCGTCGGGAAAAGGATGGAAGGCGCACCAAGGAGGCGTCGAGAAAGGATGGCCCAAAGGGCTGGAGGTTCAAAGTGACCTTGTCCCCCAGCGGGGGGACAACGCCTGCTACTGCCGAGGGATTAGCCGCGCACCCGGGCCAAAGCGCCCCGGACCAAAGCGTCCGACGCGAAGAGCGAGCACCCGAAACCTCGCGGGTGCCGGTTGATTGACTCGTAGGGCGACGGTGCACGAACACCGGCCGAGCCGCGAGAGGGGTTACGACACCCGGACGTTGGTGTGCAACTCTCTCTGGGGAGGTAAAGGCCTCCCGCCACGCTCCGTGGCAAATTTATGGGCCGTAGGTGCAACGACCGGCGCCGGCAAAGACCTGGGTCTGCCGAGCCAGCCTACCGTGCTGCCACAGCACTAAAAAGTATAACTCACCAGTAGATTTAGGATCCCCGGGGGTTAAGTCTCCAGTTTGTATATAAGATCAAGAAGAACTTCTATATATAAGATCAAGAAGATCATCACGGTTAAATAAAAATAATTCATCACAATCATTTCCTCACCCACCCATGTTGGACAGGTCCAAACACTCCAGAACCAGATTCCTCGTTGTTTTGACGTGAAGCTGACCAAGATCCTTGAGCAATACAAGGACTTTTTTCAGTGCCTCGAAGGTGGTCGCGTTGCCACGTACAAGGCTTACGAGAATGGTCTCATTGACGAAGAAGGCCGCGTCCGGAAAATGCCGAAGCAGAAGGCAAAGAAGATGACGACCATCCTTCAGCCGCAGATGGGGGGACAGGAAGGTGCTCCGCCTATGGGTGGCATGCCAGGAGGTATGCCAGGAGGCATGCCGATGGATCCGAACGCACCCTTCGGCGGCATGCCAGGAGGAGCCCCGCCAGCGGGATCGCCAGGTACCTATTTTGACTTGGAATAAATGCAATTTCAAGTTCTTGCTGATTGAGATTTCTTTTCACTTGTTAGTTCAGAAGATATAGAGGACTAAGTCTAAGAAATAGAATTGCATCGTCCTCGTAGGAGCTCCCGCCCTCATTTATGCAGTTCGCTACCTTTTTGAGTGCGACTCCTACTTCTTTATCGCAGTCTTTATGATTTTCTCGTATCGAAATCGAAAAAAACATAACAGTCCCGTCAATGGGAGATCCAGGTATGATTACAGATTTTACTTCACTACCTAGCTAGTACTAGTAGTTAGGGAAAATCTAATCCTGGTGGCTGTTGATCAAAAGTCGAATTTTTTCTCATGTGGTCTACTTCATAGCAAAGATGAAAACGAAATTTAGTCCTGAACAAGAGAGCAAAAGGAGGTTTTCGATTGAGAATGCTTGAACGAATGCATGTTCTTCTTGTTCATATGCTTATGCAAAATTTGAAAAACTACAAGTTTCAAATTTTGTTTTTCATACTAGCTGGAGTTCCGAATTCGACTGCAGGTCCAGACGGCGCCCCCGCCAAAGGCGAAGACGCCAAGCCTGAGGAGGAGGATGAGAACCCCGACGCCTCCCTCGTCGATGTTCTTGATGAGCTTGGACAATGCGTTTTCCTCGATGATAGCATGAAATTCGCTAAGTGCGTAGCACGACTCAAGCGTATCAGACATGAAACTTAAGCAGGGTTTCCGAATTACATGATCCCTCACTAGCATGATCCTTGGCTCCTTTTCAAGGGGAAAAGAGGCCAAGGATGTTCTGAAGAATGCAATCCGGCAACCTCTAAGAATATTTCGGCTATGAAGATGATGATGCTTTGGTGTCTGTCTTCGGAAATATGCTGCGTCCTAAATTATTCCCTCAAGGTGCGCCGGGAATGGGAATGCCAGTTATGAAGCGTCATTATCTTGATTAATTGCACCATGTTCCAAACACTTATATCAGAATTCGTAAGCAAAAATTCCACAACAACTGAGATGGAATTTATTTTTAGGAGAACTACAACATCTCTCAATATCGCAACAACTAGATTAGGCTTCAGTTTCAACCCTCAACAATCTCCCCACTCTAATCCCCGCATGCCAATGATGGGACCAGGTGGAATGGGTATGGGAGGACCTGGCATGATGGGCCCGGGTATGATGGGACCAGGAGGCAGACCAGGACCGTATGGAATGGGCCCGGGTGGACCAATGATGGGAGGACCTATGGGACAAATGGGACCGGGAGGACCATGTACCACTTATATATACGATAGGAAGGTGGTTTAGAAGAATTAGATGATTTGGACTTGTGATTATTGGTTGGGACTTTTGGTAGGTCTTTTGTTTTGATGTGAAGAAAGTGAATTAGAAGTACGTGTTTGCTTGTGGATGCAGTTTTTTTCTCTCTCTTAGGCACAAAAGTAGAAAGTCCTTCTTCTAAATACTAACTTGCAACATCAACTTCAACATCTTGTTCCCCAACAACATCTACTTCTTCCCCAACCAGTGATGCTTCCGTCTTCCGTCCAACTTGCCGATCCGAAGAACGCGAGAGAGAGGGATGAGCGTGTTTCTCTCGTCGTCCGCGAAATGATCGTGCTGCTGCAGCAAGCACCGGAACGCACGTTGACCGTGATCGAGTTGTGCCAGAGACCGAAGATCCAGCTGCTGAAGAAGGGGATTATCGCCAAGTTTTCCTACTTCATCCAGCAACACAGTGAGAAGTTCACGATGGGCAAGAACCCAGATGGAGATAACAAGTCGGATGTGGTCACATTGCAGTTCGATGATTTGCAGTTATGAATCTCCTGTGAAATAATTACTGAGATGTGGTGAAACTTGTGATGAAATTACTTTTACTATACTGCCTCCAATTATGTAGTTGATGTTCTAGTACAACACGACCTTCTTGCGTAGATGGAGGTTCTGGAAAAATTTGATCACCTGATTTTGATCCTCAGAAGGAGGAAAACAAGAAGAGATGAATCCTGGAGACCGAATTCAGGCCACCGAATACCAGAACAGTACAGACCCCTGTAAGTGTAACGTAGTAGTCAAATAAAATGTAGTTCACGTAGTAGAAATCGCGCTTGTCTAAGGAAGCTTGAATCTCAAACCTGATGAAACTTACTGTACTAGGCGAATCAAGAGTAAGTAGTAGTTGTACTTCTGTTGCACTCATCATTCGCAATGTCAATGACTTCACTGTCTCCAAGGACTACTTCACTGCCCGCCCCAACTTCGCTCCCTCTCTAATCTGCTGCGAAGAGTACCTATCCCAGACCTTCGACCTCGACGCGCAGTACATGGAACAATACCCAGAACTATCTATGCGTGGACCCAATGCGCCAGGAAGTGGAGCGTCCGCTAAAAAGGAATTCGGCCAACGAAAGGGTATGGGCATGGGTGGTGGTAAAGTTACGATTTTTAGAGAGTATAGCTCATCTCTTCGCGAAAATCTTCTCCTTAAGTTCGTAGATTATAGAAGAAGTACATTTTGGTTGATGAGCTTGAAGATCGTTTTCAAGTCAAAAGCAAAATAGATTTCTGAAAATAATTCGAGTCGAAAGATGATGAGATATACGGCAAGAGATGAGCTAGAACGTAGTTTGAGCTCTAAGAACAGCAAGGGCAAGAAGGGCAAGAAGTTTGGAGGAGGCTTCGCGGCACCACCAATGTTCGAAAACGGCATGCGACCAGGAGTGCCGACTGGAGCGGGGTTCTGAGTAACGTCACCTAGACTCTACTAGTCAAGAAGTTCTTGTCCTTGAACACGATTGTTTGGCGAACTTTTCTATACACGGGACGTTAGATATCTATGCAGATTGATGGGATGATATCAATAGCTCCGACATGTACAACAACACACAGTACTATGATCCTTTTTGAGAAGTGGAACAAGAGGTTCCTTCCCTATAATGAGTACGACGAACGAATGAACTACAGAAGAAGTACAATTCTTATCAAAGAAGCTACATCAGCAGGAACAAGCGGGATGAGTACACCAAATACTATTTTGAGAACAGTCAACTGTATGTCCTGGGATCGATATGTGAACCAAGTCATTGCATAATACGCTATCGTGTCTCTGTCCTTCAGTTTCAACCATTGCTTACTTGATTCATCTGATTTTGAGCTTTTAGTCTTAAGATTGATGGTACTATGACTAACAGTAGTACCACTATCACTAGAATCTAAGAAGAACAAATAAATCAAAATCTATTGTTTTTTCCAAGTTTTCCCAAGTGATACCCTGAGTTGTCCCACCTGGTGTGCTTCGACAAAGGTGTTGAGAGCTCGACATGACGACCAAAACATATTTTCTAGATTGACTACTACTCTACAAAAATAACAAATGATCACATTCTCATTCGCCAGCCATCACTCTCCGACCCCTAAAGCAGAATAATCCAAACACATGATGAAACAGAAGGAGCAACACCCTTCCCCTACGCGAAATGGACCGACCCACTAAGTTTTTCTGTGAAGATACCTGCTTTAGATAATTCCTCTTCGAAAATGGCCACATCCAAGAAGTACACGTCAGAAGCAATGCTCTACAACGTACAAGGAGAAGGATCCGCTACAAAAAACAAGAAAATACAATATAATTGACGATAACCTAGTTACCGTTTCCCGAAATGAATCGCATATGATGCCAACGGCAGAGCAAGGTTGACATCATAGTCTCTTGGGTCCGTTGCTCGGCGAAAAAAATCCTGAAAAATCCTGAATCAATAAGAAAACTGTGAGAGTTTTGCTGCCTGCATTGATCTTCCAGGAGAATGACACGAGGATCGGTAATCTTTTACCTGTGGCGGCGGGATGGGGATCGGTGCGTGTGCGAGTGCGTGAGGCCTTCGTAAATAAAATACATAAATGCCGCATTGCTGAAAGTTACTGAAAAGCGTCGAAATATAGGGCACTAAGTAGTAACCTCCCCTAAGTAGAAGTTCATCTGGCTTTATCCAAGACGCAAACTGCTACCTAATAGCAGTAGTAGTACTAGAAGTAGGGCTGATAGTTACACCGAGAAATAAAAAATGGTAGAGCTGCGGATGAACAACATGCAAGTGCTAGCTTCGTGGCATGATGTGCCTGATTTGCGCGCTGCGCTCGATACCGACGTCGACTCTTCTAGCAAGAGAGATGCCGAGTCGCGGTCTACGACTGTAGGAGTAGATTAAGGCATTATGTTGAGGCTACTTGTGTCTAGGTGCCGTTTTTGTTGGCTTCAACAAAAAGCCTCAATCTAGGGATGACCACTACACATAAAAGGAGTAGATTAAGGATTTTTGTTGCGGCTTTTTATTGAGGAGGACTAGAAAGATAGCTAGGCTTGTGAGTAGATTAAAGCTGTTTGTTGAGATAACTACATGTAAAAGGAGCACTTTTTTAAAAACTTCTAATCCAACCAGAAGTATATCTCGCGTCGCATTGTTCGCGCGTGCAGTGTGTTTCATAAACAAAAACGCCAAGTTCCACCTGAGGTGTTGAAGTACATGCTCTCGGTTCTTATTGAAGCAGATATGCTGACAATGGCACGGAGAATCGCAAAAGCTGATCTGGAATTTGCTCGTTCTTGTGGGAAAGGAGAAGGACGAGGAGGGCCGGACTGTCGTGGAAGAGAAGGAGGAGGAGGAATGGATTGTCATAGGACCACTGGAGAAGAAGGTGACAGAAGTAAGGGGGCACAAGTACTAGATGAAAGATCAATTTCGCTACAAAAAGGTGGTAGAAGAGGAACAGAGGAGGTTCAAGTCGAAGAGGATACAACAGAATTATCGCGGTTACATCTTGGGCTGTTTCACGAAGCAGGCAAGAGTAGCTCTTTGTTCTACAAGATTCCGGATTTTTGCTCGAATTCTTCTACGAAAAGCTTCGACTCCTGGCGTAAGCGCGAAGAACAGCGAGAACTATGTTTACGGCTTCATCTTTGTTGAAGTTGATGTTGCAGCGACAACGCAGGTAGAAGGTTCATTACGTATCTGTATCATATTCATAAATGTCCTAGCCATAGAAACTCAAACTCAAGGTCTAGGTCTCTGTCCTGTGAATCACGAATATTTTTTTGAATGATCTTCGTGTTCGTCCTCTAATCTCTGCCGACGTTTTGCTGTATCAACTTCTCGAAGACCATAATTCAGATCATGTGGAGAGCAGAGAAGCTTCGTCAGACACACAGTCTTATGACAGTCTGATCGCGGAATCGCCACCTGAAGTGAGAGATATTGTACTCCAATACCTTTCAGATTCGAAATTGGTGTAGATCGCAATCAAAATAGATAAGAGGAGTTGTGACATTATTGTGCGTCTACGTTTTTCATTATCGTATACAGATCGCATGAGTTTCATATTCATGATGCATAGAAATACTTAGAGTTAGAGGTTGCTTAATTACATCGAAAAATACACCGCTAGTTATAGTTTGGATTTGGAGATGGCCTCTGGATACATCATCGTCATCATGTGGTTGTGGAGGTGGTTGAAAAGTGAAATTCTGTTGTCTGCCAAACACAGCAAAGATATCTTCTGCTGTCTGCAAAACGTAAAGGATTTGAAACATTTCAATTACACTTACAGCCCACGTGACGGGAAATTGACTAAGGGCTCATCCACACGAAAGCGATAGGAGAACCAAGTGGTGACTATAATCGTGTACAACTGCGATCGAGATCTTGTTGGTTCTAGTATATTAACCATGATATCGCGAGAATATTACGAGCACGATCCAGATGATCTAGATCATGTTGCTCGAGTGAACAAGGCAGAATCTAGAAAAAGATCCACCTGAAAGCGATCCAATATTGTATGAACTAAAAAAGGAAGATCCAATAGAACTAAAAGAACACTAGTTTTAGTTAGTTCAACAAGATCCTATTGACGATCGACTTATGGATCCAGCTAATAAGATCAAAAGGTCAGGTCAGGAGAAACGGATCACAAAAGAGCCCCGCTAGAGCATCACGATCAGAAAGAGTTCGCCTCCTGTTCGGAAGAGGATCTGGAATAAATTTAGTCTTAGTCTTAGTCCTCTTCGGCTTAATTTTAATAGAAACTTGTCAGTTGTTTTCGAAAGATTTCTTTCGTATTATTTTGCTCAAGCCCCAAGCCCATGACTGAAAAAGCAACATTGTCATTGATTAGTAATAGACCTCCACCTCGAATCATATCCATCTCGATCTCGTTAAGTATTGATAAATATCGACATCGACTTGCCCACCCGAACTCGAGCAACTAATCGATTTACCGACTAGGAACAAGACTAAGCCAGGCATGAGCTTCGAGTTCGAACTTTTGGTACGAAAAAGAACTCACAAACACAAACTATCGCCATTTCTTCAACTAGAACAACGAATAAGATCATCTTCACAGCCAACATGTCAAAAACTTGAACTACTAACTTGCATCTTGGATGGTCTTTTAGAATTTATATCGACGTCAACAATAATTTTTTTTTTCACTCCTATGATCGCTATCTTCTAAGCATAACAAATATTTCTCGAAAATGCAGCTGGCTTTTCTATTTCTCCGTACAAGTGTTTTTGGGGTTTCGTCGTATCTACTACTGCTTTGTACGACAGCTCTTGATGTGGAAGGAACAGTCTTCAAGCGTTGGTACCAAGAACGCGATGACCATCGTGCCGCAAATCTTCGACTTCTTGACAATGGATCTGCTCTTATGATGCCAGTCATTGAGAACGAAGATAGACGGATGTTGTTCCCAAGTAAGAAGGGCCTAAATGAGGGGAACGAGATTCCCCTATTGACATTCTCAATGAGTGGATCTTCTGCTCTTACTGTTTCTGGAGGAACAATGGGAACGTCGGAAAAGCAAGCTCGTGACCGCAAGGTTAGAGAGATCTTGAGTTTTCTTGCGGGACCTGATGCTGTAGCCAAGATCGCCGAGTTGAAATTCTTGGAGTACGTTAGTACGGAGCTACTCGTTGGGCGTGAGAACGAGGACAATGATTCTAGTACTAGGAAGGATACGAAGAAGCCACAGCCTGCCGACGTCAAGTCTATTGCTGCTTTTTTCCAGCAATTTCTGGAAGCTGTGACCGCAGAGGGGTCTCTCGCTGGCTTTAGGCCCTTCGGAGTTCTTGATGAAAAGGGTGAGCGAGGTGATTGCTCATCTCCTACGACCACGCAGGAGCTGTCTTTAGAGTTACAATATGAGAAGATGCGAGAGCACCACGCGCGCGTGATTGAGACGTATCTCACTGAGAACAAAGTGCTGAACAATAAGAGCGATGGCAACAATTTGGTTGGAAAAGGCAATGGAGGCGGCTCGTCCGCAGCTGAGCATAGTCCTCCTTCTCCTCAAGAAGCCGAGTCCAGACTAGATTTTGCAAAAAGGTTTCGAAAGGTGGCTCAGCGTGCAGTAGTTTCGAAGGAAAAAGTCAAAGACATCGAAAAAGCAGCAAACGACTACTGGAAAGCCCGCGAAAACTACCTTGAATTGTTAAAAGAGAAGGAGAAAGACCAGCACCAGAGAAAAGAAGAAGAAGAAGATAGCACTAGCAAGAAAGAAGATGGCCTTTCTTCCATCACGACCACCAGCGACAGCGAGATGAAGCAAGAAGAGGATCTTCCTTCTGTTACCAGCGAGAAGATGAAGAAAGATGGTGAGGATCCCAGTTCTGACACTAGCGAGAAGAAAGAAGAGCAAGACAACAACGATGGTCAGCGAGTATTTCACTTACCTTGGGGTGTGCGGGTCAAAGATGAAGACGCCGAAGGAGGAGCAGCGCACTCCGCTTCATCGGGTGACGTTCAAGCAATGCTGGAGGAGACGGAAGATCTAGCCAAACAAGTGAAGCGACTGCAAGGCGAACAAAAAGAACAAGATCAGCAGGACTCTGCTGAACTACTAGACCCTGGTGTCAAAAACGCTGAAGCAGAGGTTAAAGAAGCCGCAGACAGATTGCGTAGTGTACTCGGTTCGAGCTTTGGCCTCAATGAGATTCTCATCGGCCCCAAAGACCATGACGTCAGACACGGAAACCAATTCGACATGTTGCTTGCCAGCTTTATCCGCGAAGAAGCAGAAGAAAAGCAGCATCGTTCCGAAGTAGAAGACGTACTCGGTGTGGGAGGAAATCCGAAACATTTTGTCCGCTTAGGCACGGAAGAGAAAATTACCGGAATCCCTCTAGGTACGAAGCTTTCCACGAGTAGACACCCAGCCTACAGCTTTTACAAGAAAGGCGATGAAATAAATGAAACTACTGGTGGTGCAGATGCGGCTCGTTCGAGTAAAAGCACAGCCTCCTGCTCTTCCGCTTCGTCGAAACGATCGCTCTCAGCGCTATTCGTGCATGCTTGCCGCGCTGCCTTGAAACATGATCCAGACGGAAACCCATCTCCTGCTTGCCGCGATGTCTTGAAACATGATCCAGACGGAAACCCATCTCCTGCTTGCCGCGCTGCCTTGATGAGCGAAGATGCTGGTCAAGAAGTAGTTCCTCGTATTGCGAGGTTCCAAGGAAGTCTTGAAATAGGAAGCAAAATACGACGAACAACGTCCTCCACAGGAGAAGATACTTCACTTCCTACTGTTGCACCATCGTCGAGGACTCCTCAGGATGAACATGCGGACGACGTCGACGATCTCCAAGAACTAGCTCCTCCATTACAAGAACAGAAAATGGCAGACGAGAACGAATGTACAGGAGAACAGAACGAAAACGAATATCCAGGAGATTCAGGTAGTTGGCGCCTTATTTCTTCCTTGCGGGACGGCCCCGCTATTCCACCACCCCCACTCTACATAGTGGCGGACACGGTAAAGAAAGACCCTGTCTATTTCGCTTTCCTTGCTGTCGCCCACAAAGCTCTGAAAGAAGCGAAGCTACTACGTGGACCGTTTACTTCTAACGCCTATACTCCTAGAAATCGTGCCACGCCTGCGAACAAGACTTGGACTGCAGCAGCAACCTCCATGGCCGAGCTTCTATTATCTGCCTTCAGGGGGAGTTCGAGTTGGAGTACTACTACTAGTAGTACCACTACCAGCATCATGCCCGCCGAGAGTCATACTAGGATGACAACTACTGGCGCTAGTACTACAACCTCCATGACCGAGAGTGATGCCATTCGGAGCTCCTTTGTCGTTGCCGTGGTTATTCGAAAGTTGCTCAATATGCAAGTTTTGTCCACGGTCCTGGATGTAGCGCCTATCTTTTTATCCAAAATACTTGAAGAGGCAGAAAAAAGACTCGTTGCTGGTGCTGGAGGAAGTAGACAAGGAGACGATGGCACGCAGACGAGGAGAGACGGTCTTCAGACTCATAATCTCTTCCTTAAGAGCAGCACCTTCACTCGCGCTACAACGATGTCTCACTTTTTGTACGAGTTGCCGGAAGGGGTGAGAAAGGAGGCCGTCAAAAGGGAGATCGGAGAGCACGGCGCAGTGGTTGATCGCAGTCCAGAAGGATATTTGAAGAGAGAAGATGAAGATTTTACGACGAATTTCTGGCGAATCAGCGCGATTCAGGAAGAAATGAGAGATATACTTCGTAGAAGTACTAGACGTCTCGGTCTCCAAGGACAAGAAGAGCATCCTCATCGTCCAGCAGAGGACTTTGGAGGTCCTCTCGAACATATTGACATGAAAAGAGCCGCGATCGATATCGATATCGATCGGCCGTACCTTCTTGGTCGTCATTTCGCGATAGCATCTTTGAACTGGAAAGAAGCTGGTCTTTTTGATGCCATGACGACTTCAGGTAGAGAAGACGGAGGTGAGCCAAGTAATAAGAAACGTGAAGAGCAGAAGCACAAGCAACTCCAACTTCTGCAAAATATGCTAGTTGAAGGGCACACGGAAGCATGCAAGCGCATAGCGCAAGACGTAAGTGACTTGGTAGAATATTCGCACCACTTGCAGCTGTTCGACGTGCACAACGACGAAAGAAAAACCCTTAGTAATCCCGCCAGCACTCGGATAAAGGAAGGCGCACCAGGGAAGAAAGCAACTTCTTCGACGAAAAAGACGCGACTTCCAAGGCTACTTGCGAAAGAAATCGACACACTCAAAGACAAGCTCAACAACGTGCACGAGGTGGCATGTGGGAAAATGCGGGAAGAGTTGAGGCTTGCTAAGCGTACTCTGTTCAGGATTGCGGAACACGATAACGATGAGCAAGGCTCTGGTGCGGTAGCTTCCGTAGAATGGGGAGCCTCTGATCCGGACTATTTTTTACGCAGAGTTCTTCCCATTTTGCAGCAGGTTCTGCTTTTTAGCGGAGACGTCCTCTTCACAAGACGGAGAAAGCTGCTTTCATCACCAGATAGCGCCAAGGAGTCTTCTTCCAAGGAGACGGATGCGCCGTCTAGCCAAAAAGATAGAGAACTTCTCGACAACATTCAGTCGGAGACTCAGATCACAAAAGAGAAGGCCAGCTTGCTCGAAGGCGCAGGTGGAATGCTCACTGAACTCCATGAAAAACTTGTGGAAATCAAGAAAAAGCATTTTCTCCAGACTTCCTCGGAATCCGAGTCAGACTCGGAGTCTGTAGAAGGCGGTGGAGTAGGTGAGGAGGTGCCGGATGTTGTAGACGGGCAAGCAGAGGAGGAGACTAAAGAAGGGGAGGAGATGAAGAAAAATTGGGCTGACCTCATCTGGGGTCACGATGAGGAGGACGGAAAAGAGAACTTAATATCCTCGGACGAAAAAGAAGAACTTCGCGTCCTCTATCGCTACTGTAATCCGAAGCTGAGCGCTTTTGTGGCGGCGAGGATGATAAAAAAAGAGGAGGAGAGCCGCATAGCTTTGCAAACTTTGCACATCGCCGCCTTGGAAAAGGAGAAGGAGAAGCGAATAGAAAATGGCATGCACTTGTTAAGCTGCAGCGGCGTGAACGATGAAGAAAGACAACGGATAGCCGATGAGACTGAGGAAGAGACGAAGCGCATCCAAGAGGAGATTGAAGAAAACGTGCAGAAGCTAGAACAGATTAAACATCGTAAAGAACAAGATGATCATGATTCGGCTATTACGGCGGAGGCGGTAGAGGTAGATGGAGTAGCTTCCCCTAAGGAATTCTGGAAGAAGCACATGAAAGACAAAGGCAGTGGCCGCGCAAGGTTTGAGTACCATTGTGCGCACGCATTGGCGTGGTACCAAATCCGTTCCTCTCACAGCGATATCGTTACGAGATTCGCCACGGGGCGATCGATTTTTTCATCTGAAGGAGGGCACAATCTAGATCCCGTGATAAACGTACTCGGCACACACCTGCTAGAAGGGCCAAAATGCCTCGGGATGAGTGTCCTTTTCAAGGGCATCATGGATGCGATGTTTCAGAGGAAAGTGCTAAGAGTCAGAACCGAAGTAAACTCAGATCAAAACCATGTCTGGACTCACGTTTACTTCAACATTTTTTTTTGCGATTTTTCAGAAGTCCAGGACCATCTTCAGCGAGAACAGAGTGAACACCCTCAAGTAGCTCCTGCACCCCAAGGCGAGCTTCCTGGATGCAGCGCCATCAAATGGGGATCTTCATTTGGTTGCGTTCTAGTACAAGCATGGAGATCGGTGGGATTCGATACTGGACGACTGTGGTCTCCTTCATTTTTTGGTAGTCGTCAAGAGTTTCTGGCACACTCTTCTGGGGTAGTTGTACAGCAAGGGCAACCCTCTGCCCTACTCCAAGGCTCATCTTCTGAGAGGACTACTTCTCACGGAGGTCGCGGAGTAGAACCTCCACGCTCAAGTGGTTCCGAGACCCACCAGAAGGAGGAGGAGAAGGAAAGACAATCCCACCAGAAGGACAAGGGGGAGGAAAGACAATCTCACCGCCAGAGCGAGATGATGGAGAAGGAAAGACAATCCCACCAGAAGGAGAAGGGGGAGGAAAGACAATTCATTGTGGACATTGCTCAGCTTCTACTAGGAAACTTGGAGAATAAAGTTGAGCTTTCCCAGTGCTCGTCTCCGTTGGAGCATTCTACATTGACGCCGCACAGAGCCGAAGTTGCCGAATGGTACACCAAAGCACTTTCAGAGAACTGTGCTTTATCTGTTGTTACTGATGAACCAGGGAAATGTTGTGCTGAGGAGTTCCATCAAGCTGCAGGGGGCGCAAGTGGGCAAGAAGCGGCTCGATACATACAGGACGCGGAAAACAAATGCGTCAGAAACTGTAGTATTATTACCTCCAAAGAAGGTGAAGCGGGAGGGCCTGCTCCTGTAGATGAGTCCTCGTCCTGCTGTGATAAATACGTGACGCTAAGAGTGGAGGATAATGATTATCAAGGAATCCCTTTCGTAACGCATCCAGAGGAATCGCTATCCGTAGAGTGGATCTCCAAGATGATATCTATTGGCGTGTTATCATGAGGCTGATGCTCTTTGGTAAATGATTTCTACACACATTTACTGATGTACTAGCTGTAGAGAGCTATGTTTTTATTTTTTTCTGTGTTATTGATCATATTGCAATTGCTTAAATGTGTTTTACAGCTACACTGACTCATAAAAATGATACAGGCACCACACAGAAGTTAAGAAACTAACGATTGAAAGAAGGTAAGGTAAATTTGACGTCGTGCAATATTCTGTCTTGGCAATCGGTTCTTTTGATTGGTCTGCTCGGTTCTTGCTTATTGGTCTGACAAGTTGGTGGTTGTTGAGAATTGGACTCTTGTCGTCTTCGTTCTTTTGTGTTTGCGCTTCTTTGAGTGTTGAGGGTGGAGTGAAATTACCCTATGTTAGTTCATCTTCATTAGCTGTACAACGTTGGTTGGATTTTCTTGGGATGGTGCTGGTAGGTGTGAGCTAGCATCCCAGGGACCTACTACCAATTCCGTTCCCTTAATCAAGAGAGCACACACCTATCCTGCTTTTTCTGAAAGGGATGAACCCTGTGGGCAAAAGTACAGCTTATTCATCAATAACATAGATAGTTTTTCTGTATGAGTTCGTTGGCCTATTACTTGCTTTTGCAGTTGCTTTGAGAGACTATACGAGCGCTCCTTTGTTGTTTCGTCTTTACTCGCGCCTCGCTTGAAATGTAACGACGTCTGTTCTTGCAATCGGTGCCCCTCCCTTACCGTCCCCACTAACCCCACTTCCAAATGATAGGAGTTTTAAGTTCTCTTTCTTGTTCTGAAGCTGGACAAATTTTAGCATTAGGTCTATCATTTCCATAAGTATAAGAACTACATATAAAGTGCATGTACAAGGTGAAGGTCTTCGATTATGAACATCTATGTCTACTTCATCTTTCATAACTTGATGTTTTTTTATATACCTTTTGCTCACTTCCACCGTCCCATTTCTCACCCACCTCACAGCTTCGCTTTTTTTCCACTTTTATCGAGAAAAGAAATCTAGACTTCGTTTTGAAATTTTTACAGACTTGCAATCACGCTGCATTTTTTTTTGCTGCAATCAATCTTCGGATTTTTGAGACAAGAAGAGCAAGAAGTGGAGGCTCCATCTATCATTATCTATCGCCTAAAGATCAAGATAATTTCAATTTGTTGCACTCATTAATTTTCCATGTTTTGTTCAATTTAAGATAACGATTTTTTAGGTCACTAAGAACTACACTAGTGAGCTAGAGGACAAGAAACCACGAGTATCCAACCCCTTAGCCAAGTGGAAGACAAGAAAAAACGAGTCTTCAAGATTTTCTTTGTGAAATTTTACAAGTAGAATCAATGAAGGGAGTCTACAAAGAACTAGGTTCAAATGTAGAGCAGTAAAGTCAGTCTCAAACCAAGCATCCAGCCTCAGCTTAATAGAATCAGATCGTGTCGTTTACTGTGACAATTCCACAATCTCAGCAATACAAAAAGCCAGGAGAGAAAGGTTGAATTTTTTGATTTTTTTACTTTTGTCTTGGATCATAAAAGAACAAATAAATAAATAATTATCTTGTCATCGATTTTTGATTTTGAACTCGAACTGAGTACTTGAAGGATTCCTTAGGATTATTTATTCGCAGAACTACTAGTACTATCTTCACGGCGTTCATCTACACGAGACTGACAAATTGGTCTGTTGTTTTCGAAAGATTTCTTTCTTATTAATTTGCAGGAGAAGGCCAAGGCCCACCCCCACGACAGCAAAAGCAGCATTTTTTGTCATAGATCGAAAGTCAAACGATCTCCAATCATATATCCATCTCCTTACAGTATTAATAGATATAGATAATTCATTATCATTGCCCATCCGACCTCGAGGGAGTAACTTTAGATTTACAAGATTAGACCAGATATCAACTTCGGATTTCTAGTACGAAAAAGAACGCTTCACGAACTATTTTCACTTCCACCTCAACTTGAACAAGCTGAGCTCGAATAAGATCACTTTTACAGCCAACATATCCAGTAGAACTACACTAAAGTACATCTTGTTCTACTCCAAGAATGTATATTGTCAACAATAATATATAAGAACAATAACATCCATTTTTGTCTACGACATTTCTAGGAAATCAGCAACGTCGTCAATCAAGTTACACCGAAGAATATCTCGAAAATGAGGGCTCCTCTATTTCTCCGTACAACTGTGGTAGGACAACTCTCGTCCTATCTACTACTACCACTACTATTACTACTTTGTACGACCAAGGCTCATCTTGTGGAGGGAACAATCATCAAGGGCTGGTACCAAGAACGCGATGACCATCGTGCCGCAGCTGCAGGGTTTCTGCTTGGGAATGGATCTGCTCTCACTGTTTCTGGAGGAACAAGTGGAACGTCAGGGGGCGAAGGCGGTCACCTGCGCCCTCTACCTGCAGAACAACAGGCTGACCTTGAAGAAAACAAAGGTCGCTTAATTCTCCTTCAAAAGCAAGCTCGTGACCGCAAGGTTAGAGAGATCTTGAGGTTTCTTGCGGACCCTGATACTGTAGCCAAGATCGCCGAGTTGAAATTCTTGGAGTACGTTAGTACGGAGCTACTCGTGGGGCGTGAGAACGAGGACAATGATTCTAGTACTAGGAAGGATACGAAGAAGCCACAGCCTGCCGACGTCAGGTCTATTGCTGCTTTTTTCCAGCAATTTCTGGAAGGTGTGACAGCAGTGGAGGGGACTCTCGCTGGCTTTAGGCCCTTCGGAGTTCTTGATGAAATAAAGGGTGAGCGAGGTGATTGCTCATATCCTACGACCACGCAGGAGCTGTCTTTAGAGTTACAATATGAGAAGATGCGAGAGCACTACGCGCGCGTGATTGAGACGTATCTCACTGAGAGCAAAGTGCTGAACAATGAGAGCGATCGCGATGGCAACAATTTGATTGGAAAAGGCAATGGAGGCGGCTCATCCGCAGCTGAGCGTAGTCCTCCTTCTCCTCAAGAAGCCGAGTCCAGACTAGATTTTGCAAAAAGGTTTCGAAAGGTGGCCCAGCGTGCAGTAGTTTCGAAGGAAAAAGTCAAAGACATCGAAAAAGCAGCAAACGATTATTGGAAAGCCCGTAAAAACTACCTTGGATTGTTAAAAGAGAAGGAGAAAGACCAGCAGCAGAGAAAAGAAGAAGAAGAAGGTAGCACTAGCAAGAAAGAAGATGGTCTTCCTTCCATCACGATCACCAGCGACAGCGAGATGAAACAAGAAGAGGATCTTCCTTCTGTTACTAGCGAGAAGATGAAACACGACGAAGAGGATCTTCCTTCTGTTACTGGCGAGAAGATGAAACACGATGAAGAGGATCCTACTCGTGTCACTAGCGAGATGAAGCAAGAAGAGGATCTTCCTTCTGTTACTAGCGAGAAGATGAAGCAAGATGGTGAGGATCCCAGTCCTGACACTAGCGAGAAGAAAGAAGAGCAAGACAACAACGATGGTCAACGAGTATTTCACTTACCTTGGGGTGTGCGGGTCAAAGATGAAGACGCCGAAGGAGGAGCAGCACACTCCGCTTCATCGGGTGACGTTCAAGCAATGCTGGAGGAGACGGAAGATCTAGCCAAACAAGTGAAGCGACTGCAAGGCGAACAAAAAGAACAAGATCAGCAGGACTCTGCTGAACTACTAGACCCTGGTGTCAAAAACGCTGAAGCAGAGGTTAAAGAAGCCGCAGACAGATTGCGTAGTGTACTCGGTTCGAGCTTTGGCCTCAATGAGATTCTCATCGGCCCCAAAGACCATGACGTCAGACACGGAAACCAATTCGACATGTTGCTTGCCAGCTTTATCCGCGAAGAAGCAGAAGAAAAGCAGCATCGTTCCGAAGTAGAAGACGTACTCGGTGTGGGAGGAAATCCGAAACATTTTGTCCGCTTAGGCACGGAAGAGAAAATTACCGGAATCCCTCTAGGTACGAAGCTTTCCACGAGTAGACACCCAGCCTACAGCTTTTACAAGAAAGGCGATGAAATAAATGAAACTACTGGTGGTGCAGATGCGGCTCGTTCGAGTAAAAGCACAGCCTCCTGCTCTTCCGCTTCGTCGAAACGATCGCTCTCAGCGCTATTCGTGCATGCTTGCCGCGCTGCCTTGAAACATGATCCAGACGGAAACCCATCTCCTGCTTGCCGCGATGTCTTGAAACATGATCCAGACGGAAACCCATCTCCTGCTTGCCGCGCTGCCTTGATGAGCGAAGATGCTGGTCAAGAAGTAGTTCCTCGTATTGCGAGGTTCCAAGGAAGTCTTGAAATAGGAAGCAAAATACGACGAACAACGTCCTCCACAGGAGAAGATACTTCACTTCCTACTGTTGCACCATCGTCGAGGACTCCTCAGGATGAACATGCGGACGACGTCGACGATCTCCAAGAACTAGCTCCTCCATTACAAGAACAGAAAATGGCAGACGAGAACGAATGTACAGGAGAACAGAACGAAAACGAATATCCAGGAGATTCAGGTAGTTGGCGCCTTATTTCTTCCTTGCGGGACGGCCCCGCTATTCCACCACCCCCACTCTACATAGTGGCGGACACGGTAAAGAAAGACCCTGTCTATTTCGCTTTCCTTGCTGTCGCCCACAAAGCTCTGAAAGAAGCGAAGCTACTACGTGGACCGTTTACTTCTAACGCCTATACTCCTAGAAATCGTGCCACGCCTGCGAACAAGACTTGGACTGCAGCAGCAACCTCCATGGCCGAGCTTCTATTATCTGCCTTCAGGGGGAGTTCGAGTTGGAGTACTACTACTAGTAGTACCACTACCAGCATCATGCCCGCCGAGAGTCATACTAGGATGACAACTACTGGCGCTAGTACTACAACCTCCATGACCGAGAGTGATGCCATTCGGAGCTCCTTTGTCGTTGCCGTGGTTATTCGAAAGTTGCTCAATATGCAAGTTTTGTCCACGGTCCTGGATGTAGCGCCTATCTTTTTATCCAAAATACTTGAAGAGGCAGAAAAAAGACTCGTTGCTGGTGCTGGAGGAAGTAGACAAGGAGACGATGGCACGCAGACGAGGAGAGACGGTCTTCAGACTCATAATCTCTTCCTTAAGAGCAGCACCTTCACTCGCGCTACAACGATGTCTCACTTTTTGTACGAGTTGCCGGAAGGGGTGAGAAAGGAGGCCGTCAAAAGGGAGATCGGAGAGCACGGCGCAGTGGTTGATCGCAGTCCAGAAGGATATTTGAAGAGAGAAGATGAAGATTTTACGACGAATTTCTGGCGAATCAGCGCGATTCAGGAAGAAATGAGAGATATACTTCGTAGAAGTACTAGACGTCTCGGTCTCCAAGGACAAGAAGAGCATCCTCATCGTCCAGCAGAGGACTTTGGAGGTCCTCTCGAACATATTGACATGAAAAGAGCCGCGATCGATATCGATATCGATCGGCCGTACCTTCTTGGTCGTCATTTCGCGATAGCATCTTTGAACTGGAAAGAAGCTGGTCTTTTTGATGCCATGACGACTTCAGGTAGAGAAGACGGAGGTGAGCCAAGTAATAAGAAACGTGAAGAGCAGAAGCACAAGCAACTCCAACTTCTGCAAAATATGCTAGTTGAAGGGCACACGGAAGCATGCAAGCGCATAGCGCAAGACGTAAGTGACTTGGTAGAATATTCGCACCACTTGCAGCTGTTCGACGTGCACAACGACGAAAGAAAAACCCTTAGTAATCCCGCCAGCACTCGGATAAAGGAAGGCGCACCAGGGAAGAAAGCAACTTCTTCGACGAAAAAGACGCGACTTCCAAGGCTACTTGCGAAAGAAATCGACACACTCAAAGACAAGCTCAACAACGTGCACGAGGTGGCATGTGGGAAAATGCGGGAAGAGTTGAGGCTTGCTAAGCGTACTCTGTTCAGGATTGCGGAACACGATAACGATGAGCAAGGCTCTGGTGCGGTAGCTTCCGTAGAATGGGGAGCCTCTGATCCGGACTATTTTTTACGCAGAGTTCTTCCCATTTTGCAGCAGGTTCTGCTTTTTAGCGGAGACGTCCTCTTCACAAGACGGAGAAAGCTGCTTTCATCACCAGATAGCGCCAAGGAGTCTTCTTCCAAGGAGACGGATGCGCCGTCTAGCCAAAAAGATAGAGAACTTCTCGACAACATTCAGTCGGAGACTCAGATCACAAAAGAGAAGGCCAGCTTGCTCGAAGGCGCAGGTGGAATGCTCACTGAACTCCATGAAAAACTTGTGGAAATCAAGAAAAAGCATTTTCTCCAGACTTCCTCGGAATCCGAGTCAGACTCGGAGTCTGTAGAAGGCGGTGGAGTAGGTGAGGAGGTGCCGGATGTTGTAGACGGGCAAGCAGAGGAGGAGACTAAAGAAGGGGAGGAGATGAAGAAAAATTGGGCTGACCTCATCTGGGGTCACGATGAGGAGGACGGAAAAGAGAACTTAATATCCTCGGACGAAAAAGAAGAACTTCGCGTCCTCTATCGCTACTGTAATCCGAAGCTGAGCGCTTTTGTGGCGGCGAGGATGATAAAAAAAGAGGAGGAGAGCCGCATAGCTTTGCAAACTTTGCACATCGCCGCCTTGGAAAAGGAGAAGGAGAAGCGAATAGAAAATGGCATGCACTTGTTAAGCTGCAGCGGCGTGAACGATGAAGAAAGACAACGGATAGCCGATGAGACTGAGGAAGAGACGAAGCGCATCCAAGAGGAGATTGAAGAAAACGTGCAGAAGCTAGAACAGATTAAACATCGTAAAGAACAAGATGATCATGATTCGGCTATTACGGCGGAGGCGGTAGAGGTAGATGGAGTAGCTTCCCCTAAGGAATTCTGGAAGAAGCACATGAAAGACAAAGGCAGTGGCCGCGCAAGGTTTGAGTACCATTGTGCGCACGCATTGGCGTGGTACCAAATCCGTTCCTCTCACAGCGATATCGTTACGAGATTCGCCACGGGGCGATCGATTTTTTCATCTGAAGGAGGGCACAATCTAGATCCCGTGATAAACGTACTCGGCACACACCTGCTAGAAGGGCCAAAATGCCTCGGGATGAGTGTCCTTTTCAAGGGCATCATGGATGCGATGTTTCAGAGGAAAGTGCTAAGAGTCAGAACCGAAGTAAACTCAGATCAAAACCATGTCTGGACTCACGTTTACTTCAACATTTTTTTTTGCGATTTTTCAGAAGTCCAGGACCATCTTCAGCGAGAACAGAGTGAACACCCTCAAGTAGCTCCTGCACCCCAAGGCGAGCTTCCTGGATGCAGCGCCATCAAATGGGGATCTTCATTTGGTTGCGTTCTAGTACAAGCATGGAGATCGGTGGGATTCGATACTGGACGACTGTGGTCTCCTTCATTTTTTGGTAGTCGTCAAGAGTTTCTGGCACACTCTTCTGGGGTAGTTGTACAGCAAGGGCAACCCTCTGCCCTACTCCAAGGCTCATCTTCTGAGAGGACTACTTCTCACGGAGGTCGCGGAGTAGAACCTCCACGCTCAAGTGGTTCCGAGACCCACCAGAAGGAGGAGGAGAAGGAAAGACAATCCCACCAGAAGGACAAGGGGGAGGAAAGACAATCTCACCGCCAGAGCGAGATGATGGAGAAGGAAAGACAATCCCACCAGAAGGAGAAGGGGGAGGAAAGACAATTCATTGTGGACATTGCTCAGCTTCTACTAGGAAACTTGGAGAATAAAGTTGAGCTTTCCCAGTGCTCGTCTCCGTTGGAGCATTCTACATTGACGCCGCACAGAGCCGAAGTTGCCGAATGGTACACCAAAGCACTTTCAGAGAACTGTGCTTTATCTGTTGTTACTGATGAACCAGGGAAATGTTGTGCTGAGGAGTTCCATCAAGGTGAAGGGGGCGCAAGTGGGCAAGAAGCGGCTCGATACATACAGGACGCGGAAAACAAATGCGTCAGAAACTGTAGCATTATTACCTCCAAAGAAGGTGAAGCGGGAGGGCCTGCTCCTGTAGATGAGTCCTCGTCCTGCTGTGATAATTACGTGACGCTAAGAGTGGAGGATAATGATTATCAAGGAATCCCTTTCGTAACGCATCCAGAGGAATCGCTATCCGTAGAGTGGATCTCCAAGATGATATCTATTGGCGTGTTATCATAAGGCTGATGCTTTTTAGTATGATTTTTACACACTTTATCTTTACTCTGAAAACATATAAATCAGTAATGTAGTAGTTTGAATAAAAGATCGCTTGATCATTCTTAGGTCGGTTAACTTAATTAGTTTTTCTAAGTTTCTCCGATTCTACAGCTTTCAGTATTGATTCGTCCGGTGTCTGAAAGCCGACTGGAAAGTCCTTCACTGCATCCTATCGATCGACTACTTGGTAATTGTGATTTTCTTTTAGTTCTCAGGATAAGGATCCCAAATTATTTATACATTGTGTGATATTCCAGTTTATCTGTGGGTGAATATGTGACGTTCTTTCCGCTAAGCATCCCCTTATAATTTTGCCTATACCTTGAAAATCCCTAGGGATTAGTACGGTGTGACAGCCAGTTCTGGAAGTATCTGCTTACTGAAATGAAAATAACGATCGAAAATTTCTAGTTGAATATTCGGTCATACTGATAGTGAAGTATGAAGTTCTGACAGTTATGTTCGTAAAAAATGTGCGGGAAGTAAGGAATAGAATTTTATTTACTTAGCTATGTATGTTGCTTGTGCTATGGTGGTTCGTGGGGTGTCAACGGTGTAAAAAGGTTGTCTGAAGATGATCGTGATGATGGTAAGGTACCCGTGCAGTTCTCTTTTGCGGTCCTCTGCCGAAAATGGTGTGTCATCGGGCTGTCCTTGCTGTGGTGTATGGTCTGAAAGTCGTTCTTGTACTTGATAGTCTTATACTACATTTATCTTATTATAACCACTACTACTACGACTACTACTAGAAGAAGTACTACCACTAATTTGGGTTTACTAGTACTACTAGTACTTCTACTACCACTACTAACTGTTGTCGCCCGTAATCACTGTTTTATCCTCGTTTTGCAATGGTTGAAGGACAGACCTTCCTCACGATGTCGCCCATCCCCTCACCCATAAACAGGAGAAATAGAGATTCGGGCTCTATTGTTATGGAAGATGTGAAGAACAATCTATCAAAATCATTCTTCCTTGTTCGTTTTGGTTCTCCCGATTCCTCTATCTTTGAAATTATGACGTAGTTGGACTTCTTACAACAAGGATCGTTGTCCGTTTTGATCTACCCTCTTGCTGGGTGATCTAGAAAACTTTTACTTCTCCAACGTCGCGAAGCTACACGAGAAGCATAAACATTTTCCTGTACGGTGATCCGGAGCAAGAAAGGCTTCAAACGTTCTTGAATGTTGAACCTTTACTTCAAAACAGGGTCAGGCTGTAGACGGATAGTAGTCTACTTATTCAAACAAACACATGATTAAAGTGTTCCGGAGAAGAAGATGCACCTCTAACCTTGCACCTCTCACCTTTGGGTCGCGACTACAAGATCCACACACAGAGCCATCGCGAGTGGTCCTGGAGAGTTTTTGTCTCCTTGACAAGCTTGAGATCTTCTTCATTTCGACATGATCCGAATCTTTATCTGATTGTCGAGAGAAGCACAAGCAGTGTTGATTGAAAGTGACAGTGTAAGACGAGATTAGAGAGGACCAACATGAGTGTCCGCACTGAGAAGCACATTGATTCTATTAGTATGAAGGACCACGGAGGAAAATATGTAGAATGATCGGAAAATGAGGTTACACTTACACTACTAGTTCTAGTTCTAGGTACCAGAAGAGTGTCGACGGTTCATGTCGTTGTTGCTATTTCATGATCGGAGTTGGTTACAACAATCTGGAACAAGAAGTTCTTTGTCTAACTGCATCTTCACTGTAAAAAAATTGATAGCTAGTCCTACTCCTAGTAGTTCTTTTCTCCTGCTCCTCTATCTTCTTTCATTTGATCTGCAGCTACTTTTCTGTCAAAAATATCTATCAACATTCGCATTCGGCACCAAAACTAACTACTCCTACAACTACAGACACTCACTCTTACACAAAATGGATCATATCGATGATCTTGGAGAAGGGATCTTCGTACGGTTGTTACAGGTGGTCTCTTGGTTTCTGGTGGTGCTTTTCAGCATACCAGCTGCATGCTTGGCGACGTATCAGATAATAACACTCTATCTCCCCTACTCACTCGCGAGGATAACAGGGACTACGTCTTATAGGTACCTCCACCTACTAGTTTTGTTTATAACTTACTACTCCACTGAAGATGCCTACTGGTACTGCTACTGCTTTTGTCGGAATAATTGCTTTGCTGGAAGATGTTGAATTAACAAGCTGCCAGAGAAGAAGTAAAACTAATCCATCAACATTCTTCGCCTTATGACACAACAGGTTTCCGGCTTACATGTATACGGTATGGGGCGACGACTTGACGGACCTAACGATAGAACACTGGGGGTATTATTTTACAACCCAAATTATATAGAAGATTAGGCACGCAATCTTGAGTTTTTATCAAACACACGACCCGTCTTCGTGTTTATGTCTCTCTCAACCTGGTCTGTCAACTTGCTGTTACCCACGACGCTGCTTGCCGACATTTTGCACACCAGGTACCTCGCATGTTGTGTCGGAGTGACAATTTTCTCGGCGGTCTATATCATACCCGAGACACCATGGAAATCTTCAAGGGTCAGAGACGACTCAGAAGATAGCAAAAAACGACAGTAGAACTGGAGGTCAAGGGGATTGGAGATGGCGGAAAGGATGGAGCGAAAACATGATGATGCCGATATTAACTAGTGCGTCGGCAGATAGAACACGAAGACGTTGCAGTAGTAGAATAAACTTTATTATTAGGAGAATATGATCAACTGCATCTGCAGATTAATTCTTAGGAAACGCTATTCCACAAATTTATTGTACAAGTAAGCACAAGTATTAACTGCAGATTAATGATTCATTAGGGTACGCCGGGCAATTAATACTTGTACTTACTTGCGCAAGCGCACCTTATCAGTGTATGACCATAATGACTAGTCTTGCGCACCTCATCAGTGTATGACCATAATGACTAGGTCTTGAAGTTTATCACATTACCGACAGGACCCCCGCATTCAAAATAATGAAGTATGACTATGACACGCGACAACAGCTGCTATTAAAGTCGCGAACGAATCGAGTATAATGTTAATGTACTCTTAGAAGAACGCCGCATGGTGCAACGTTCTTGCGCAGCGCCACAATGCCCGCAGTCCTGCGGAGAAGAGCTTTGCGATACGTTTTTTTGATGTTCCTGTCCCAAAATTGCAGGAGAGAAAATATGCTTCTACTCTCCTCTCGTTCTTGTAGAAACTGACCTGTACGTGTACTTCTATGTTGAATCTTACCGGATTGCTATTCCCTAACCTCGACGCCTACGCTTTACGAAGTCAAAAATCGTTGATAATTTTTTCACAGAGGGAGCAGAACAATTCGGATTTTGATCGATCGTAACACGACCTTTGGTTCTTGCTTCTATTATATGTTGAATATGACTTCCACTTCACGTCGTAACGAAAGATCACGACAATAAATTTATAACAACGACGAGCTTTTCGTTCATCACTTCGTTGTCCTTGTTCTACATTCACCAGAAAAATGCCATCTTCTTCGTCCTTCTTTTCGGCTGAAGTCAGCCGAGTTCCCGATGAGCGCAACGATCATGATCAGCGTATTGCGAACAACGATGAATACGAGATGAGCTCGAGGACGAAGAAATCCAAAAAAGCCAGCAAACAAAGACAACAAGACCGCAACTACATACAACCCATACGTTCCTCCAGCTATAGAAATGATCAGCATGATGAGGAAATTGGACGAAGATGGAGCACAATTCCGCTTGTTGGCGAGGTTGTGCCACTTAGCGTTTCTGGAGGTACAGCAAGGTTTTATAGAGTGCGGAATACGCTAGAAGCCAACTCCAACTCTTGCAATTATTTTCCGGAGGAGGGCATCAATCCCAACGCCAACCTCTCTAGAACAAGCTGGATTTTGAAGGACTTACAACATGCTCGAGAAGAGGCTGCCTTTTACGAACGGCTAAGACATCGGATATCAGGTATATTGTCTACAACTTCACAGGGTCGTGAAGGCCATCAAATACGAGTTGTTGTAGTGTCAGAAGTTCTTGAAGGAGGTCGGAGGTCTCGTCGTCGTGACCGGAGATTCGCGAAGTTTTTAGACACATATTTTTGTACGTGTCCCGGAACAATATCTTTGGATCTCGGCAGTCACCTGGGACCAAAAGAACACCGAGAACAAGCTGGTAGAAAACCTGGTAGTGGGAGCAGAAATGTTGCCGGTCAGGATCACGAACCAGGGCCGCGAGTGGGTGACCAAAATACGTCTTCTCTGGAGCAGGGTGACGTGGTAGCTTCTGCTGGTGTGGGTGACCAAAATACGTCTTCTATGGAGCAGGGTGACGTGGTAGCTCCTGCTGGTGTGGAGGCTTATCACGAAGAAGCTGCCGATGTTCTTTCCAGTACCACGACTGGCACGAGGATTATGTACCTGGGTCCACGTGAAGCTACCACATGGCTAAGTAGAGCTGGTCCTTCTACTCGCCAAGTGCACGACACGGCTCTTTTTGGGTCTACGTTCTCATTCTCGTCTAATATATCTGGCTCTGGACAACGAGGTCGATATAGTGTCCCATCGTCTTGCCCTCCGACGCATGGGCGTCAACGGGACTGTGATGAAGCGAAGCCTGGTTCTCTAACTGAGGACTTGACTCTGAGCCACGACACAGTAGGTTCACTATCGTTTAGCACAAAATCACTCCCGGCACAAGCTACATCTTCAACTACGCCTGAGGGTGGACGAGAACCTCTGGCCGCAGAGACAGGCAAGAGGATATCGATGAAAGAACCCAAGACCGGCAACGTCAAAGGAGCCTTCATGTCGGCTCAAGACCGTTCTTCATCTTCTACAGGACGAACAGCGTCGTGTGTAGTTCTTCCTCGACATATGCCGAATCCGACTCCTGCTCCTATTCCTGCCTCAAGCGCAAAGACCACAACTCCTAGCCACGACTTTCTTGTTCTCTCGGATATGTATGGAGGGTTTTCGCGGTTGCGCTTTGCGGATTTGAAGCTAGGAAAAGCTACGGCTGTGGCAAATTGGATGGGCAAGAGTGCTTTTAGAGCCTGGCGCAACCATCAAGTGGATCGTTTAACCAACTCTGTCCATGAAGGCTTCCGCGTTGAGGGTCTAGACTTTCCCCCCGCGGCTCTGTCGCAGGATTACACAGCTGTAGCGAATAGCTCATTGTGGGTATGGCTTTTTCAGCACTTGTAACTGTAAATACTAGACATGGAAGATGAAGTTGTTATTGATTGATTCTCGAAGTTTTATGAAGTTGTTCTTCTCTAAAAGTAGAAGCACTAAGCTCAAGAGATGATCATGATCAAGACGTAGGTGTAGGATCGATTGGTGAAATACTACGATCATCATGCTGTACTTTTCTAATTTCTGCAAGTCTTCTCGGTAACGCAAAGAAGGTGAACAGAATGACCCTGCAACGCTTGTCTGGGATGAAATTCTGGCGCTTGTTTTTGGAAATTGATCACGACCAAGCGGAGATCGATAATGCGAGAAAATCAACAGAGCGGCAGAACGTAATCTATGAAGCTTCATTATCAACATCTGAGCCTAGTAACACACGAAGAGCAGTCAACGGAGACGATGCCACTATTCTTATCGCAGGAGGCACAGCGAGTGCCAGCACACGAGGACACGGAAGTAAACCCGTTTTTTCTTCTGCACCGCCAGCATTTGGCTCGCATCATCTAGATGACGATAGCGCGTCGAAGGCAGAGGTTGAAAATGTGTCGCAAGCAGTATTCCGACGTAGCTCATCGGTCCCACTCGTATGTGAGTACCAGTCGAATTTGACGCCTGATCGCCCTGAAGAACAAAGCCTCGGACATAGGGTGACGCGAGCAGCGAAGCTGCCTGGAGGGGCATCCACGAACCTACTCTCAAGCCCACAGCCTGCACTTGAAGTCAGTACGACCGCTGAACATGAACTAGTACGACCGCGGAACGACGAAGCAGATAGCATGATCAAGGAGAGAGTCATGTCAATGGACGGACACCCACACGGCTCTGACGCAGTTGTAGACCCACGTCCAGCAGCGCTCTTATCATCTCGTCGGAAAGAGCTCTATTCCCGCTACGTCATGCTGGCAGTTCTGGTAAAGTTGACGAAACTGATCGATGGCTTGTGTCAAATAGACTATCCTCAAATGTGGGTCGGGTCTAGTCTCGGAATTGGCTTCGAACTAGAGGCAGCAAAATCTTCGGCTATAATGCTTAGACAACCGGGCAGTCGTAAGATGAGGAGCGACCACAGCAATGTTGAAGGAGGTGGAGACTCTTGCCTACAGTCGACAGATGTTGATCATGAAGATTTAGAAAGCAGAACTAGAGATCCAGTGGTTGTGAAGGTTTTCGATTGGGGTCGCAGTGAGTGGAATACAGCTGAGAACCATGCTTTGTTAAAGCCTGAAGACCGAGGTTTGCGTGTCGAACATTGGCGAGGCTACCTGCAGAGCATTGTGCGGTTGCTCTTCCAAGGAGCACGTCTTTTCTTACACCGCTTCGGCTGTCCTGCGTGGCGCAGTGTCGTCGTCGAGCTGTTGGAGTTCCATTCTATGCACCACGAAGATCGTGTCGTGAAAGCTGCAATTGAAATACCGCTGTTCCCACTAGGAGTAGATCCGGCTTATTACGGAATATCTGTACAGCCGGTTGAGGAAGAGGGAGACGAGGAGTGGAATTACGATGGGAGCACCCATTCTAGTAGGTCGAGAACTAGAAGAGGGATTAGTAGGAGGTCTGTTTCTTCTCGAACAACAACAAGGACCTCGTCGTCCACAATTACGTCGTATAGAAGTGATTCTAATGATCAAGATAATGCTGTAGAAATAGAAGAGGATCCTCGTGATGAGTTTGGAAAATCCACTCCGAAGAATCACAGTAGAAACCTGTCACGCCGTAAGAAGAAGACGAGAACTGCCTCCAGTGGGGGCTCCGGTGGTTCATCTACTGTGCGCAGGAAGCGAAACAAGAGCAAAAGAAGTAGAAGCACAAGCTTGGAGGTTTTTTTTGCGAAGAAAGGCGGAGGAAGCAGACGAGGAGAACGAGACTCAATATCTTCTCGGAGAGATGTTTTTGAAAACGCTTGCTCCCTCTCACGACCCAAGAAGATGACACAGTCGAAGACGAGGTCCTCTAGGCCTGCACCCGCAGTAGAACGAGAGTCCTCGATTTTCGTCTTGACCGACAGCACCTCGGGAACTACTAGCCCATCCATTCAGAGTTGTTCTCCAAGAACACGACCTTGCGTCCGGAAGGAACAGCGTCAGGAAAACATCCAGAGGAAACGGGAGAGACTTTATCGTGAGGAAAAACGACAGGAGATTCTTGCATATTTCTCAGGGACTCGCTCTGCTCTTCAGACTGGTGTGGAATATGTGGTCCCACTGAAAACGGTACCTGGCGTCTTCGTGCCACGGCTAGAGAAATTGGCTGCGGAAGTTGCGAAGAGCAGACAAAAGCCAAGACATACACCCCCTGATGAAACGCAAGAACCTGGCGCGTCGACGTTCTCTGGAGCAGCTTCGACTACTAGAAAGCGATTGGATATTAACGTGCTCTATCCGACGAAGCACAAGAAAGATGCTTCTACTACAGACGAACAGAGATCGGAAGGCGGAGTTCCACGCACAAAGGATGATGGGCGACATCGGAGGAGACATGGAGACGGTTGTGAAAAAGAAAATATTGGCACAACAAGAGGCAATCAACACGAGATCTTGCCGAAAGCAAATAGCGCAATCGAAAGGTCTTCTTGTGAAGATACGTCGGCACTATCGGACGAGGTACCTGGCTTATCGCGGACCGCTTCTGCTTCTGCTGCAACCACTTCAATAAAGGAGCCAGCTAGATCACTACATCAAGAAACGCCTCTAGTAGAGGATGAATTCACAGTAGGATTCGTGACCTTGGTCTTCCACATCTTAACGCCACAGCGAATTTCTGTGGAAATACGCGGTTTTTCCACCTCGGACCGCCGACTTCTTCGAAGTGGCAACGCGAATCTCACTGTCCTCGCTTTTGAAGACAGTCGTGATGCTTTTGCGCATCTTTACAATACCTTCTGCGGAGGGTCTGGAAGTGGCGGTGCTGGTGTACCTGTTGCAGTCGCCGCTGAGGCGGACGACGCTAGCACTGCTGCGGCAGCGGCAGTAGCCTCGTCATCTTCTAGTAGAAAGGATAGATCTATTACCGGGCGAGAAAAATCAAGCGTACAACGAGTAGCTGCAGGTTCGAGCCAGGTCCGAACCCAAGGTGCAGAGAGGTCGGCTCGTGGTTCATCTAAGAAAAGCAGGAAGACCGCATCAACAGTAGCATCTGTATCAGCACCAGATTCATCTTCTCCGGGAGTAGCCACTACTAGTACGACAGCTATGGTGTCACTTCGTGGCCGCGTTACTGAGCAGTCAACAGGACTATTGGTCCCTAGAGAGCAGTGCTCTACTCAGGCAGACAATGATCCGAAAACGAGCAAGTCTTCTGAACAAAAAAAATTGAAAATTTCCCATCCATCCTCGACATCTAGTGATAGAAGTGACCCGGCGCAGAGGAGGAAAGGAGCTACTTCGAAGAAGGACGCGCGTAGTAATAAAGGTGAAAGCCCATCATCAGCAACTAGAGCTCCTTTTAGTAGATCAAGTCCGCACCATAAGATAATGTCTACGGAGCAGGAGAAAGATGTTGAACCTGACTCGGTGGTCTCAATAGCTGGCGCTACATCCGACCACATAGGTGAAGACACGACTACCGCTGCTGATGCCGAACAAGTTGAAGCATTTTCTCTAAAGAACAAGACTCAGAAGAACATTGATCCTGGCAGGACCGTAGTGGCCGCATCATCTGCATCTTCATCCACGACTAAGACAACGACAACTGGTGGCACTTGGTCTTCGCTTCTACGAGGACGTAATTATGGCACTCCACAAACTCAAGAAGATCCTGTAGTAAAGATGTACGATTTTCGATGTAATCGGGCAGCTCATTTCGAATTCCTTGGTATTGAGAATGGCGAAAGACAACTCGTCACTGCTTTAAACTTACCTCCAGAGATACTTGCTCCGTCGTCAACGGGAGTCGCAGCTAGTCGGACGAGCCCGTTGTTGAAGGTACTACTTTTTGATCTCGTGGTCCGTTCTGTCGCAGCTTGTTCAACACGTACATTTAGTCTCTTTAGTTGTGAAATGCTACTGTGTGTTGCTGTTTGCACTACTGTTTTCTAGTAACATCGTTTCATCTCTTTTTTCTGGTGAACTTCTAGCTACCAATCGAAAACTTAAACTCCGAACACCAACAGTAAAAATCTTCAGGTTTTCCCATCTCCAGTTGTACCTGATGGCAGAGAGGAGGTGAAAGTTAACAACGAATGGTTTGGAAGACAAATAACAGCTCGATACTTCAGTCCTGCTTTTCTCTATGCAGGAAAAGGGGTTCCAACGCATTGGTTGTAAAAAGGATTGTGATTCATTAACATCGCGATGATGTTGAAAAGGTAAAGGAAAACTCTTCTGCCGGTGACTGAAGACTTAGCTGTAGGTGAATGAGACTGAAGATGTTGATGTTCTTTGTTTTTGATTTTGAAATTTTGCAGTTTTGAAATTTTCCTGATTCATATCCATAGTTCAGTCTTATGAAGAAAAGTGAGGCGCATATGGAGGTTATGGTAGCCCATCTACGCAGCAACTCCGTGTCTCGCACTGATCCAAGTGATTGGTGTTTAATTTGTATCTCCGAAGTTATTATTCGTCATCCAAAAAGAAAAACATCAAGATCTTTAAATGAAGGAAAAGTTGAAATCTCAGGTGGTGTGTCAAACAAAGATCTTCTATAGGTGATGCGTTTTCATCTAGGTGATCTGAACTCAAGATCAGCAAAGATCCTACCGTGACGGTGACAGCACAAAAGATCATAAATCGATCGTGGTTCGCCAACTCTTGTCAACATGTACATCACGTCGCACTAAATTATCTTGATATCAGCACCAGAGAGGACGAGGAGTGCCCAGTATCTCCTCCCCCCTGCTGTATTTCCGTTGCGTTTGTCTGTCAAAGTAGTATCGGCATCCGAAACATCATCATCTTTCCGCAGTAAAGAATCTGTGAAGCAGTCAAGATCAATCTGGATGCATCAAAAAACAACACCCAGGCAGTGAAAGTGGCTATTATAACTCCACTTTTTATGTACAGATTTGATTAGGACACAAAAAGGAATTCATTGAAAATTTTTCATCGTTCTTCCACGACACTGAATATACTTAGCAAAATGGTTTCTGTATCTTTCAACCTGAGAAATAGAGAAGGTGTTGCCCTTCCGCTACGGTGGAACAAAACCTCCGTGGCCAAAGGCTTCATCTCCCTTGGTCATTTTTTAACCTCGGAACAATAAAAAGTGTTAGATTTATACTTATGTATATATCTACAACTCAGATTGTTACTGCTCACTCCCGTACTAGTTCCATCTGATAGTGTAGTTATCGGATAGATCTGCCAAGAATAATTTTGCCCTCAAGCTGCATCAAGACGTCGGGTGAAACAGCTAGGCGGTATAGGTAGTCTACCATCGAGCTGCAGAAAGCTCTAGGAATTTCTTGCTAGTGCACTTGTCGTGTGCAGAATTGAAGAGTTTTTTTGAACATTTTGTGATTCGGTCGTAGTATTCTTTTTGAAATTTCGTTGATCGATTCGCCAATCTATCGACATAGCGACAGTATCCTATCTCTGTACTAATCATAAAATCGCTTCTTTCGAGCCTATCTGTCTGTAAAACGCAAAGACCGATAAAATGAGCGCACCCTTATCGCCTACAATGGCAGCAAGCAGCGCGATGTGGGTACGAGGAGAGTACACTGCCTTCACCGCTTTCGGTTCGATAGGTATGCTCTCGACGTATGCTGTGCTTGGAGGTCTTGTCCTGTTAACGGTGCTCTTCCGATTGTACGCAGGCAAGCGCGGTGCGCGTTGCGTTGCCGAGTTGATCGAAGACGAGGACGCGTTGATGGCGGGTTGCCAAGTTCAAGAGAGTGAATCTTCCGGAGAAACAATATTACACTCCAAGGTTGTCCAAGTCGGTTACCGTCGACATTGGGCAGGGGAGGTCCTCTACTACACCTGTTAAGGCTACAAGAAATCCATCTTCACAGGCATCTTGGTCCCGTTTTTGAAGGGAAAACGAGACCCAAGATGCTGCTGAAAATGGGAGATTTCTCTTAGTTCTAATCCTGGGCTGCTGTTCTGCCTGTCGTGTTGCAAGCGTTGCTGTTGGTTATGTGCCTGGCGCTTTTGGAGGAATCGGATCTCGGCAAGTGGTTGTGGCTGGCTAATGGCGTTTTCAGTCTGCGGTTTTGCACGCAAGACATGATTGATGAGGTCGTGGCTGTTGCTTCTGGTTCTGCGCCTTCACAACAAGAAGATGAACTTTCAGCATGGTGGTGTAATCCGGCACTGCAACCAACAACTGCAGGCTTCCACTTCCGCAATCTCGGAATTTTCTTCATCATCTTCTGGTTGCTTTTCTTAGCGATCATGTGGCTTTTGTTGTCGGAGAAGCTGCGTTTCCGACTGCTTTTCATCGTTCCCTGTGACTTGCGAACCTGCGACTTCGTCATCGTAGAGGAATGGACTAGTTGCAAAAAGGGAGTAGAGCCCTCCTCTGTCGATGTGCGGGAAGTCAAATCGCAAGAAAACAAGCAAACAGACGACCAACCAGAGAACAAGAAGAGCAAGAAGAAAGTTACTTCCAGTTCCGATAGTAGTGCCTCTGCATCAGCACCCGTCGTCTCTTTTCAGCAAGAGGTAGACGTGACGTCCTTAGAAGACAGTCCAGATGACAACACGACAATCCTCGGAGGAGAGGCTGAACACACGCCATGCAGCGCTACAAGCACTAGTAGAAACATCACACCACAACTCAGACGCATTGCAGCAACAAGAGCGGAAAAACTGATTGTAGAATACGAGACTTCCAAGTCTCTAGTGGTCAAGCAACTGGGCCGGCGTGAGGTTTTACGTCTCGAATATTCTTGCCCCGAGGATAAGATGTCTGAATGCGACAAGGAAGAGTTAGAGCAGTACTTTTCCACAGTGAATGCTACGGTAGACAGTCCACGTTACCTGTATTTCCGGTCTGGTCGCTATCTCTACTGTCCAGTGAGGAATCGCTTCGTCGAACCCGAAAACGAATTCCTGGACATCGGAATGCGCACAAAGGACGTCAGGCGCGTCTATGACGACTTTCTGTTCCCAGAGCGTCAGCGCGGAAGGAAAGTTCACAAGATGCACAAGAATATGATGAAACTGAAGGAGAAGGAACAAGAGGAACAAAATGTAGTACTGGTGGCGCAGCAAGGAAGTGGCTTGCCCGAAGATGTGAGCACTACAGATTGTTCAGGAAGCATAGCTGGAGATGTGGCTGCTATGACTGGAACTGCTAAGGGCCAAGATCATGGTTTCGAACGTTTTGCCCAAGAACAGGATAGCAAGACCGACAGTCCTGAGTTTCGGATGACGATTGCAAGTACTAGTACGGCTCTGGATCATCAGCTTGTAGGACAAGGACAAGGTGGTAATTTGAACGCGGAGAACGCAGGCGGTTCTCATACATCAGAGGCACGCACACGATCAGCATCAGAAGATTGTGGTACTTCGTCTCCCGACGACTGCAGTGCAAGTAGCATGACAGGCGGATCGAGTCCGCAACATCTTCCGATTGACGGTACTCCTGGTAGTGGAAGTAGAGTAGTTGCACAACATGAAAGATCCCCTGCTGGTTCCCGACGTCCTAGAACAACCAAGCCACGACCTAAACTTCCCAACAGTCGTTTTCTCTCAACGAAAAAGTACGACATTCATGGCGAAAACGTAATTGATGTAGAATGCAAGCATTTCGCATGGTATTTACGTGCTGAATTCGGCGATTTCACGACTCTGTTCCAACTGCATTGTCTCTGGGCACCAAGTATTTTCACCAACTGGATGCTAGCGATCGTTTGTGGAATGCTCTCCCTGATTTTCGGGATAGCGAATGCGATCACTGCCCGCAAGAACCAGTTGGACATGCAGAAAATGGTGTCGAACCAAGGTACAGACAAAGTCCGTGTCTTTCGCTACAACCGCGAAGAGTGCAGAACGCCAACTGAGGATCCAACACGAAACTACACGCAGCAAATTGATTCCATAAGCCCGCTGAAAAACGAGCTGTCTTTGCGAGAGGACACCACGCTTTGTGGAGCTGAGGGAGTCGGACAACTCGTGGATACAGACCGAGACTACACTGATTCCTTTGATGCAGTGACGCAGGAGAAGCAGAATATGCTAGTGGGCAGTTGTCGGGCAGATGACCCGATCATCTACACGACACCCCCTGGCAGAGGCGCCAGCACAAGAAGCACAACTGGAAATAATATGGTCGACCAAGAAGAAATCCAAAGTCGATCAATCGCAACGCCATTTACGAGCATGAAGCACAGCACTCGTCTATTGCGCGCTGACCTTTCTGGTGGAGGCAGGCGCTTTTCGACTCTAGACGACGATGAAGAAGTCTTCTCGCGTTACTTCGACATTGCAGCGACTAGCGCAGGAAAGCTCGTACCAGGTGATTTAATCGAGATCGACACCACGCCTGGTTGGGTCGTTCCATGTGACTGTGTGGTTTTGTCTGGTGGGGTAGTGGTTAACGAAAGCAATCTAACAGGTGAGGCGATGCCCATCCAAAAATTTGCACTCGAAGATCACGGAACCGAAGCTTTATGTTTGAAAAGGCATGGGAAGAAGAATATCTTGTTCGCTGGAACGACAGTAATGCAAAGTCGCAGAAACTGTGGTGGAAGTGCTGGGATGAAGACAAAAACTTCTCCTGGGTCAGGCTCTACTACTGTAGCACCTGCAATCGCTGTGGTTTTAGCAACTGGTGCGCAAACGGCTAAAGGCCACATGATTCGTTCGATCCTCTATGCTGGAGATATCGAATTCGAACTCTACAGGCAGTTGCCGATTGCGATTGTTATTTACGGCACCGTCGCGGCTGCTCTAATGTTGGGCACGACGTTGGCACAAAATGATTCCCGCCTGAAGCTAGTCGGCGCGTTTTTTGAAGCCGTTTGTATCCTGAGTCGATTGGTGACGCCAATGATTCGCGTCGGGTTCAAAATTGCACAAAGAAACGCAGCTAAGCGAATGCGAGAGACATCCGGATATGCTATCCAGTCCTTGTGCAATGCCAGAATTCCCGTTGCAGGCAGATTGCAAATTCAGTGTTTTGATAAAACCGGAACACTGACCGAAGAAAATCTCAATTTTCATGGGGTCGAGCGAGCGGAAGAGATCACTTCTCAGCACTCTCCTGCGTTGGGATTAGCTACTTATGGAAATCGAGAGCAGCAACAGCTGCACCATCACAAGTCGCAAGACACGGAGAAGGATGAAACGAGGCGCGCACTGTTTACAGAAGATGGCGTGGACTCGGATGGAAATCTAGCACTGAGAAACGGACGGACGAGCACTATGACTTCTACCTGGAGTATGGCACCAGGAGACAGCACTTGTAGTTCTTCGTCATCTCGATCTTATAGCGGGAATTTCCATGTCGGCAGTACGAGTACCAGTAGAGGAGAAGAAAAGCCCCGTTGGGACTTAGTGGACGTAGCAGCTTCTACCTGCCACACCGTCACACGGCTTCACGATGGCTCTTTGGCGGGAAATAAGGTTGAGTGCGAACTGGTTACTCACTATGGCGTGGAGTTCAGGGCTCCTCCGTCTGAGATGAATCATATGGGCGATGAGCTTGAGCAGAAACACAAGTCTTCTCCAAGTGCAAGCCCTTGTCTTTTGGAATTTTATCGTCCTTCTAGCAAGTCGAAGTCAGTTGCCTGTGCCTCGGCGACTACGTCTTCAAAACCCTATGCCCGCACACTACGGCAGTTCGAATTCGATCAAAAGATTCAGCTTCAATCCGTTATCGTGGAATATGGTGGAGCCAGATACCTCTTTACAAAAGGTAGTCCAGCCAAAGTGGCTGCCAGATGTCGCCCAGACTCTTTGCCCGACGGGTTTTCTCGCTACACTCAAAACAAAGCCAGGCAAGGCTACTATCTTCTTGCCTTGGCGTGTAAAAAGCTCGGAGACGTTCAAAGTGGTCAACAACAAGAAAGAAACGGACGCTCTTCTTCGACGTCTTTCAACGACTGTTCTCGAGAACAGTTGGAATGTGACCTTAGTTTTTTAGGCCTGTTGTACTTCCGAAACTGTCTCAAGCCATGCACAACAAGCGCAATCGAGGAATTAGCCGCGGCTGGCGTGAAGAGTGTCATGATTACCGGTGACAATGTATGGAACGGACTTCATATCGCCAAGAAATGCACTTTGATTGCTGGGAATCAGAAGGTTTTACTGGGAGACGTTGCCGTTTCCAGTCCCGGAACTACAGCACTTGGTAACGGAGAGCCAGAGATAGTTTGGACATTGGATAGCGATAAAGATGAAAAAAGTGTTGATGAACAAGGTCCTCATGGAGCCCTGGACATGATCTACGAAAATGAAGCAGAAGATGCTGCTCGGCCTGCGAATAACACACTCACAACTGATGAAGTCACTGCACTTCTAGCGTCCGCTGGTCAACGAGGGTTTACGCCTTCCTCCTCATCAAAGAAATCTTCTTTGAAGAAAGACGTCATTCAGCAGAACAAGATCGTTTTCGGCGTCACACAAGCAGCCTGGAGTCATCTCCGAACCCGTCACTCAGAAGAGTTGAAAGAAATCTTTCCGCACATCGTTGTGTATGGTGGTATGAGCCCGAGCGGAAAAGTGGAAGTTGTCACCCGATGGAGCGAGTCTAAGGTAGTCGGCATGTGCGGCGATGGCGGCAACGATTGTGCGGCATTGAAGGCTGCTCACGTTGGCTTGGCACTGGTTTCGGCTGGACGGACGACAGAGGTTTCGATCGTGAGCCCGTTCAGCAGTTCGGGAGGACATTCTTCACGCATTGCGGCACCTGTGGCGCTTCCACAAAAAGCAGCTTCTTTGAGGAGAGTCGGGGATCATCTTGAGGAGCAGCAACCTCTACTGGTAGAAGACATTGAAAAGGCGCAAGGAACGCCACAAAGAACACACGAAGGAGATGAAGAAGCCGTCTCCATTCATGCTGTTGTCGAACTTGTGCGTGAAGGCCGTTGTACTCTGGAAAATTCAGTCGCCACCTACAAGTTCTTCACGATGTGCGGTCTTCTATCAGCTATTTCCAAGATGTTGCTATCTAGCAGAGTCTCGTACTTCTCTGAGATGCACTTTCTATTCCAAGACTGCCTGTTTCTGGTGCTTTTGACTTACGCTATTGCGAGCTGTAAACCGGCGAAGAAGCTAGCACCTTTTGCACCGACGGCTAACATCCTAGGATGGGAGGTGTTAGGATCTATTGCTCTTCCAACTGCCATTTACATCGGAGCATTGCTACTGACGTACTGGAGCTTGGGAAAACAGAACTGGTACAGATACTATTTTACTAGTTACTACATCCATCGCTTATATTAAATACTTAGCCTTTGTGTTTGTTTAACTTTAAGTTTACCTCGCATGATCAAATGTATTTCTCTATCTCTCCCTCGTCAATTCTATCCCTCGATTGTGGCCATATTCTCGGAATTATTCTCCAAAATCTTAAACTTCTTAACCTTCTTGTTTATGTTCTCCTTTTCAGGTTTCGTCCTCCTTCCGAATGGGAACTGAACATCGACGTTGTCGCTTGGTGGCACATGATGGGCACACAGTCCAGTATGCTTACCAGTCAGTGGCTCCTATTTGCCGGATGTGGTGGCGCTTTACTGTATTCGCTTGGCGGTCAACACCGCCGATGTGTCCTTCGTAACTGGTTCTTGATTGGAACCATTGTGGCTACTGTTGGGTTGCTACTGTCGCTGTTGTTCTTTGCCAACACGGGTTTGAACTGCATTTTCAGGACGAACTGTGAAGACGCGCAGAGCTGGGAGACTTTTGTGTGGCCATTTAGCTATTTTTTGAACGAGCCGTCAATTGTGAATAGCAGTTTCTGGTTCAAAACCGTGGATGAATTGGAGAATCTGCATTTACATGTGGATCGGGGACGTTTTCCGAGGACTACAACTGAGAGCACTTCTGCAAGTAGAGGAGAAGCTAGTACAGCAGCTCTTCCTGCTGGTCAAGGAGAGACGAGCCCGTTATCTGGTGCGTCTTCTGTTTGGTCTCCTCTGGTGCACGTACCCAGCAATGCCCCCACGACTGAGAAACAGAAACGCGTTGCTCAAGCGTGTGAGCCGATGCGCAGACACTTGGCGAATCCGAATACTCCTAGAGTGCTGGGACAACAAGGAAATGCAACTCCGACTCAGAATTCTTCGCCAGCACTAGAAGTGTATGTTCGTACGATAGGAGCTCTGCGGCAAACTTCGGATCAAGCTGACGGCTCGCCTCGCAGTGAGAACGGACAAAGCACGGAGAGAGGGCCCGAGCAATGTACTTTGACTGCTCTCATTGATTTGTTTGTCTTCGACTCGATACTAGTGTTGTTGAATGAAAAAATGCGAAGTTGTAGTGAATTCCTTTTGTTCAACGTACTATTCTCGATATTATCAGGCCCATATTAGTCTACTCTATAAAAAAATCCATGTTTTACAAATCACTACTACATCAACCCAGGTTTCCTCGAAGTTCGCATCCCGACATCTGACCCAAATCACATATCTGCATGCCAACACCTCTGTGCTACTACGTGGACTGCTTTAGCTTCTGATGTAGATAGCAAGAGCGCTGGTCCAAGGTTCTATTGTTGGTGGTCAGTGATTAGGAGCAGGCGTGAAGAGCAACAAATCCCAATTACCAGGAGAAGAAGCCCAGCAACTTGCTATCTTCTTCCCCGTACGGACATGCGAGAGACCTACGCCATGGGCCCAGACCATCCAAGATTCCTCGACAAACTCGCCAAGTTGAGGAAATTTGTCAAAGACAAGAGAGCAAAACGTCAAAGAATTATCAAAAGCCAAGAAAGAAGCAATGGCAATACTAACATCAAGAATCATTTTCTGTCCTCAACCTCAGCAACCCCAACGTCAACGTCAAGTCCCAGTGGTGAGTCTTCATCCCCAAAAGCACTACCAAAAGCTGTACCTGTTTCTAGTTCAACGACGAGCCCTACTTCCTCATCGCAAGGACGACCACCTGCCACTGTGTCTTCGAACGTCATCACTTCCGCAGACGACCAATCACTCGCTTTAGTCTACATCAACCCCAACAACAGGAACGCAAATACCTCTACCTCATTGGTGCAAGCGATTCCAGTCGCAATAGCTCACTTCCGAAACGCACACAACATCCTGGGTTGGGGACCTAACCTTGCTAGTAATGCTAATTTTTCTAGTAATGGAATTGGAAGTACAAGTACTAGCGAAGGAAACGCAAACGCACAAATGGGACCGAGTAGACCATCACTTAGACCAGCATTGTCAACGCGAACTCACAAGTGGACTTTCGTTTTCCTGAGTATAGTGGTCTCTGCGTCTGCATGTAACTTGGTCCTATTCAGTCTCTTCCTGCATTTGAGGAGAAGATAACAAGATTTAGATGAACAACAGGCGGTTACGGTTAGCCCACGAACGCCTTTTAACTACCCTTTCCCTTCCCTATAATATTTATTAACCTTTTTAATCTCGAATATATTAACCTTAATCTCGATCTCCATTATCTTGTTACACTCCGCAACGCATCAACGCAAACACCTCATGAAGATCTGACATTCTTGTTGTATATGCGTCCAAAGTGACGTATGCGTATCGCGCACATAGAATTAGAATTGGCATGACTAAAGAAGAGCTCCCCACGAAAGAGAAAGCACCTTTTTCCCGACCCTACTAGGAAATGGAGTCAGAGTCACTTGGACTTGCTTTGACAAACAGATAAATATCTGTGATACTGATACTTTAACAGTGTTCTTTGTCGCCGATCTGGATCCGGTAATCATTGACATCTTTCTTCAATAGTTGTATCGTCGAAACTTTGCGATGGTACAGCCAAGTGATGGAAAGTCAAAATCGTGAAAAGATCTTGAAAAATACAACCAGCAACGATCTGCCCTCTTCTCGGTCACTACTTAACTTGCCTGCTGCCACCCCTTTGAAAAACAGGACCTTCAGGCTTCAGCCATGCGCTTATATAAAGTAGTACCACAACCACTGCACAAGAAGTCTAGGAATACAACTAGATACTCAAGTCAACGAGGAGTTGTTGTTTCAATTTTTGGACTTTTTGATTTTGGTTTTGCTACCCTTCAATCGCCAGTAGTACGGTAAGAATTAATAGTTAATATAATAGTATCTACTAGCTTGGAGCGTCCGATAACATCCCTCCCACTAGGATCCCCCTCCTCCCCAAATTAAGAAACTAAGCAAGGCAAAGATGTAAGCGGTGCGCGTTTTCAAATTTCGAAAATTTTCCACGTTTTGCCATCGTTTGAGGGTTGGATCTCGTGCGTTTGAAGTCAAGGGCTAAGATCTCTAAGCTTTTTGACTTTAAGCCGTTCCGCTGAGATTCAACTTCTTGGATTTGCATTCTTCAAATTTCGAAAATTCTCCACGTTTTATGGTCGTTTTGGGATTGAATTTTGTGCGTTTGAAGCGCTAAAGCCCCAAAGTTTTTGACTTTC